AGTCACCAGATTCACCGGTTTCGACGATAAACGGCCATTTATGTAGAAACAAGGCAATATTCTAGGTATGGCGTGTGCTGAGAAGTTCAGTAATGACGGTACTTACTGACTTGATTGAAACGTGCCCCAGCTAAGGGGCAGTGCAGATCCGGTCATGGTCGTGAAAGCGGACACCGGAGGGCGGAACCGCCACCGGACACCGGCCGTTGACGTGGCAAGTGTTCAGCCGCCCTCGCACTTGTTAGAAATACGGGGTACGTGGCGTGGCAGGGCTGGTTTTGGCATTTGCATTTGTTTCTTCTTTTGCTGGCCAGCTTTTTCGTTGTGCTGAAGAGGGTGGGGACACACGGTGGAGAGTGGTGCGATCAGCTGGGCACAAAAGGAGCTTGAATGCTGCCGGGCAGCTCATCTAAGCATCCAAAAGGTATGCCTACTGATCATCTATTCGGTTGATCTCTGTCACATCGAGGCTGAGGTGGTGAGACATGCTGTTTAAAATCCACGGCGATCAATGGTGGTTTAGAATGTGATCTGGCATCGTTGAGAAGCTTAATGAAAGCGCTTGAAATTTTGGTTCACGAAAATTTTGTGGACTTCTACAATGAATGAGCGCCTCCATGCCAAGAAAAATTAGGAACGTGGTCATTGTTGTTCGCCATCTGTCATTCAAACAACTTTCCGCTTATCAGCATTCAAGCTGGTCTCCATTTGCTTGTATAAAGTAACTGGACAGTTGTTTCTGGATCGACGCCCCTGAGGGTGCTTTCGAGTTTGCAGAATCGCATACCTTATTCTGTTAGGTGGTGCGTCTTATTGTAGCTTGATGATGAGGTGTTCAGCAGTGGTAGCTTTGGTTGCTTCAGATCTCTGTAGAAAGTGCATGCACAAAGTCAACCGTCTGATGCAAGCGTGATGCGCGCGGGCAGAGAACAGTACTTTTCGACCTTCAGACGCTAGAACTTCGCAAGGGGGGGAGCGCTACCTTGCACCGAGATTGAAAGATTCACAATCATACGAACAAGAAGGCCAAAGATCAGGTCACCGCAACAGCTGACGGGGTGCACTGCTAGAGTTAGGCAGTGGATTTCATTGGTGAATCAGTAATCAGGAAGGCCGGTCGCCATGATTCTTTTATGATGCTAGCACTTAAGTGGGCTTCATTCTGAAGGTTGATTGTATCTGGTGCTTTGCCTGCCAATTTGTAGTTGCTCAGAGGGCAGGCGCTGTGGAGCAGAGCGGTAGTTGCGTCTTGCACATGGTGAAGGTGGCGCTTGTCAGGGGCCATGCCGTCGCCCATATCAGCAGGTGATGCTTCCTTCCTTCCTTTCTTTTCTTGGCGCCCTTTCCCTGTACTTTGTTATGTTATGGAATGTCCTGTCTTGCTTGGCGCCATTAACTTTGAAGATTCAAAATGTAAAGCCCTCATACCCCACCTATCAATGACATGCCCCTTTGTGGAAAACAAGTAGATTTTGGGGCGGAGAAGCGGTTTTGGAACAGAAGGAAAAGAAAAACGTGGAAGGTCATTACTATCAAGGCCAGTGTCTCCATAGTTCCCACCGCAGCTGAACGAGACAGCTGGTGCTGTTTCCTGAGGTGGAAACAAGATTCCGCTCTCTCACAGTTTATCTTCCTAATCATGCAGGTTGGAGCAGCCCATAGCAAATGCCGCCTGGGCCTGCCAGGTGCGGTGGGTCTCGGGTAAGTTGGTCTCCTAGAATGTCTTCGTTTCTACCTGGCTTTTGAACTTGGAAGAGGCTTGGTTTACTAGGGAATCCTGACCGCACGCTGCCGGAGCGACAGTTTGCCAGCATTGATTCACCGAGCAGTCTCTCGTCCTTGAGTTAAGTGGCTTCCAATTACTTGTATCAAGAAATTGACCTGATTTGAAGAGTTTGAGCCGCGTACTTGTTAGCATACCACAAGTGCCACCGCTGATTCTGATTGGTTGCTCACAGCTCTCCTGGCTGCAAAGACACCCCCAGGCGCTTCGGTCTTCGAAGCGAGAAGGGGGAACTGCCTTTGCTCAAAATCCAGGCCCCCAAAACTAGTAGCCAGCTCCTCCCTCCCCCCCAGACTTGCCCCACTGCGACAGACTGCTAGACGGCGAACCCCACTTAGGCGATCTGCCCTTATAGACCGAGAGAGAGGCCCCAGCGAACAAGTATCCAATGGAAGGGGTGCAGAACCGGGAGCTGCCGAGGACGCCCCATCTTCGGCAAGGGGCTCGCAAGCTGAGCCCAGCGAACCCCCCACTGCGAAACCAAGCCCCGCTGAACGGAGGCAGAGGCGAAAAGCCGCCGCTGCTGGGGGAAAAAGCAGTGGCGAACGAAGTCGGGGGGAGAACCGAGTGGCTGCTGACGTGGAATGGGTGTCGGATGCAGTGAGCGGGGGCTTGCGGGCGAAGGATACTTTTGGGGGGAACAATAATGGTGACGTTAGCAATGATGTCAGCGGGGGCGACTCGGAGGGCGGGAACTCAAGCGGAAGCGACTCGGAGAGCGGGGGCGAGAGCGGGGGCGAGAGCAGCACGTCTGAGGGGGGGGAGAATTTGCGGGCCACGGCACCCCCCCAGAAGGGGGGCGAGGGCTGGTGGTTGAAAGCGATTCGGGGGGGTCTGCGAGAGGAGGACGTTGGGGGCGAGGTTGTGTTGAGTGAGGAAGCTTTACAGAAACGAGTTGAGTCAAGAAGAGGTGGCGGCAGTGAAGAGATAGAAGCAAAGATCAGAGAGGCTGATGCCAGAGTGGCTGCTCTCAAAGCGCAGCGCGCGAGGGTTAGGGCGCTTAACCCGGGGGTCCTTGAAGCGCGGCTGCATTTTGCACGAAACAGTGTCGAAGTGACGAGGAAGGGAACTAGAGGGGGAACGCGTGAAGAGGAAAGAAGTTGGGAGGAAACAGTCGCAGGGGAGAGAACTAGACAGGGCAGAGCGGGAGAGGAGCGACAAGGGGGGGAGAGTGATGGGGGAAGAAGACGGAGTGGTTCGGGAGACAACGGGATTTTGGAAGTAGGAGTTAGTGCGGAGCGAACGTCTGTAAGCAGACCCGGGGAAGCAAGAACTAGAGAGAGGGTGATTGGAAACGGAAACCTTAGCACGGGGTCTGCCAAGCTCCGCGGGGGAGTGTTCATGCCCGATCTCGACAAAGCGCTCTCGTCCCTTTTACGAGAGCGAAAACTAGACGAGGCGATCCGGCTGTTGCAGGACGGGCGCGCTCGGGGGGGTTTGGTCAGCCGGCGGAGCTACAGCTGGCTGGTGACGTTGCTCTGTCGTCAGCGGCGGTTTGCAACGGCGCATAACTGGTACCTGAGCGTGTCTCAAGAGGCCGGGGTGAGGCTGGACGACACGGCGCTGGCGATGCTGGTCCAAGAGGCGGTGCGCATCGAGCGCAGAGAAGAGGCGTGGGCTTTGTTACAGGTACGGGGTTTTGAAGTTTGATATCGCGGATTGTAAGGGTTGAAAAGCTTTGTTATTCCAGGACACGGCTATAGAGTTTTGGATTCTACTATGTCAGGATAGAAGTTTCAGGGGTCTCAAACATTCATAATGCTATGATACGGGTTGTAGGGACTTTACTGTTCCTGAATACAGGTTCAGGGTTTGGTACTCTTATGATGCCCGGATACAGGTTCTGGGGTTTAGGAAGTGCCATTGTTTCAGGCTTTGGGTCGTAGGGTCGAGACTTCAAGTGAAGAGGAATCAAGTTTTCCCTTCGCTTAAATGTCTTTGTCGATCCGCCCCTTTAAGTGACAATCTATTTTCGTAGAGCTAGACAACTGCGACAGGTACGAAAATTATGAGCATTTCACCCTGCAGTAGAAATATGTCCTTTTTCAGATTGTAGAGCGATGCCAGAGCTGAGTTCGACTGCAAAAGACACGTACCAAAGCATGCAAAGTCTTTTCCAATCAGAGGTTGGCGACCTACTTCACTGCAAACAATTTATTGACACGTTTCTGCTTCCCGCAGGTGATGCGTTCCTACGGCTACTGCCCACGTGTGGCCACGTGGAGCGCCGTCGTGAGCGTTTTCAGCCGGCATCCCAAAACCGCGGAACAAGCGCTGCGCATTTGGGACGAGGTCCGCTCGTGGCGCTTCGGAAACCAGGAGGTTTATACAGACACGGGCGCATATAATGCCGCACTGAATGCGTGCATCTCCCTGCGGGATATGTCGCGCGCTGAGGCCTTATGGGCGCAGCTGCAGGCGGAGGGCTTACAGCCCAACGTGCTGACGTATAATATCATGCTGAGGGGCTATGCGCTTATAGGGGAGGCGCGGGAGATGCTGGCGGGGCTGGAGAGCATGAAACGGGACGGGGTGCGGCCGGACGTGTCGACTTATAATACGAGGGTGGCGGGGCACGTGACCCTGGGTGACGTGGCATCGGCGGAGAGAGTTCTGGATGAGGTGCGGGAGTTGGCCGGAGTACGGAGAAAGAGTACAGCGGTGGGGTTAGAAGGAGACGGGGAGGGGGCCGGGTCTAAAGAAGGGGTTTCGGAGGAGCGGGCCGAAGGGGAAGTGGGAGCGGATTCTCAACTAGCGGCGTTTGCGGATTGGGCTGCTGACAAAGTCGAGCCTGGGATTGCGGATGGAAGCGCTGAGCAGACCACTGATTCTGCTTCGCGGAGTCGGACCGGTGTGAGTTATCCGGTAACAGGTAGAAACGGTAGTTTTGAGGGAGTAGACGAGTTGCAGAATCTAGACGCGTTGGAGAATCAGCAGTCGGAACGAAATATTTTGGCGCAAGCTCCGGTCTTGGAGGGCGCTTCGAGTAGCGGACTGGAAGACCGAAAAACAGAACGCGGGTTGCTAGAAAACGGGCAGATAGATGCTACCCCGTCAGCTACAGATTCTAGTGCTAGAAACGGCGGTAGTACATCCTCGGAAGCGGATAGAGTAGACCGGGAAGGGGAATCGATTTCCGGACGGCCGGAAGCGTTTAACAAGGAACGTCGGGCGTCGGGCCGTCCGACTCCGGCAGATGCGAGCGGTCCGATGGGGCGAAGTTCGGACTCTCCGGAGACGTGGACTCTGAACGGTCTGACGGCACCGGGCTCAAATTCAAAGCGTACGGAAAGGACTTCGGATCGTCCGATCGGAATCTTGAACGGTCCGGAAGCGTCCGTTTCCGGCCGGCCGTGGCCGACGCTCTCGGAGCTCCGTGACGAAGCCACCGCCGGGGCCCGGCAGCGGCCCCGGAGACCGGACGCCGGCGGCAGCGTCCAAACGGTCCGTCCGACCGTCCGAACTTACACCGCTCTCTTGCGGGGGTACGTGAAAGAGGGGCGGTTACGGGAGGCATTCGAATTGGTCGAAGAAATGGTTGCCGCCGCGGGGGGCCGGCAGGAAGCGCTCCCGAACGTCGTCACGTACACGGTCCTGATCGACGGGTGCGTGCGGAAGGGGAAAGTAGGGGTGGCGAGGAAGGTGGTGGCGTGGATGCGGCGCCAGGGGGTGGCGCCGAACACGGTGACGTACAATACGCTATTGCGGGGGTGTTGTCGGGAGCGCGATATGAGGGCCGGGCTGGGGGTCTGGAAAGAGATGGAGGAGGAGGGGGTCGAGGCGGATGTGGTGACGTACAATACGATGATGGACCTGTGCATCAAGGCGGACCAAGTCAGCGAGGCGTTCCGCTGGTTCAAAAGGTGGGGGTTCTTCGCTTTGAAATTTGTCAAGGTTACAACAGGTTCTATTTGGAGACTTTGTGTTTTAGAATGTGTTCCGGGCGAAGATTGCCAACTTTTTAACGGGTTCTTCCTAGACAAACGTGTTTTAGAATCTGTTCCAGGACAAAGAGACGATGTGGAGCTTTCCGTCGTCATTCCTGCTAAGGCTGTACGGAAGACGCGATAAGTCTTTGTCGCATGGTTGAGTAATTTCTGAAGCATTCTGAGGCGCGCGACCGGCAATCCCCGCATGTTTTCTGGTCATCACAAGTAGTGTCTTTTGTCTCGACTAGTAGGGATTTGCGCACTTGCTTGCAAGTCTGAAAGTTCAGCTTGACAGGCTTACATTTGTCCCCCAATGTTGTGTCATCTTTGGAGACATCGAATCGTGCTGGTAGTGTCGGCATGGTGTTCAAGGTGGCCCACCGACCATTCACTTTCGGATCGGGCAGAGGATGTCTTGCGAGCTTGTATTTGCTACCGTCTACATTGCCCCGCAGGATGAACACTGACTGCAAAAGTTCACGGTTTGAACAATGTTTCTGGAGGAAAGTTTCTGCCCTTACCTGTTTCAGCTGTCCAAATGCATGGGCCAAAATCCTGGCCTCTCGTTACTCGGAGTACCGGGAAGGTATCAAGTAAATTTTCCAAAAGCGAAAGTTGCTTCTTTGAGCGCTCAGATCTCACATTCGGCCGTCTCTTTTGCAGGTTGAAGGAGTCCCACATCGCCCCCACGGTCGTCTCCTACACGACGGCAATGCGCGGCTTGGGGCTCGCGCAAGAGCACGCCTTCGCGGAGCGCCTCTTCCGGACGATGCTCGACGACCCGTCCGTCGTCTTGGACCGTCCGGCGTGGAATGTCGTCATCGACACCTTTTGCCGCGCGGGCGCGATGCCGCTCGCCAAAAAGGTCTTTCAAGCGATGAAAACCGCGGGAGTGTCGCCGGATCTTGCGACCTACGGATCGCTCGTGTTGGGCTTCTCGCGGCAGGAAGACATCGGCGAAGTGCTCGTGCTCTGGAAGGAGATCAAGGCGCGGAACGCGGCCGCGCGGGAGTCGGGGGGATCCCCGGGGCGCCGGAACGGCCCTCCCCGGGAGCAGAAAGCGGTCGGGACGAGCGCCCGGGGGGAGATTTTGGTCGACCAGCGGCTGTGCGATGAGGTGCTGAGCGCGTGCGTGCGCGCGGGTTACTACGAGCGCGCTCTGGGCGTGATTGCCCTGATGGAGGAACTAGGGATGGCGATCAACCGGCGCAAGTATGGGGAGCTGTTTGCGGAGGAGCAGGAGCGGCCGTGGCGCGCGAGCCGGACGCAGATCATCGAGCGGTCGCCGCGGGCGAACGACTTCCTAGAGAAGTTCAAGGCGTGGCTCGGGTTGGATAATGATTACTACCAGCGGGAATGGAATTGGCGAGACTGAGGGGCAGCCATGGATGTGCAGGTCGCCAATGGGCACGGTTGGTGTGGGATTCGAGGGCCCTTTGAGGCGCCTCAGATGAGTAGAATTGTCGAAGTGTTGTTAGAAGGTGTTGCTTCGGGGGCAGCGACCACGACGGTATGGATGCCATAAGAGCTTGCAATTTTGGGTTGGCGACTTGTTACAGGAATCAATGTTCCCAACTCGTCGGGGAACTCTGCCAATCCGTACTGTTCATTGGCGCAACTGACCATGTGAGATCAAGTTGAAAAACGGTCTGCTTGTTACCTTTCAGCTGATTCCATCATGGCTTGTCATAGGCTTTGACCATCCTAGTTCCAAATCCTCAATGATGCAAGCTAGATTTGTGCAATTACGCATGGCATACTCGCTCCTTGCAAAAACCATTCACTTATATAGCTAGGTCACATGAACGCATACATTACTTTGAATTGTGGTTTAACTTCAATATCACAGCAGACAGCTTGCACACTCGCCCACGCGGCACATGCAATTGCATATTTAGTTTGACATATATACATGTGAAATAGTACAAGCTATCGCGTGCTTAATCATGCAAGCTTGGGCACAGCTGCCAATATGATCGGCAACACTGATCAGTGACAGTAATGATCGACTGCACAACTTTAGTAGTGGTACAGAAGATTGCTCTCAGCAACCCTCTTGCAAACAACGTACTGCAAGAACTGTCCGCGTGACGTTTTGCAGGACTGGACAGGCCTGCCGTGGTGCTTATATGATTTGCACTCCGTGACTCAAACTCACAGTTATCCCGCTTCTTCAAGTCTCTATCCGCTTGGAGACTAAAGAGAACCGACCGTGTCATGCGGCCCAACCCGGCCAAGCACCCACGCGCTCAAACCCTGGGCATGTGACAAGATGCCTTTGGTCTGGACTTTTGACAGACTTCTCACATTGCTTGTTGACCTTTACTGGCCTGAATCTGCTTATGGTCCGGACGTAACCGATCCCGCCTATTTACATGGCACCCCTCTGACTTTGTACATACCTGGCCGCAGCCCACGAGAACAGGATTCAGCACTAAGGCTCGCTACGAAAACTTGATTCACGTGCTGGTGAATGGGTCAGTGATTCGATCGTGAACTTGTAGACACGGTCAGCAGACGTTGACGAAGATTCGACTCCTTCCCCAGAGGAGCCTGCGATAGAGAGATGAGGAACAGGGTCAAACAACGACAATCTAGCTTGCAACAAGCAATGGAAACTAATTAAGAGCTTCTTGAGAAGAGCAAGCAAGTCAGATGAAGCATTTCTTCGACGAAAAAAGCTGCCCACTGGTGTTCGATGGGGACCTAGTGTTCTGCTTGTGACTGCTTATGAACGGAAAACCTTAGTAGATTCAGACACCGCAGGATCACTAATAAGCGACAGGGGTGGGAGAGTCTGGGAGTAATTAACGACCCACACACCAGACTACTACGTCTGGTACGTTGTACTTCATTGCTCTGCTTGACTGCTGGTTTGCAGCAAACAGACTGCAGTGGGCAATCCTCCAAGTCTCTGTCTGTTGTGTCTTTCTCTTCCAACATTCACAAAAGGACAAGACACTTTTACCCTTACCTCATTCTCCTTGTCCTCCTCACTTTTCTCGATCGGGATGTCGAGATACCGACGTAGTTGCTTCCAGAATTTTCGTGATGGCATGAGGGGCTCATCTCCTGCATGGAACATATTTCGACTTTAAAACCAAGACTTCGTGTGTAAGCGACAGCAGAAAAGGTAACGTAAGACGTCGCGCCAATGGTCACCTTAAACCCAACTAAAGTAGGTACGACAACCCAAGTCATGAATCCAGAAGTGCAAGGCAGTATCATGCACGCTGACCTGGCGCTGCCCAATATTTCCACGCTGATCTTCTTTCAACGCAGTCAAGTAAATCTTCTCATTCAAATGAGGGAAACAATCCTTCAGGGGTTGTATTGGTCATGTTTCCCATCAGCAAAAACCACTTGAAGAAACAGTCCAAAACTTCCCGTACCTGAGGCATTGCCTCAAACGACTTCGTGGTGTAGCACTGACTTTTTCTCAAAACCTCGTCACTCACGCCTGATAAACTTCATCCCCCAGAACAGGTCCAGAATGAACTCTAGGGTAATGCGGACCCAATTTTTGGTCTCCCAGGAACAGGACCTTGCTTCCTACGAATGGCATGTCTCAAGAGTTTCCACATGCAAGCGCCCTCTGGGTATCTTTAAAGACCCCCTCCTAATCAAGCTTTTGTAGCCTAAACTGTGGCTCTATGCTAGCTAGCAATCTTCAAGCAAGTAAACAAGCAAAAGTCGAGCAGCCCTCCACCACAGGCCGACCATGCAAAAATGTAACAAATCTAATAAGAAGTGGGTATGCACCACTTTGTACCACCACAGCTTTGTGCAACGGAAAGCCGCAGATGGTGCATTTTGGTGGTATACACTGGAGTCATCTGAAGAGAGACATCAATCACACCAGAACAGGGTCACTGACTGCCAAGTAATCCTTGCCCCTTCATGCGCAAATTATAGAAACTTGGCGAAGGTGGTTTATCTTACCATTCGTGCCTAAAGCAAGATCAGACTGCCTCTGACGTAGCCTCCCACAGCCTTCAAGCAGCAGGTCGAACTCAGCCTTCAGCCTTTCATAGTTGCCAAGGGCTTCTGGATCTTTTGGCTCAGGAGGATAGTAGAGCTTCATCTCCCAAACACGCAGCTCTCCTCGTTTCTTGTCGAGCATGTTTTGGACATTGTATAGCTCATGCTCCACTCTCTTCAGTTCTGCTGTCTCGTTCTCCATTGGACCTGTGTGAGAGCGACTCTTCCTAAATAGGAGGCTTTCAAAAACAATCGGCAAGTCCATTTCTATAATAGTATGCAATGTGCCAGCAGACGTAATGCAAGCTATCCCAGCTCCAGCAAATCAGAATTTCACGACCATCTCGAGGAGGAACATTAATAACCCACCAGCGGAGAATCCTTTGTGACAACCTTAATCTCAGATGCAAGATGAGTGACACGGGCATCCACAGCTGTCGCTTGAAATGTTCAACAGGGGGCGTTCACGATCTTACCCGCTCGCAAGTATAAGAAGCGCTGAGCAACAAGGAGTTGACGAAGGCCTTCTGAGGTAATCTCTCCAACTACTGATTGAACACGGGCAAAGAATGCTGAAGTCCGAATCACGACCGCCAGATTCTGCGAAGACCTGGGACTCTCGCAGAACGCGCTCCTTCTGCGTTTCCAGAAGAACTAATAGCTATTTCTTTCTGCGACCTGCTGTGGCATGCAATCAGCATAAGGCGCACGGGGGGAAGCACGTGTCACCTTCGCAGTGGTCAACGTCACTTCATCGACGGCGCTGCGTGAGTCATCGAGGGCTCCATCGGTGAGTCATCGACGGTGTTCATGACTCGTCAGCATGGGTGCGCGATTTTAATCAACCTGTTGGAAGCAACCGTCTGTTGTTAAATACCTAGATGAACGAGACAGCATATAATGCGTACCGCGTACCTACTCGCGTAGGTATACCGGTGATCCAATGGTAGTACCGAACCGTGACCGTATGCGGTTTCGTGCACATTGGTACCTAATAGGTAGTACCTTATAGGTAGATATTGGTAATGTTTATAGATCTAGTGCAGACTGCCAGGTACCTACTTCCATGCCTACATCGAAAGGATAAAAGGATGAAAAGGACCACGAATGACTCCACGATATTGAATCGAACCCCCAGAATTACCTCCGGTCGAACCAGGGCAACGCCCTAAATCCGACGTTTCTTACTGTAGTTTCTGCAACCTACAGTAGTGCATAAGTGCTGCTGACTTCTTCTTCCAAGTGTTGGCTGAGCTTCACGTCAGCTGCAAAGTCGGCCGGCCGCATGTGTGCGAATTTCCAGTTCTGTGCATAGTAAATGATCCCGCGCCGGCGGCTCCGGAGGGGTCAGGATCTTTCCATCAGCGAGCGACCTGTGTCACTCTCCGCAGTCTTAAATAGTCGTACTGTGTTATCCTCTCATTGAAGAGACCTGCTTGCAAACATATAGTAGTCATCTAGCACTAGACAGGCATTTGATGACTTCGAAGGAAGTTTCGTTGTGATCGACCTGATCGAGAGCTAGTCATTCTCTACTTATAGATCAAGCGCACCTTCAGCAACTTTCTCTGAGCACTGCTCTGCTTATGGCGGCGGCCAGTAAAATGGCCTGACTGGCAGATTAGGAAAGAAGTAATCAATCAACCGTTTCCGGGGCCGTTCCGTCACTTTAGAACCTTCGACTCTCAGATCCCTCGACTCGGCTGTTGGCGGCAATATCTCAGCCATCAGGTCAAGTTTTTGCAGGCCGGCCGCCAGACGCAACTGGCAGTGTAAGAAATGGAATCTGCTTGACATTTCTGAGTAGATGCATGACTAGAGGCCGAATGATGAGTCGATCACTGTCACTCCATTGTCCCACCCAACTGAAGGTGCGCGAGCAGAGTGATGGACACGTTTATGCCAGCCCATGAAGGCTTTGAGCCCGATGTTTGGATATAAATATAAGGAAGTCCCTCGCCGATCATGATGATGCCAAGCACAGCCCAAACTGCGTCCAGTATTCCAAAAAATTGAAGACGTTTATAAGATCCTAGTGGCAGCTGGCGTTTACGAGTCATCGAGCTTGAAGATTCTATAAAGCGCAAGGATCGAATGCTTGCAGCGGAACAGCGCTTTTATATCAAAAGCGCTCAGCCACGTATATACCAGTGCTCTAAAGTAGGATACACAGGGAACAAGAATTTCAATTTGTGGCATGCGGCACAAGAACCGTGAACTTGTCTGGCTCTGTTAGTCAAAGACGCACTGACCGTGCGTGTACTACTCGATCACGCGCGCGCGCACCGTCCAAAATTCAATATCCTTCGGGGTCACCAATGATCACTGTACGGAAGGGAGCTCTAACTTACCTACTGCATTAGTTCACCTCGGCCAGGCGCTTCCGGTCGAAGTCAATGAGTCCACTGCCAGCCCATGCATTTGATGGGTGCGGACTGGACCGCAAAGAGGAATATTATCAGCGTCAGTGCTTCAGTGATAGGACAAGGAAACACGTAAGACGTAATGAATCAACAAATTTAATAAGGGGGGTCAAGTATTTCAGTACTTTTGGGAGTAGAAGGACTACAGTAGAGCTGAAGTGGATGGACGTAGTGCACCTCCACTCTCCTTTAAGCCGCCGGTTCGCTTTAAATCGCTTTCGTTTTTCCATGATGGAACATAGATCACCATAGAGTGTACGTACGTGCTGTTCTCGCTCATTGGACATCCTACAAGAAGCATGGCTGCCAGCTACCTTTGCGAGCGCTCGGCCAAATTGCTTTTGTTTAAGGACAGCTGATTAGCTCGATATGACGTGCTCACCTAGCAGAATGGCTGGCATCGGATCGGGTGCTGCTTCCCTGAGAATCGGCCAGGCACCTTCTACTGAGACAGACGTCGAAGGTGCTTCAAAGTGTCAGTGAGTACCCGGTTCCGCATTTTTGTTGGAGATAAGTACTTCAACTTATCCACCTAGGCCATCCCTGCGCAGGGATGGCCTAGGTGGATAAGTTGAAGTACTTATCTCCAACATCAACCTCATCCACGGTCCTGTTGAACAGCAACCCCAAGGCTAACCCGGCCAACTCTGAGCAGGTGCGGGCTTTGGCTGCGCTCAAGGGGGACGCAAAATCATGCAAGGAGGCGGCCACCGAAGCAAGCATCGCGCTGAAGCGCATGCTGGCCAGCAAGGGTAAGCAGGTTCAGGATCTGAATCCAAGCTTTTAGTGATGAAATGAAGGTGCATGATTTATTTGACTCGAAATTTTTCGGCCCCCAGGCGTTAGCAAAATTCCTCGGTTGAAACCTTTATCCTTACATATGTTCAGTAGCATGCAATCCCTGCATGGAAATCCTTGGAGGTTGTTACCGCCTGGATCCTTGCAGATCTGCTCATTTCCGATCTGAAAGGGCTCTAAATGGTCTTTAATACTTCTGATGGCCCGCTGGAGGTCCTTTCTTGGCTTGGATACTTGAAGGCAATACAGCCATTATCGCAGGCTTCGCATCAAGAACATTGAACTTGTCGCTAAAACAGAGGATTTACTTGAACGGAGTTTTTACTACTTCCGAATCCGATATTAATTGATAGGTCCGCAAAGTCTGTTCGGAATAGCCACTGTGGCCCTGCAAAGTGTCCTGCCTTCAACTGTGTTACAATCGCACCATTAACGCTGCAGATGGTGACAGATGATGAAAGCTCATATTTGTTTGAGTAAAGACTCTTCGCACTTTTGGTGCTTGCAGTCAAACGTCCCGAACTGCATTCGTCCATCCAGATTTTCCTCACTTCGATGACTCGGCAATTGTGTGCCTCAGTCAGAATGTTCTGCTTTTCAAGTAGTATGAGGAATCATTTCTAGGCATCGAAGTTGGCATTCTGTCACATCTCTCAAATGAAAGAAATTTCTACTTCTTTTTCCAAAGAGGAATCAATCTGCTTCGAGACGAGAATCTGAGCAGAGGGGGAAGATTGTGTCCAGATCGAGGGACTGCTGAGGATCTTTTGCAGGGCGCCCTAAGGTGCGCGTGATAATCAGAACGGTGCCAGTTCTGAGTCTTCGAAACGCGGTCATTCACTGAGCCATCTTGTGAACGTTCCTGACAGACCTTGGGGCACTAAATGCGGCCGAAGACAAAGCAATCAAGGAGACGGTGACAGCAGCACTGGCGACGAGCTCTAGCGTAGTGAAATTGGCGGAAGCACACGCACTGCAAAACAAGGAATACGCCTACTTCCTAGAGACGGTGGTGAGCAAGGTGAAGGCGGAGGCGGAGGAGATCACCTTTGAGATCCAGGACATCCAGAAGCTGCTGAAGAGCGGTGAGTTGAATGAAGCTTAAGCATCCGATAGGGGCGAGGATGACGCTTTGTCGAAGCGTGACATAAGCCGTGCCTATTTTGACGTCAGCGGAACAGCGGAACGGCGGAATCCTGTTCCCGCGGACCGCGCGCTGGTTTGTGTAACTCGAAGGGCTCTCATGAAATCTCAACACTATCGCTTTCTGATTCTGAGAATTTTGACATTGGTTGCATTTGCTTCGAAGATTGGGGATCCCGCTAATCAGAGATTTCAAAGCCTGATGCTTCGTCGTATGACCAGTCGGATTCAGGATTCAGGCTTGCCTAGGTGCTCGAATGACGTGCTCGACTGAAGTGGTGGAAGGGATTCAGAATGGGACCTCTGGTCGTAGACTTTCAGAACCGGATCATTCAGATTCGAGAATGATGACGTCACCGCAATACTTGTGCTGATCTACAAAACCTCTTCGTACTCACCTGAAATGTCCGCTTTATCCTTGAATATGGGAATCTTTTGATTAATTCTCCATCAACTCAATTCTGAACCACAATCCAGCACCACAGAAGGTCTGTTCAAGGCGCGGAGGCCCACAGCCAAATTCTGACGGAGGGTTTGAGTGCTTTAAACAGCTGTGAGCACCTTCGAGACCTGAGATGAGAGTTGGATGTTTCATTCCGAATCTGTCGAGCTGTCCGATACATTCTCGATTCGACAAAGCGTTGTGATTTCGTCAATGGAGAATCTCATCTAGTAAGGGCTTAAGCAAAGCAGAACACGCATCTTCTTGCAGGGGAGCGACTCCTACAATACATACGCGATCAGAAGGACACGACGTGGTGGATCTTCAGGTTCGTGTGCCTTTCCGGCCTCACCTGGGGGTTCAAATACCCGCTGTCCAAGCTTCTAATGGCGGCCATGTTCTACTCGAGCCTCATCGGAGGGGCCGGGGGGGGCTACCTGCTGCTCTGGGTCAAGGGGTGGGACATCCTCAACATCTGGGCGCACATAGCCACGCCCCCCCGGACGCTCATTGGAGTAGTCGCCCACTGGAGAAAGCTCCAGAAGGACGACGAGCTTCGGTGCTGGGTGTTCCCCAACCTGCGCTATAAATTCTCTTTGCTACTTTATGGGTGGCTGACTGTGGGGCTGAGCGTCGGCATAGTGTTAGGGGCGATGTATTACGAGCAAGCGTATGTGATTTCCGCCATCTACAACATCGTCCTCTCTGTCATAAACATCTACAGGGACTATGAGAAAGACGGCGACATCGTCTTTGGGATCACTTGGCGATGACGCGCTTGAGGACGGTCTTGTAGATGGTGGCAACGAGCAGGTTTGCTTGGTAGATAGAGTACAGACGCTCTTTTGATTCTCGATGTGGACATTTGATCCGTGGCGGCAGCGGTGTGAGAATGCAAGCTCGAGTCGTGATGAACAGCCAAGTCTCCGTCAAAGTCGTTGATCAGGAGCCTATGTATCTGCGTGAAGTTCCAACAAGTGCATGAAGCGTTCGTCGAAGGACGTACAGATTGATGTATCCATCTTGAAACCGAGTCAAGATATGCAGATGATGAATGCTTCGGATGTTAAGCGTAACTTTAAGTACATCAGGATCGGGATGAATTCGAAGGGCAGGGATTGTACCGTAAAATGGACCAGAAACTGTGTTTGTATGCATAGATGCAAGCTTTCTTGGCGCACCATCAGTAGCTACGACTGTTGACAGCTGCAATCACCATAACTCCTATACTGGAGTAGGAAACTGTCAACCTACTCTCTAACGCTGACCTGCGCCTGAACATGCATTTTCAGAAGCAAGTTGTGGTCCAGATATCTCAATGAAGTGTGACCGATAAAAACATAGTCAATATTGTGTTCTTCGATGCTTGGGAACGCTGAACGCAATCAAATAATGTTCCACTCGTTTATGGTGGCCGAGCTGATGTCAAACTGCCCAATTTAACCTCTTCGAGCTTCCGCAATTGGGTAGATGAAGCTCTCGGTACGTAACCTACCGCCTGCCTCTGCTTGTTCTTGTCGCGTCAGCCCTACTTTACCGGTGACTGGGCGCTCACTTTATCGTACTGGTCAAGATGATTGCAAATCATTCAATTCTGTAATCTTGCAACGGTCGAAGCGCTGTATGATGCTTATCACTGCATGATTCCTGCCTCAGCCAAGTATCCCGATCCTGACGATTCCTGAACGACCCGATTCGCCACTTTGAGTCGGTTTCGAGAGTACTGTCTCCGGGCTCACTTGGCAGGTCCCTGGGAGCGGCGCAGAAACGTGCACAGTCGCGCGCGTGGCGCTACTCAAAACAGACTAAAAGGTTAAGGTGAACGAGATCGTAAAAAATCAGGTTTCGCGAACACGGCCCGGGCGCCCTACTCGCCGCCTTGCTACGTCACGAGGTTTGCCTGAGTGCTCCGGTGAACCCGCCAGAAAGTAATTTCGAAATCGGACAATGCTTGTTTGCAGGGCGGTCGGAGGTTTAGCTCAGCCTCATGTCGATAGTGCTGGGCACTTGTGAGGGCATAACGGAAAAAGAATCCAGCAACCCCGTGCTCTGACACCTTCACTGGTGGCACGAAAAAGCCACATTCCGTTTCAAAGCTCCAAATGATGGGGTTTGAAAGAGCTCTTTGTTATCCTGCTTCGGTTGACGGCGAGAACGGCAGAGGACCCGGAAATGTGTTCGCTGGGTAAAGTCGTCTTTCGCACACTAACCGGTTTCAATCTTTCGAGCCTCCGTTCAGCTTCTGACATCCTTCCTCAGGCTGGCAGCCACGAAAAATTGAAAACCGGGTCCGATTGCAGGCATGACCGTGTTTACTTTTGCGAGAAGCAGTCTTGGGCCCGCCTGTCAAGGCGAAGTTCTGATTTTTCTTTTCTCCCTGGAAGAGTCTGTCTTATCTTTCCGACCTTGAAAGGAAAAGGCAGGCGGTCTCTTCCGAAAGAGACGTGTTCTGCGGTCATGCAGTTCGACCGCGCAAACAGACTCGAGTTTTACATACCTCGACGATCCTCAGAAAAGCGGGGAGAAAGACGAGATTGAAGAAACGCCAGTCCAATCTCCGGTTCTCATGGAGTCTCTGCTGCTTTCAGATGTCGCTGATCGCTGGCAGCCGAGCTGTGAGGCGGCGCCGTTTTCAGCAGCTTTGAAAGACATGCGTTGAACGTTCAATCTGCAAGCACTCAGAATCGACGCGGCCGCTGAGTCACGTACCGTTGAAGGGCCCGCGCGTGGCAACTTGAAGCTCTTAGTTTGACACATACGAACACGCCTGGTCGACGTATGTTACTCCATGTAGGAATGGTGTCTCGTATATAGTGCTTCCGTTTGTGCTAGCGACACCCGGCTATAATATGAAACAGCACTGAAGGCGGCACTGCGGCGGCAATCAACTGGCGGCCGGCATCTAAGAAGTCAGCACACGAGACGATGATGTATCATGTGCAGATAAGCAGACAATTGTACTTAATAGCGTTATTATGTTTCAACGAAGTACAAACCAGGAATTGCGAGATTCACCAAAATCATGCGCACCGCGCGCAATATCCGAGCGAGCAATGACGTGACCATGATCTTGCAGAAGGTGCATGCGTCTAATCGAAACTTATGTTAACTTGGCGGGACCAGGCCCGGCTACGCGAATCAACACTCCAGTCACAAACATTCAGGACAGGAGCCAGGTCATGCCAGACCCGCTTTCTGACCTTCACCTCACGTGGCCTCCAAGGAGAACCGTACGCAGGCCCGGAGTTGCATTTAGAGTGTGTGAGGCCCGTTTGTGAGAGCAAAACTGGTGCGGAGCTGACGTGATAGTCTGTCTCATCGTGTTACAAGTCAACAGTCAAAAAGTACCTCATATTGTCCAACTTGTCAAGTTCTCCTGACCAACTCGGACTGGCTAAAGGATTCGGTTTAGTGACTCTATGTCAACAGTTTCGTCACAAGTTGGTCCTGTCGTCCAGCAGTTGCTTAACGAATTGGACTCTCTGCTTCCTCCGTTTGTCCTCCTTGACTCCGCTTCTTCCAAAGATGACGTCAGCAAGCTCCGAAGCTGCAAAACAAGTGCCGACTCCCGTGAGCAATGCGAGGCGGTTGACCAAGTATGTGGGACAGCGATGCAGCAAGGATTTATGGGACGCACGCAAGGTTTCCGGCTCTGATCTTCTGACGACATATGCATGATTTAAGGTGAGACGGTGAGACTGGTCCGGGAAAGGAGCATTCAGCCACCGAGATTCGCCGTACAAAGGGTGCCAGATTTGCACGCCTCCAAAGCGCCAAGTCTCAGGCCCCCTGGAAACTCATCCAGAATTTTGGGGGCTGATACCCCCTTCCTTACAACGACGCTACCAAGATTCTCGCGCTACCTAAGTTCTCGCGTCAGCAAGTAAGGCCACATTCAACGCTTTCCGCAATCTCCGCGATTCGAAGAGGGGCCAGAGAGCGCCGGGCTAAAATCCGGAGTCCCAAACGCTGATTGTTTACACAACTGACAAGAGAGCATTGCCAATGGAACTAGCGAACAGTCACGCGCATAGAACAACCTGGAATTCAAGAGAGAAGCGCTCACCCAGCGCTTGGCTCGACAGTCCCTTTTCGGCCCCCCGGTTCAGCAGCTCCGCGAACGACGTCATCAGCAGCTCGTACATGCCATAATGGGACGGCACAAGCCCCTGTTCGACGAGGACCACCGCTTCGCGCTTTGCGGTCGCAAAGTCGGCCTCGATCGCCGTCAGGATGCTCTTCGAGAGGAGCGGCTCGGGCAGGGCCGCCAGGAAGGAGAAGAGCGCGGCCAAGGCGGTGCGGCCGCTGGTGCCCGGGGGAAAGTCGGCACCTGGGGGGTTGGAACAATTCGGTCATATTCTTGCCTACCAACCCTCAAAACCCTAGAACCTTAGGTGCCCGGGGAATAGTCAGCGACTGAGTGAAGGGACGGTTCAGTTTGGCTTCGCTTTGACTAAAATGAAAAGTGCCACCAGGACGGTGCCCGGCGAAAAGCGGCACCTGGGAAAAGGAAATGTTCAGTAAAAGTATTAGGGGCGGAGGGATCTGGAATTGAACTTGGCTAGTGGCAGGTAAAGACTACTTTTTCCGTACTCAATGTACTGAGTCGCCAATCATTTCAATCATGTCCTCGTGTTAAGTGAGAGTTGAAGGAAAATTCCTCAAGTTCACTTGGAGAACAAGAGCGCGGCCAGGACGGTCCGGCCGTTGATGCCTGGCGAGGAATCAAAACTTGGGGGAAAGGAAAGGTCGGTGTCAACTCTGCATTTAGCAAAGGAAGGAGAAGACATGGTCAGATGGTGAGCCCGTTGGTGCCCGGTAGGAAAAGGGAAGGGTGAAGGATATGTCTTCCCTCACTTTCGTCAGGGAAAGAGCACCGGACGATGGCTTGAGAGTTCTCTTGTGAGTGGTCGCAACGTGAGCAGAAGTGAGAAAAGGAGCGCCGAGCAAAGACGGGTCTGCGAAATTCAGCCGGGACGAAAGTTAGAAGAAAGGGCTTGTACACGCTCAAAGAAACACCGCACCTGTATCGAGGCTCTCTCTGACCGCTGCCTGAGCCGCCTCGGGATCTTCTGCTTCTTCTCCGTTTTCCGGCGACCTCCCCTTTGCGGCATCCCCGTCTTTGGTCGCCATTGAATCCGCACCGCCCGCTTGTTCCGGCTGCATTAAATGGTCTAACAACCGGATCACCTCCTTGGGCACAGTCTGCCCCATCGCTACCTCCTTGCTAACCTGCCCCGTAACCGCGTTCTTAACCTCGCCGTCATTATCGCCAACCCTGCCCAGATCCACACGGGTCAGACCCCGAACCGGTTCTGAGAACGCCGCCAGCTTGGTTAACCGTAACCCCCAGCTCGACGGCAAATAATTTCCCGTCACCGAAACGAAGTGATCCCCCCCGCCATGCACGCGCAACACCAGAATACCCTCCAACGCGTTTTCCCGTTCGATCACTGCCTCGACGTCAACACTTGCAGAGTCGACTCGTGCGGACACGGAAACCTCTAGAACCTCCCCGGCCGCAACTTCTCCTTTCAGGGGGGTGACCGTCAGCCAGGGCGGGCAGGGCGGCCCGCTACCCCCCACGTCGACGAAAGCGAATTCGGCTCGCACGGCACCGTTGTTGTGGATTTGGAGGGGCTGTGGGGGGGTGGGGACGCCGTATCGGATGTCGCCTAAGTGTACAATCTGCAAGAAGGGGAAGGAGATCTGCTTCCGAGACTAGGGACGGGAATTCCTGGTTAGAACGAGTTCTCTGCGGGTCGTGCGGTTTCAATGGAATGCCGAGGACATCAAAGCGGACATGCAGGATCGCAGAGAATCAAAAGGGTACCTTGTGCGATAGAGGACGGAAGCAAGCAAGTAAGAAAGGGGCAGTGGACCAGTCTTTGATGACATTATATTTCGAGCCGGATTTGAAAGAAGCGTCGACCTTGCTTGATATTGGTCAAAGACACTCGGTCCTAACTGACGTGCTGGAAGAGGCTGCAGACGGGCCGGCTGGGCATCTCGTTCGCTGCTACTAAGATCACACCAGACGGACACCAGACGATCAAGAACGGGATGTACAGACACGAAGTCACAAATCACACGACAAACAGACCTGCGGGAACAGGTTGCAGACGGGCCGGCTGTCTATTCCGTCCGCTAATTGAAGGACCATGGCAAACGAGCATCACGAATGTATTCAGTCACTTTGCACGTTTCAGGCGTTCTGAGACACTCGTCCTTCTGCTCGTCAAGTGTACAAAAGCGTCAAAGCGAAAATTCAAAATGGTGGCGACGCCCTCACTTTGATTCACCCGGAGCTGTCGCAGAGAACATTCAGGGCCCGCATCTGGGGTTGGCAGAGGGAATCATATGTAAACCCCATCGTTCGATGCGGAGGGCTAAGTTGGGGGCAGCCCCCATCGATCGACGCTTTCAAAGTTTTCTTGCCGGACCCAAGAGCGTGCCTACTGACTGTCTTGATAACTAGGTCCCTGAATAGGCAAAGTCTGACCTGCGGGGAGAGGCTGCACACGGGCCGGCTGTTCATCTCGTCCGCGTCCGCCTTGGCCCGTAGCTTGGCCAGGAGCGCCTCCAGCTTCTCAGGGACGATGACGTCAGCTTTGGTCGCGAAGCGCGCCTTGACAGGCCGGTGGTCCCCAGTCCTCAGCTCTGGGGGAAGGAGGGGAAGGAAACGAGCTTTCACAAGAAGCGCCAAGACTTGAAGCTCGTAGCCCGGACATCGTGCGGAATGCAAACCACACTGTCCAACATCTTGCACCGCTCCAAAGCAAGAATTCATGGCGGCAGGAAGGAAGCTGCAGGTGTAAGGACTTTCAGGCCTTGCACAGGGACGAGAAGTATGCCACCAGATCAGATGGCACGCACGAAACGAGCACGTGTGGTGTTTAGTCCCCAAGTCAAGCTGACGTCCACGCGCTGACGAAACTTTCGATCGGTGCTCACAACAAAAGGATATTTGCAAGCGGAGACGACTGCCAGACAAGGGAAGCTACCAGGGTCTCATCTCAAGTTATCGAAGCAACACGCCGTACAATTAGCCGAAAGCTGAAAAGAAGTGGGCAGATTTGGGTAAGGGTTTTTGCCGATATCCCAGGCTTGTGTCTCAATCACCGGTAAAGCCGTTAAGCTACCAGCTCCTTCAGCGTCTGACATCTTCGCTGCTCTTTCTAGAAGTCTCGAATGGAGGTAAAACACATCTCCAGGAAACGCTTCGCGACCACAACAAGCTTTAAACCATCTGCTATTGGTTGTAGCAAACCAAAAAGCCCAAGAACATTCGGCCCTTTTCTTCGTTGCATAGAGGCCATAACCCGACACTTAAAAGATTTTGTAACAAAATTTGAGATAAGACTGATGTTTTTCTCCAAGCAAAGGGCGGCCTTGTCACGTTAACGAGGGACGTTGCTTTGTTTGGAGAGCAGAGTTGCATGTCAGCAGTTCGCATGTCACCACCTCCTATCGTCCTTAAAATACCGGCTGTAAGAAACCTGTGCGACAACGAGAAGCTTGGCAGATGTACTCACCGGCTCGCCCATACTTGAGCTGCGTCAAATAGTCTCCCTTCCATAGAACTCTGTCGCACCAGGCCGGCGTCCTACGTTTCTCCCCTTCCGCTATTGGATCCGTGCCCACATACCTATCCGTCCCGGGGCAATACTTATACGTCGGCGCAAAGTCGATCTTCCCCTCCTGCCAATCCACAAACACTTGCTTCGCATTCTGCTCGAGCCGCAACTGATCGGACTCCACCAACGTTTCCCAATCCTGCTTCTTAACCGCCTCCCTAACCTCCTCGTCCGGCAGGGCGATCCGGTAGTTAAGGTCCCCTAACCAGATTCGCTGGTCGTGCTCCCCGATCGTCGCCGGCAGGTTCTGCTGCTGCTCCGCGAGGCTCCGCGTGAAGTACGTCCGCCGCGTGATCTCGCTGACGTCACCCGACCGCCGCGACTCGTCCCCCTCCGCGTCCCCTGAAGTCAGGTGCGAGCAGACGAAACACAGCGTGCTCTCGTGCAGCAAAAGCGAGACGGAAACGGAGCCCTTGTTCCCCAACACGCCAAGCAACCCGACGCCCACTGCTGACGTCTGCACCGACCGCACGTGCTTGCGTATCTCCTTCCGCACCCACACGCACACGTGTACGCCGACCATTTGCTTCGACGCCACCTGCACGTACCGCCGCGTCGCTCCGTTCGCCGCCCGGAGATCCCGCTCACCCTCCACCCGATCTAGCTTCTCCTTGGCGCTAGCATCCGCATGCCAGTCCGCCTCCAGAGTCTCGATCAGATCCGTCGAGTCGACGCTCGTTCCGTCGGCTTCCGGTCCAGTTCCCACGGCACTTTCCGTTCCCCCCGTCTCTGACCCTCCATTCGGCAAACCCCCGCTGCTTCGCTCAGCTGCATCATTCCCACGCCCGTCCTCCCCCCGGCTGATCTCCGCGCCAGCTTTCGCGCCACCCCCTTTCTTTTCCTCGTTCTCTACTCCTCTCTCATCATCACCCCTTTGCGCGTCATCCGCAGCCTCAGAGTCCGGGCCCCCCTCAGGAAGATCTCCTCCAGGCTCCTGCCCCCGTAGCTTTTCGTCCGCGTTCTTCTGTGCTTCCATGCCGCCACTCTCTTTGTCGGCCGGATAGGCGACCAGCGTTTCGTGGATCAAGGCTTCCCAGCGAGCGGCGGCCTCGCCCATGTCGCCAATGAGGACGCTGTTTGCGTTCAGCGGGACGATCTCCTGAACAGCGGAGGCAAAGCTTTGTTGGCGCTTCGTAGAAGCAAATTCTTACTGTCAGCTCCTAGCTTCACAGCATTGCTTGCACATAAACGACCCGGACCCACAGAGACGAGAAGGAGCGAGACAGAGATTGAGACGCTCCCCGTTTCGGAATCTTCAACTGCAAGCCCCAGTAAGCACGACACTGCAGTTTTCAGCAATTTGACCCCTGTTCCCATCTATATTTCCAATCTGGCGCCTCAATTGAGGCGACTTTGGTAGCAACTGAACCGCCCAGACTCGCACGCTGAAAAAATTTTTCCGGTCCGTGCTTGCAGGTTTGCCAGAACCCCCTGTACCTTTAGTATCAAAGGACGCACCTGGAACCCGACAACGTAGATGTCTGCAGGGTTCTCGACGTCCAGCAATTCGTCCAGCTCGAGGCCGTCTGGCGGGCGGCGACCGTTGACATTCCACGTGGCCACGTGGATGGAGAGGTCCAACGTGTCGGTGAACTCGCTGCGCAGCTCGCGGAGCTCCCCGCGGATGACCTTGCGCCGCAGGAGTGTGCGGGGGCTCTCTTCCTCTGCACAAAATGACCGTTTTGTTTTGACTTCGTTTATAGAATAGAAGGGCTGTTTAAGCTGGTAGGAGAGTCCAGAGAGATTGGCAGAAAAGGTTTGGAAGAAGTAGGGTTTCGCAAATGGGTCCAAAAAGAAGCCACCCCCCCGGATGACTTGCGCCGCAGACCGTGCGCGGGCTCTCTTCTCTTGTGCAGATTGGCGGGTCGAATCCGTTTAGAATGCACTCCTAATAAAGCTGCCCTTAGGCTACTGGGAGGGATTGGATATTGGAATGAAACATTTTGCAGATTCCTCCCAACTTCTTGAAGGAGAGGGGAGTGAGCGAACATTGTAGACGCTGGCCGAACACAGCTATTCAAAGCCCCGTAGGATAGTCAGCTTCAGTTGGAAAATGAACCCGTCCAGCAAATGCAACCAACTACAACCGAAAGCGAAACACTGATATGGCCCTTACCTTGATCGTTATCCCATCGGCTCTGCGCTTCTGCGCTTGTGGGGCTTGTAGTGCCCTCTTTCTTGGGACTGCCGAGGGCGCCTGGAAAGGACCAAGCATATATTAGCATGGCCCTCATGAGCCTTGCGCATAGGACCTCGTGGGCCACATACCCTATGCATGTTTAAGTTTGCCAGCACGGGCGTTACAGGCCAGTCAGCTCAGTCTGCTTTGCAGCTGTGCCGGAATACCTTTTTCTTTTATTTTTGAGTTGACCTAGGCAGTCTTATATTGAAAACGTTTCTTCAGCAAACGACACACAAGAAAGTCCTTAAAAGTCCTACAACAGCTCAAGGAAGAGGAGTGCGCAGCCGTCCTTCGCTCGTCCTACCAATTTCCAACGGAAAAGACAGAAACAAGGGGATCAAGATTGGCAGAACGGCGACTTTTAGATGCATTATCCTTGCTTCGGTAGGGTCTTTACATTTGAACAAGGACGAACTGGTGAAGGTGCTGCATCGAAGAACGTTGAATTGAATTTTCTCAAAACGACCATTGTGAGATCATAGGGGAACTTGCCTCGGCTGCTAGGAGAATCATTACTCCCAGCTTGCGGGGCAGCCTTTCCAACCCACTTCCTGAGGTACTGCTGTGCCCTAAAAATCTGCAAGCGGTGTCAACCTTGTTTGAGCAAGATGGCAAAGTACTGTCCAGAAAAGCTTGAGCAGATTGCAACATGGGGGCCAATCAGAAGCTAGGCGAGGTTCGATCAAATGATCCAAGCCCCTTCTTCCTGGATGACTAGCAAGAATCGATGCCTGTAGTCCTTCTTTTCTGCATGAAAAAACCTCACTCTGCATGCCATGTTGGCTGCAGATGCATTGAGGAGCGCTCCCTCATTCGAGCAAGGCGCTACCAGCCTTGGAAGCATCTATGCTTATTGCAAGCAGCACCTCCCACATAGGAGTTGGCACGATTCTGTCCCATCACTCTTACCTCCTGAGTGGCGGCGAACATCCTGGCTTGTCGCTTTGGCCACCGGTTTCCTGCACTACAAAGTTGAGTTCACTTCTGAGAGCGCAGTTGAGAAGGTGGTGTGGCTATAAGCAAGCCAAGTGCGCCTTGCATGGAAGGTAGTAAAAACGAACACAGTCCTAAGCTACATACAATGACACATGTAGAAGAAGATAAGAACAGGAGCTTTTCAACAAAGACAGGGCAGAAACCCTAGAAAACCCCTGATATGACGGCCATAGCTTGTCGATTGGTCTGGAGTTTCGTGCTTTGTATCCAGCGCTCCAGCTTATGAGGTTGATCATTATCAGAAAGAGTCACGGCCCCAAAAGACTAATCAATAATTGCAACTTGAACAAGGCAATGTGGGGGCATTAGGTCATCTTTACACCCTAGAAACTTGATCTCGGGAGCACGCTTTTGCAATGCTTACCTTGGTGCTCAATTGGCTTCAACACCGTGATTCCCGCTATATGAGGCTTTCTCAAGGATACCCGCATGGGCTAGATCCAAAGGCAAGAAGCACCAACAGTCACAATGCACGTTGGCTCAGTCTTCCTTCTTGGACCATCATTGCTACATGCCCAGGGCCATGGCGCGAGTGTCTGTCACGATCCAAAGCGCACGGCTAGGCATTGCAAATAAAGTAGCAACCACTGCTCAATCCCAAAATTGGTGACAATCCATGCTGCGCAGAGTCTGCTTCAGCGCAGCAACCCCAGCAATGCATGAACATGCACGAAAACAAGGTGCTCTTTCCTCCGTCACCTTGGCCCGTAACTCAGAAGAGCGCCACACGAATTTGAATAATATGGGCTTTCTAAATTCTTGGATGGATAATTCAACTAGCTAGCGCAAGGCAACATTCTTCTCCGCAGCAAATCAGCCTGCCTGCGCGAGTGAGCTATACAATCACTAACCGCACGGTCAATCTCTGCCGTTCAGATGCTACAAAAGTTTTCATCGGACGGCCAGAACAGTCTACATTGCTCGCGCGCACAAAAGACCTTTCGTTGGGACAACCATCTTTCGCGCAGATGACTGAAAATCCAGACTGAGAACTGCTTCACTCGTTTTGGCTCGCTTGTCTTCCCGCAAGCTTCTTGAAGTCGAAGCCGCAAGCTTCAAAGCTCCAGAAAGCTCATGCAGAGGCCAATTTTTAGCGCCTTCTAGTACTACCATCGGTAGGATCCGATAGAAGGCAACCATGAAGTCCCTCATGCTGTGGGGCGCCTTTGAGCAGCCTCTCCACGACTGCCTCTTAGAAGAGCTAAGAGCTGGCAGCGAATTTGACCTACAGGTCGTGTTCCCTTCTTCCACATTCACTGAACCTCAACAGACTCTGCAGAGCTTGCCAAATACAGCCGCCGTGAATCTAGATACCGCGGAGGCACGTTTCAATGACGAAGAGCTGCGAGCACTCAGGGGTGCTGACATCATCCTTCATCAGCTCAGGCAGACTGAGAGCGAAAGAGAAGAATTTGCTGACGTCCTTCGAGGTGCGTCTTGGCATTCGAATGGTGTACATAGCACAAAAGTATAGGCTGCGTAACTTTAGCAATAAGGATGCATGGCGAGTTGGCCAAAAGCTGATGGCCGTTGTCAATGTAGCTTTAATGGGTGGTTGTTTACCAGGGGCTGTTGGTGTACGGGCTTGAAGGCCCGGCATAAGAGCTGCCCCACCCTTACACTTTCTGACGACTTACTTTTGACAGCTGGCAAGAGAACAGTGTCCGCAAGCATGGCAAATATGCATGAAGTGTGCTTTGCAATCAAACAAAGGCTTCTGTCTCTTTGACCTGGACAGTTGCAGCTTTCATACTGGTTGGAACAATCAGTGCACTAGAGAAGTGGTGCACAGAACGTGCAAACATTTGCATCTGTGGCTCTTTCAGTAAAGCCAACTTCGACCTTCATGAGCTTGGGTCAACTCAGAAACTGACGCCGAAGAACCACAAACCACCACCACAGAGTCGCGCAAAAGCATCACAGGCAACAGGCCTATACTCAAAGCCCAAAGCATTGTTTGTAGTATGGCCACTGCACTCTGAAAAAATCTTTTCGAATTTCCCCAGTCTTGAAAGCTGGCCCCCAAGGAAAGGAGACAGTCTTCATTGCCGTCTCCGACATCTTGACATGGGCTCGCTTGCGCGTGGATATGGAAGAGCCATGCTCTACAGCGGACGAGCCGCGGAGAAGGCCCCATCCCCAATACGGCGACCTTCTAGAAGCTGAGAGAAGGGTCACACGAGCACAGAAACAGGGCCTGCTTAGGACGTACGTCGTCTGGCCCGGGGTTCAGTATGGAGGAGGAGAAAGGGCCTTGGAGAGTGTGTTCCGGGTAAGATACCGCTTTTTACGGGGGTGTGAGAGTGGCTGACAAACTTTTCGAAAGGTCCTTAAGGGGGCAGTAATGCAAATGCAAGCAAGCAGCGCAGCGTCACATTCTTGCTGGCCTCTGATGCACTTTGATCTGCACGTTCTCGTTGTGTGTGAACGCAATTTCGGCAAGCCGGCTTTTGGGTCCGTTGCGAGAGAAAAGGTACCATAAGGAAATTGTGACCAGCAAGAGAGATTAAACTTGTCAGATATATCAACACGGGTACCCATGCACATATGCAAAATACCATTGAGAGCTACAGCCACCGGAGGCTCCAAGGAAGATCAGCCGGCAGACAGATACTGTTTCTAAACGCAGGACTCCTGGTCAGGGGAGGGTCCCACTGTGTACGGCTTCGGAGACAACGTCCTGCCAACCATACACGTGTCCGACCTGGCGACCTTCATCAAACACGTGGCAGTCACACTGCCACCTCAGCAGCACCTGTTGGCTGTGGACGAGGCGCGCTGCACGCAGCAAGCATTGGTCGAAGTACGGCAAGCTCTCCCTCGTGATCCCATTTTTTGTCTTCTTCTGTGACTATGCTCCAGATTTGTTTCCATTCCACACCTGCTGTCTCTTGCTTTCGCCTTCACGAGTCATCCTGGCGTGTTGTTACTTATCGAGCCAGCAGTCCAGCTCTTCCATCTCCTCTGTGCCCATTGAGATGTCCTTTCTAAACATCCTGTGAGTCGCTCATGTCATCTCCTTTCCCCTATCAAATACTATGATGAGGTCGACAGCATTCGTATGATGCATTTGCGCTTTTCGCCTGATTCTCAGTCAGCTGGCTAGCAAAGGACGACGCCACGGATCGCTTTGTCTTAGGGGGCCAGATGTAATCAGAAGCCTCTCGTGGCCTACCTGTACTTAGGATGGCTGGTAAACGCCTTCTGATGATAGCAAACGGACCCCAGCTTGCCCACTACGTCCATAAGGAGCCTTGACCCTTACAGGTCTTTGCCTGAATTGCGGCTCGCTTTCAGAACAGTGCCTGCGTCTCCAGATCCAGAGTCAGAGCTGAACTGTACAACTAAGAACTTCGGACGTGACTTTCCGTGCAGGGCGTCGCTGCCCACTTTGGTGCGGACGTCCGGCGGATGTCCGTGGAGGAGATGTGGCTGTCCAACAGGAGAGTCGAGCCCAGCCTGCTCCTCAACCTGCCGATGCAAGCGACGCCCCTCGAGGAGATGACGTGGCGCTTTAAGGTGAGACACGCCCTTTCTTGCTCCGTGAGCCCAGCCCATCAAAGAACTGATCCAGTGGCAGTGCTCGGTCTCCGAATAGAAACCTCCATCCTTTCCCGCTCCTTACAAGGCTCCCTCCCCCCGCGCCAACCTGGTTCTTCTCCATCTCCCGAGGCGCAATCTTCCGACCTTTTTTCTCTCCTCCACCGAACGTTCTTCAAAACGTGCTTTCCTGAGTCAGCCCCCCATATTCGCTCCATAAGACGGCGACCTCCCGCGTGGCCAGTCTCTCGCACAGTATCTCTCTATCCCTTCCCCTAGAAGGACATTCTTCGAAGGACTCACTTCTCATCGCTCAGTAAGAACACTCCCCACACTATCTTTCTCCAAACATTCCCCCATTTTCTCCACACAGGACGGTCCCCTTCCCTACGTGGCCAGGCTTGCCCGCGACTTTCTGGACCGTCGTGGCCTCGCCCCCCTTCGCGTGTCGCTCCACGGCCCCCCCGCGGCCGGAAAAAGCGCGCTTGCGCGCGCGCTCGCACAGGAGTACGGCGTCGACGTCCTTTCGGTGCCCGCGGTCATCAAGTGGGCCCTTGAAGAGGTAGGCAAGTTCACGTCTCAAATCAAAACTCTTGAAATTAAATTGGAAATTAACAACAGAGAAGCGAGTCAAGGGGGACCGTGAGGAGCGAACAACTTCCCCGGGTTTTGAAGACAGACGTATTCAGGATTATGTTCCAAAAACCTGAGGCGAGATAAGTGGGCTTGCGTTCGCCGGGTCATTGTGATTTTCATATGGAAGGATAGAAGTGAACCCCTCCAGTCAATCAAGCTTTGGCGAATTTTGGTGATTCTGGTATATTTGAGAATTATAAAGCTTAGACTTAACTGGAATAGGCTACACACCGCGGTCAAGCTTTGCTGTGCTTGACCTTACTCGGTCCAAACGCGCAAGGTCTTTTACTACCTATCTGTCTCAGCTTACTGACACAGTCGCTTTCGAGGGGCCTGCTATTCGCCTTTTCTGAACAAGCCTTCATTTCAAAACAGTCCGCTCTTACCGACTTCGCGAGTTTCTCAACACTCGCTCCCGCTTGCAGTGCGAAGACCCGGTTCTAAGGCAGTCCGCCTCCGCCGCCCTCGCTCCCCCTCCCCCGGTCCCCGAACCAAAGCCCAAAAAGGGCCAACCGGTTGCCCCGTCACCCGAACCGAAGAGGCCTCGTCTTTCGGACGCTCTCCTAGTTCAAGCCGTCCGCGGCTACCTGACGTCCGGTAAACTGGGCCCGGAATGCCGGCGGAACGGCTTCATCCTGGACGGTTTCCCGAAGACGTTGGCGCAGACGCAGCTTCTCTTCGCGGGTGAGGGTGCGCGTCGTTTGTAGCCTTCTAGCACACCGTGTTTTTGGTAATCTTGCGAGCTTTCAAGTGTTTATCAGCAAAAGCGCCAGCTCTTTTGCCTCCACAAATTATCATTCCCCTTGATGTCCGCTTCGTCTTCCGCTCAGACGAACCCGTCCGGAGCGAAGCCAGCCGGACGCCGGAGCCACCGGAACCGGAAGCCTCTCGCCCATCCGCAAAGCGTGTTAGCTCCATAAAACCGACCGACGACAAAACGGAGGCAGCGCCTAAGGCCGCGGGCCGAAGAGCCAGCCCGCTGATCCGAATGATGTCCTCCAAGGAAGTGCAGCCGCCGCTTCCGCCGGAAGCCGCCCCGGAAGCGGAGACTGGAACGAGCGGTGCGCCCAAGAAAGAGCAGTGGAAGGTGAAGCTCGACTGGTCGGTGCTTCTGAAAGCGACGGACGAGATCCTGGCGGCGCGCATTGCGGCGATTCCGGAGAAGGAGCGGGCCGGAACGCACAACGTCGGAACGGAGTTTGCGCGGCGGATCTCCGTTTACAACGAGGCGGTGTTGCCTGAACTGGAGGGAATCTTGGAGAGCGTCAGAACGGCGGGGGCTTCGATTCTCGAGATAGACCAAGCGGAGATTCCGGAGAGGCCCATGACAGCCCAGACCGAGCGTTCCGTTGCGAGCGACCGGAACACTCATTCCGCCGGAAGTGACCGGCCTAACCGTTCGGCAGGAAGCGACCGGAACACCGTCTCCGCTGGAAGCGACAAGATTGGCTCTGTAGGAAGCGAGCGGAACATTGGTTCCGCTGGAAGCGACCGGAACACGAGGTCCGCCGGAAGCGCCGGAAGCTTGGGCGATGGCCTCAGCGGAACGATGCCGGTCGACGAGGCATTGGAACGAGAGAGCGTCGCGGGAAGTGAAACGCTAAAGTCTCCCAAAGCAGGGACGCCTGGAATGACGTCAGCGGGCTCCAGACTGGGAACGCCAAAATCGCCGTCAGCACACAGCGGAGGACTTCCGTCGCCGGGAACGAGGCCGCCAAGCGGAGCGTCCTCGAGCGGAATTGAACGGACGGGCGGAAACGTTGAGAAAGCTAGAACGCCGGTCCCGAAAGTGGAACCGACTGGAATGGGTTTAGAAATGGTCATCGGGAGGGTTAGGGCAGCGCTTGGGCCACCGGAGAGGTATGCCGGAAGCAAGCGGAAGCCGCAGCCCGTCGAGCGGACGGAACCGGAGCCGGCACCACAGGAGCAGGGATCACAAGAGCATGTAAAGAATTTTTCAGGACGCTCTTTTGCATGCCAGCTTTCCCCTTTGTGCCCTCGAAATGAATTCCTGAGGAAAACCTTTGGGTGTTAGAGAAGATGTGGTCTCCATTTACCCTTCTCTTCCGAGAAAAGTATACGACCCGTCAAGTACAGTACAGTGTTCAGTAATTGGAGCATACATTTGGTAGTCGGAAGGCTGTTCTGGTTGAACGCAAGTCATCTCGCTAAATCAAACAATTTGATGTCATTGATTGAGGCGACGTTTTATACAATATCTCTTCGCTCAAACCGCTCATACTTTGACGTCTCTTCATACGTCTGGTCGCCTGCTGCCGCCAAGATCTCCATACGATGCACCCGTTTGTTTCGTCTACAGGGTTCCAAATTTTGCGAGTTGCACCCTCCCTTGACACTTACGAGCCAGTTTTACTGGAAGTAGGTTTCGCGTCTTCATTGAAAACCTCTGCTTTCTGCCTCTATCGAGCCTTTTATTTTTCCAACGGGTCAATGAGGACTGCGATAACAGAGGCACCGTAACCTTTCATGGAGCGACTTCAGTAACAGATGAAAGTACGTCTTTGGCGGTACAGGGGCAGGACGTGGAGACAAGCGACGAGCCGATCGCGTCTCCTGAGGGGACCGAGGAAGCGGCTGCCGTTCAGAGCTCGGATTCGGCAACAGTAAGACCTTCGAAATCGCTGCTTAATGAAATGCTGGAACGCAATATTGAGGGAGGCGATCACTGTGCAATCACAGAGTCGCATCACGCGTCTCAAGGGCCTCCTCTCGAAAGCTGATGCTAGGACAATGCGTGACGTTGGCAGCTTTTTGCAGTCATGTGTGTGGCTCTTGATCCTAATATTCTACCGTCAGCGAAGGTTCTGAAGCGGGAACGGCATCGCTTCTCGATAAGTTGCATGGTTCTGAACGCGCACGTCAAACTTCCTGCGCCTGATTTTGCGCGCGCCTCGCGCAGGTCCTGCCGGAACCGGAGCCCGGGCTGGCCCCAAAACCGCGCGCGACTCTGGAGCAGCGCAGTGCGGGCATCCAGGCGTGGCTCGCGAGCACGGTGATGCCCGCCGTCCTGCAGGCGATGCTGCACGCCGCGCGCGCGCGCGCAGACGACCCGGCAGAGGCGATGGTAAGCGCGCGCCGACGTATTTCTTGCTCGCGATCTCTCAGAACTCAGCAACTTCTAAGAGATGCTGCCAGAGTTCTCCCATGTTCATCTGGTGGATTGATTCGACAGTGGACTCCCGGAGCTCTGCCAGCACTTTCATAAGCAGTAACGTACACATCCTAGTGGCCTCTCCTCGTTCTGACCGTTCTTGACACTGGATGCCGCTTTCCTAGACATAAATTTCGACAAACAATTAAGTCCCAGGTTCGTTGTCTACGCAATGTAGTCTTACAATCCAAGTGGGATTCTTGCTGGGCGAATTGGGTACGCGTTCTTGAAATCCATCCGGAGTATTCTCCAAGGAAGACCGTCTAGTAGCGTGACGTGCTGAATTGAATCAGCGCTACCTTGCAGGCCCGACATCTGCTGCACACGGCGCGCCTTCAGAAAGCTCAGGAACGGGCGGCGCAAACGTGATTTGCTGCTCGCACGAAAGGACATCGGCTGTGCACAAGGACAGTGGTTCGAAGACCGCGCACTTTCATTGAGTTACATCCCATAGCAGACTTCTCGTCGCCTGTTTAGCTCCAATTCGAGCTTAGAAAAATGTCAATGGCCTTTCTAAACCATGTTGAAGCGCTCAAAGCAGCTGCTGTTGGCCGATCGCAGGATTTATGCTCAGACTTTAGCCGCTTTGCGTTGCTGGAGCTGATGGTGGTCGTGTGCATAGTCAAAAGCCCAAGTGTCCTCGGACCAGGTGACTTCAATCCGATGAGCGCGGATGCACTATGGCGACGTGCAGTGCGTCAACTCTCTTCTTCGCGATGGTGTGCAACTATCCCAGAAGCAAGGACTGAGGCACTTGCATCTCCAATGCAGGCTTGCGCGGCCGCACCTTGCTAAAGAGTCTGCCGCCATGCAGTAATCGTGTCTCGAACAGTTTTCAATGTGATCGTTGATTCCGAATTCACATGACTCAAGCACCGTGTACTAAACGATCCACACGCGGTGCAGACATGGTCTACGCGCCGCCGCTTTATAGAAATATTAGGAATGCATCACGGAATCCCATTCGTCGTGTTTACATCTAAATGTACACAATCTTTAAAGGCATATGAGTGATCCAGTTCCCCGACCGCGTGGCCTTGATCAGTCTTTCTAAAATCATCCCGATCTCAGTCGTTTTGTTTGCAGTAGCACAATCAAACAAGAATGAACTGAGGCAGAACTTGAGGCCATACGGCGCTTGTTTGTGGTTTTCTTATGCGAGTTGACAATCAAACGTTCAACCCTGAGCCAAATCCTAGTTGACTTTTGGTTACTACGCGAAATCGCATGAATGTTGCAGAGCCGGTAATTATCCAGCTATACCCGTCAACGTCAAGTTCGCTTGCAGGTTATTCTCTTCCCTGAGCACAATCAGTAATTGTTTTCGTACACTTGGATAAGTACCGACTGAGAAGGCCTGAAACCCCCAGCGCCTAGCTATATGATCGTATGGTATATACCAGTATTCTGATCAATTTAGCAATGTAAACACAGGACTAACAAACCTACACATTCAATGATCTATCCGCTTGAAGTGCCCGCTTTGCTCACTAGACTAAACAAACTTATGTTAACCGGCAGATTGGCCTGCTTACGTACCATCATATATTTGAGACCAGAAAATGCGGAGCACCTGATTACATCCTCGAGTGGGTCATCATAACCTGGATGCCCCCGGACTTCACTGGGCCTTGAGCAAACTGGTCCTCCGTAACACCTGCAACGAGAAGGTGAGAAGCTGAATACGGGGAGCAATATGTTCGGCACAGCAATTTCGACGAAGTTCGTGATCCCAAAAAGACGATGCTCCTCGGTGTAGACGGCAGTGAAGCTGCTCGACAAGAAGATTTCAACACGAAACGTCTCGCCTGATCGTAATAATCACGTACTATACAGAATAATCCTGTCGAAGCCCCTCTCAGAAGAATGCGATCCGCTGAAAACTTGAGCCAACTGCAACCAACTGCAACTTTTCTCGAGCTCGAGCAGCATTACAGCTATCCTAAGATTGATATTTGAAATGTTGCGCTGAAGAGCAGGGCGGCCAGCCACAGCAACTCTTGGCTTTGGCCCCTCTTGGCACTGGCCCCTCAAGGAAAGACGAATCGAAAAGATTTCAGTGCTCACCCTTGCCCATGGCTGCGGTCGAGGCAATCCCGCCCGTCACCGTCTTCATCAGCGAGTCCACGTAGTTGGCCCCGGACCACTTCTGATGTTGCAGCGTCGACACCTTGTTCTCCCGCTCGGGCCGCTGGATGTCCTCCACGTAAGCGAGCATGCCCCGCTTGGCGTAGTCCTTTGCGAAGTTGTCAATGGCCAGAGCGTTCGCGTGGAAGCCCGCCAGAGTGATGAACTGCCATACGAAGCCCTCCTTGGCGAGCTCATCGTTGAAGTGCAGAATCTGGTCGTCCGTCATGCCGGCGGCGTCCCAGTTGAAGGACGGCGAGCAGTTGTACGCCAGCATGGCCTCGGGGTAGACGCTCTTGACGCCGCGCGCGAACTCCGTGGCCTGCTTGAGAATCGGCTTGGCGGTCTCCATCCAGATGATGTCGCAGTACGGCTGGAAAGCTGCAGAAAGGAAGGAGCTTTTGAGAAACTTCGGAAAAATGGATGAACGAGGACCCGACTGAGGTGATGACTCACATATGTCGAGAAAATCCTAACCCTGCCACTTCCGGATGGACAATCTGCGCCAGGTAAAGCAAGCAAGGTATGAAAAAACCCCGCAAGACAGCAATGAGCTGCCTCTATGACCAGCCCTTTCGCAACAAAAACTGCACAACGAGTGGCTTCTTCGAAGATTGTACGTTCTTTCTGGTCACCTGCATCTCGAAACCTGTGATTATGGGCCCTTCCAAACCCACTCAACAGAAACCCTGGCGATTTGTACAGTTGAATAGGAAGCAGTCAGGGGGCTTACCAACGCCACGAGCGATGCACGCCTTGGTGCTCCCACGGAACCGGTAGAAGCCTTCGCGAGTACGGGGCAGATTCCAGTCCCAGAAGACCTCCACGCCCAGCTCATTCGCCAGCACGCGCGCGTCGAAGACGGACAGCTTATCTGACTGGGACAGCCATCTATCCAGCTTGCGCGCCTTCTCGCCCTCGGGCATGTTAGAAGCCCTGAGCGCGTCAGCCACGGTTTCGCCGTACGTCTTCAGCTGAGCAGATTGCATCCATGCATCGTCGACGGCCTGGAGGGCAGCCCCAACCTTGCCAGAGGCTTCGGCGTCATCAAGAGCCTGGAATAAAGGATGCACACTTCAAAATGGACTCACGATTACGTGCAACAAAGCCTGTACGAGGCCGATTCGACAGATATTCAAGAGCAGGGCGACTTTGGCAAAGATAGCAACAACGATCTAAAGGTTCCTGCTCGGAAGTGCTTTCACGGAGAGGAAACTCCTTTTGGTAATTGCAGACGCCCAACAGATTACTTCCGACTATACTGAAATCTCTGCCTACCTGCACAACTGAGTGGCCGCGGAGCTTCGGGTTCGTGACACCCAAGATGAAGGGATGATCACGAACATCAATGTTCGTCGTGATGAGATTGGCCGCCTCGGCGTCAGTCCGAGCTGCATGATTGACAACAGTTTCCTTCATCAGCTACATGACACCAGGTCGTTTTAAGGACGGGTCAAAAACCCCAAAAAAGAGGTAGATCGCACACAAAAACAGCCCCAACCTCCAGTGTTAGCACTTTGTCTTGAAAGTTTTAGAAAAGATCGAAAAGCGAAAGACGAAGCAACTCCTAAAGTAGTAGGGAACACTTTGACAATGAGCTGCCCAGCTCTTACCGATGATGATATTCTCGACGCCCATGATGTCATACTGCAGGCGGATGGCATTGAGGCGGTTGACATGCTCCGAGGTAGAGACAAGCACCTTGCCAGCGAGATGGCCGCACTTCTTTGTAGCTGCGAAAAGAAAGAATGCGAATCAGCGAAAAGCTAATCTTCTAGCATACTCACCAGATAATGAAGTGAAGCATCCATCGACTTCAACAACCACCTAGAACAAACTCTGCAAAAACTCTGTGCATGCTGAGCACTTGATCAAAATAGATGTCATTTCTGCAGTGACTGACCGTTCTTGATAGAACATGAGCAGCCACATGGTAAAATCGAGCTCGTCTTACCTGTGCTCTGATCTTCAATGTGGATGCCAGCAGCACCACGCTCCACAAACATCTTGGCCAGCTTTGTGACAGCTCCAATGCCACCAAAGCCAGTGTCGGCATCGGCGATAATGGGGTTGAGGAAGTCAACATAAGGCGTCTGAGCGCGCTGCTCCTTGGTCATCTGGAACCGAGCCTCATGTTGTTTCCTGCACGAACAATCAACTTGTTAAGAGAGCTTACTCACGAACGCCAATGGCTTTCCCTTCTGCAATGACTCGATTATTACAAATTGCAGAGTACATCAAAGCTCATAGCAAAGACCACAGCTAGCTGGCAGACAGCTCAATTTGGAACTCTTCTCTAGCTTGAAACAACGCTGAAGAATGCAGAACTCACCTGTCATGGAACTGCTGAGCAAAGAACAGCTGCTCCACCTTGTTGGGAACGGTGTCAGATGGATAGTCTGCCAAGTCGGGACCAGGCTCGTTGGAGGAGCTAGCAGTAGAGCTGCACTGCCAGCCTGAGACATACACAGTGTCGATCCCCTGCTGCCCCATCTGAGCAACCTGGACTGGATCCAGGGCCCCAAATGTCTGCAAAGCCAGATTGCAAACTTCTTCACAAGTGTCTTGGACAGAAACATGGTTGCCACCAGCTTACTCAAAATCATGACAGCATGACACATCTGATTCTAGTTTGCCATAGGATTGGATGCAATCAGAACTGCCCCACTAAGGTGCCCCAGCCATCTCCCATGTTCACTTCAACATTGGCCTAAGGTTAGAACTCACCCTTGAGCATGTCCTTGTAGCTTGTCTATGCTTCAGGATCTGCCAAAGCTTCTTTGCCTGGACGTCTGCAATTCAAAACCACCAAAGAGTGTTCAACGGGCTGCGATGAAGCATTTTGTTAGAAGGAGTTGCAGATGGCAAGGAAGATCGTTATCTTGACTAGCAGAAGAAGACAATTGACAGCCGTGGAACATACCTGATGCATATGATGTCCGGAGATGGCCTCTCAAAGCAACAACCTGAGCTGCAGTGTATGGCCGCTTCACCTGCAAGTCCATGGAACACGTTCTCTTTCAGCATGTCAGACTACCTTGCAGCATTTGGTTGTTCCGACCTCCCAACTTGACACCAAGCAGCTTGCTTATGAAAGAGCAACAGCATGCAGGATCGTCAACAGAGCAGCTTCACTGAAAAGGCAAGGGAACCATAAGGAGCTAGTCATGTGTCTACTGAGGCAACGGATAAACTTACAAGTCTGAATCGGTCACTGCGCCACCAACTCTCGACCTCTGCGACCTGTGCGTCGAAGGCCCTCTGCTCATGTTCTGCGAACTGCACATAAGAAAAGGGAGCAGAGCACTGTGTCAACTTCAGATGCTCAGATGATGAATGATGGGGATTCAGTACAATCACACGCCAACAATTTTCGAGAAAGATCAGCAGATGATATTGAAATGGAGAGTTGTCTACATGGTGCGAAAGTGATGCCAGGAACAGAAAACCACCAAGGAAGTGTCGGAAGCCACCTTACCTGCTCCATTGTAGCAATTCAATGGTGAGGCAATTGGGTTTAAGTCCGCTGCAAGGAAGTGTAGGTTGTCAGTGGACTCAATTCCTTGATGTCAATGCACTCCAATCACTTGCTGCTCTCAAGAGTGATGCAGTGTTGCAACTTGAACGTAATTGCAGAACTCCAGAAGTTTAGTTGAACACCATGTCAACTTGGATCGGCTTTTCAAGTAAGCAAATAGCACGAAACACCTAATTGCTGCACGTTTGACTCACGTGCAAGCGAGGAGAAGACGTCGGCCGCCAGAGCATTCCAAGCACACAAGCAAGGCTACTGAACAACGCCGTGTTCAATCGTCCTTGGCAGATTCCCCAACCAGCAACAGATCGCAACTTCTGAACTTCGAGCAGGTGACTTTGCTTGCATTTCTGTTTTCAATGCAAGTCTCCCAATGGTAGCCATGGCCCTGGGCAGAAGAGGAAGGCTGACAGGGCGTCGCAGAAGCTGCCGAGTCAGAGCAGCCGAGAGTTGAGCCGTCCCGCGGCATTCCATGCTGACTCAGCCCCGTCTCCCCTGGTTCGATTCGCACCGGATAGGACTTGCTGAACCCATTGAGCATTCGGTGCGAGTCTCTGCGAAGGCCGTGCTGACTCAGCCGCATATCATGCACGGCGTCGTCGCCCACGAGGACCACATGGAGATAAAGTCCTGTCTGCAGCCCTGCCATGTGGCTCGACCTGACGTCATTGAGGTCAACGGAGCAATTGAGTTCAATCCGATCCGGGGAGTGTTCCCAGGGGCGGATCCTAGCGGAATATTGAATGTGGCGGAACTCAATCCAAAACCCCCAAGTCGCGCACTTCGTAGCGGCCGCGAATATAAGTGACCGCGGGGACCCGGCCGCGAAGGACGCCGCAGTCAAAAGCAGAAGTCTGATTCGGAAAAGTCTCATACTTCAACTTCAACTTCAAGTTTGGCGCGCTTGGAAGTTGGCGGGCTGGCGCTTGAAGGCGCACAGTCTACGAAGACAGCAAGACTCGTGAGTTTTAGCTGGTGCAAGGCATGTTCTTTTAGCAAAATGTCGCGCTGTGCGGCTGCTCAACAGCCCCAACTTGCCGCTTGGACGCAACACATCGGAGGGCTGCGTGTGGTCCCTCTTCAGGAGCAGATGGTGAGTCCTGCCAGACTTTCTTCTATCATACATTTCTGGCATTGTCTGCACATCAGTTGTGGACTCTCAATTCGAGATCCCAGCGGTTTTGCGTACCACTCATGTCGAGCTTGTGCTGTTCACTTTGACGTTGCTTGTCCACCAAACAGATTCATAAGCACATTCTCCTAAAAGCTTATGGCGCCCATAATGTGCGACCGCACATTGTAATTACATAGGTGCATCTCTTGCAGGCGGCATCATTTTGGCTGAGTTCAACCACATCGAGGGTCACCAAATATCTGCAACCTGGCATTCTGCGTGCACTAAGCTCATCGCACCTCCAACCCTCACCACTGAATATCAGGCCAATGCCAGAAGTGGGATACTGTAGAGCACTTGCGTCGGGCCCCTTTGACAGCTTACAAGGCACAAATAGGTCGTCATATGTCACCACTCCACAAGCCCGGGGGTTAAGCATCATAGCCAGCGCAAGGGGCCGCCAATCCAGCGCAAATGGAGAAAGTTCTTCTGATCTGGATGATGATGCTGCGATGCCAGCGGTGGTCAAGGTTGGGGAGACAAACGGCGTTGCGGTTGCAATTGACACCTCGAGGGTCATTTCCGTGGAGCTGCATAAAGAGGCGTCCGAATCGTATGTGGCATATGCGATGTCGGTCATTGTAGGCAGGGCACTGCCAGATGCGAGGGATGGGCTCAAGCCGGTGCATCGACGCATCTTGTAAGTCCCACTTTCTAGACCTCTGCTGAAACAGCTCAACTGCGGCACCCATGTGTACAGATCTCAACTTTTTAGAATGGATGTCATCCAAGTGGTAATGGTGGTAGTTTCTCCAGAGTCGTGTTCTTAGTATTGTTCTGGCTGTCGTTTGAGAAGCTAAAACACGGACACCCCTTGCTGGCACAGCACTCGTCATCGAGAGCTGTTGCAAGTTGGTGTCTTTTTACCACCATCATCGAGTTAGTTTGGCTGATCAATGCGCTGGCGGCTGAATGTCACTTCATTGGTAGTCTGCCCCTGGGTGCATAGTCACACTGCTGCCCCTTGAAGCTTCACGAAGTGAGTGAGTATTTACTTCTTCTTGCAGGTATGCAATGAACGAGTTGGGGCTTTATTCAAAACGGCCGTTCCGGAAGTGCGCGCGAGTGGTGGGAGAGGTGCTGGGAAAGTACCATCCCCACGGAGACACTGCAGTTTACGACGCTTTAGTGCGAATGGCCCAGGTATTTGATTGCCCCGACCTTCTCAAGTTTAAAAGGGGTGCTTGTATGATACAATTTTCATGGAAAGCTAGGACTCCGCTTTCATGGCACACCGCATTTGAAGCTTTTGTGAAGCAACGCTTTGGTAGGCTGTATGCTGTTTGCATCAGAACGGAATCGAACGACAAAACGCAGAAAGACTTCTCCTGCAGACAGACATCTCCTTTTCTACAACTGAATGTCCTGGGTGTGGTCACCTCCTTCTGCTCAACGAGCTGTGGATACACAAGGAGAGCAGTGGTTCTGTACGGGAAAGTATTATCTGTCCAGAAATGAAGGCGAGGCTCTATTCCGTGGAGCAGTGGGCCATTTTTAAAAGCATTCACAGCTGGTATGTGTCTGCAGGACTTCTCGCTCCGATCCCCCCTTATCGACGGCCACGGAAACTTTGGCTCGGTGGATGCAGACCCCCCCGCCGCCATGCGGTACACAGAGTGCAAGCTGCGGCCCCTGGCAGAGGCGATGCTGCTGGCAGACATTGAAGACGACACTGTAAGGAATCAATCTGGCATAGATCACGCTATGCTCATCTTTTCCACTCCTGAAGATCGACACTGGCTTGACTTAAATGTAGGCGTACGAAGCAGAATCTGTGACGTTTAGATCTTCATGACTCTGCACATGTCAAAATTATTGGAATGTAGCTGTGGTGTCAACCTGAGATGACGCTTTGCTGTTTTCAGCTTATCCTCGCGCTGGTTTGTGGACCAGCTTGTGTAGTTCCATTGAAAGAGCACAAGTAAGATCCGTGCATGGGCTGGCTTGCTCATCATGGTGATGCCTGTCCAGCTTTAAGGGGACATCAACTGATATCCCCTGTGTCTCCAGGTTGACTTCATTGAGACTTTTGACGGATCTCAAAAAGAGCCAAAAGTCCTGCCTTCAAGGCTCCCCAACCTGCTCATTAACGGCTCCCAGGGGATTGCTGTGAGTACAAATTCAAAGCTTCGACGATCCGTCCTGCTCTCACGAGATTTTGCCCTGCCCTTTGAGAAGTTGCTTTTTGGTGAATCGGGCCATCAAAGATTTGGTAATCGATCTGCACAAAAGAAAGGTCAAAGCAAACTCATCTCAACTGCAAGCGCTCAATGAGTTGCACTCAAATGTTCAATCTGAACGCCTGAGTGGTCATGACTTCGAGAGTTCACTTCGTTGCATTGACAGTCTGGTACGTGCAGGTAGGGATGGCTACCAGCATCCCTCCCCACAACCTATCGGAAGTGGTCGACGCCCTCTGTGCCCTAATACATAACCCAAATGCATCGGTAAGTAGGTCCTTCTCATTTCCTGAGGACTTACCTCATGAAATCCTCTTCCAGACAGTTCCCTTCGAGTTCTGCCTTGTGCTGATTGAGTCCCTCGCCGTTTTAAGAGTTGTTTGCGGCGTTCTGTGGAGCAGTCCCAACTGCATGTGATGTACTCACAGGCTTTTGCGAGCCTGTCGTGTCAATTCGAACCTCAGCGTCCGTTTCTGTGCAGATAGAAGAGCTCGCCGAGTACATGCCGGGGCCGGACTTCCCGACGGGCGGACAGATCTTGGGGTCTGACGGGTGAGCTTGCAACTACGGATCATAAGTCTCCTTTTGTTTCCCAGTACTTCTGAGCTGTTTTCCTAACCAGTTTCCAACGTTCCAGAACTTTCTTTTGGATAATCGATCGCTTAAAGTGAATTTTCAAGGCTCTTGTCCTGGCCGCACAGATTTCCAACGTTGTTCTTGCGTCTTCGTCCCAATCAGGAACTGATGGAGAACCCTGTTGGAATTCTACTTCACCCGCTCACGAAGTGCGAGCCCAAAATCAGCAGAATACGAAGGTGACGTCATTAGAATTCTTGCTCGCGCAGTATCCTGGCAGCCTACCGCACCGGCAGCGGCTCGATCGTCCTGCGGGGCAAGGCGCACATCGAGCAACAAGCCAAGAGCAATCGAGCGTGGATCGTCATTACCGAGGTAAGATCATTGAATGCTGTTGTTCTTGAGCTCCATGAAGATTGATTGAGAAGGCTCATGGTGATGCACTTAGAGCCCGACTTTCATACTCACCCAAACTCCCGTCGCTATAATGCCTTCAGTCCCGTTTCAAAAGTGGCGGGGCGACTGTGTAACGCTCAGACAGTTGAGCAACTGGCTGACATTGAAAAAGGTTGCTTAAGAGGTTGCTTGCTCAAGACGAAGCGCCTTTGAGGGCACTTTGTAAGACACTTCAAGTCCAGGGAGGTAATCCGCGATCGTCAAGATTGGAAGTGCGTGAGATCTGCAGCCGATAGAAAGGAAGGACATTGACCTGGGTGCCACTTACTCAATAACTTCCTGAATAGCAAGTTGTCGCTCTCGACCTTTTGCAGATTCCGTACCAGACAAACAAGGCTGCCCTGGTTGAGAAGATTGCCGATCTCGTTAATAACAAGGTAGGGACTTATACACGCGCCTATCTTTGTCAAAGCTGGTCCGTCCAGCTTACAACAACTGGCTTACCCTTGCTTCGGTCAAACTTAAAGTTGCTGCTTGTTGCTTTGTTGTTGATGCTTCTGTTGACCGTTTCTCCTCACTGGTCGAAGCAGGGAGCTAGCACACGTCGTTTAGAACCCTTCGCTACTGCTGGCGTAGAGTCTTCAAACGATTCCGACTTCCCCCGTTCTCAGACATAAATTTACTTTGAGGGGCATCTATGAAAAGTGATTCATCAGAAAGGATACGGAATTGACTGAAACGAGAAAATAGAATCCGATACGCTATTGAATTCGCAGGTTCTCGAAGGCGTGAGCGACGTCCGAGACGAGAGCGACCGCACCGGGATGCGCGTCGTTATTGAGGTGAAACGTGGCGCGACGCCATTGGTCGTGCTCAACAACTTGTACCGACACACCCAGCTGCAGACCCGCTTCAGCTGCAACATGGTCGGGTAAGCCACGCAGCGACTGGCTAATCGAACTCAAGGGAGCGGAGTTTCTGTCCTGGGGGGCCGATTTTGTTGCTTTTTTGACCCTCAAGTTTCATGTGTTTAGGTTCACATCTGTCGACCTCTGGCTTTGAGAGTGTCAATACACGGTTGGCTTAAGCAGACTCGCTTCCACTCTCTCAGAGGAGAAGTGCGTCTGATTGGCGCAAGCACCACGATGTTTGGAAGGCAAAGAGCAGTTGCTACAGAATAGAACGTTTCCACCTTTGCTCTTTACTTTTCAAAGCTTTCTGCAGACTCGTTTACAATCTGGTACGTCAGTCCCAAGCATTATCCCGCTTCCTGTGCAGGCTGATCAACGGGGATCCGCAGTTGATGAACCTGCGCGACTTTGTCCAGACGTTCCTAGACTTCCGGTGTACAGTAGTGCAGAGACGGGCGCAGCACCAGCTTAAAAAGGCGGAGCAAAGAGATCATCTAGTACAGGTAGGCACCAGTTTAATCCAACTTTTGTGACGAAATACATAGAACCTTTCTGTGCAATCATTTGTCTTGCCTCTTTGCATCTTTTCAATGTCTCATCAAGCCAGTATTGACCTCCGTCCAATGATAGAGTGTGCCTAAGATTCTGTTGTCCTTATCTTGACTTCCACCTTGCCTTACCCGTTTGGGAAAGGCACTCGTCTGCTCTGCTGTTTGCAAGGAACCATCTCTGAGTAGAAGACTTGAAAAGATTGTTCATGACCATCATTGGCGCGCTCTTTCTAGCTGGTATTGCGTTCGTGTCAACCTTTCAGCCACTTTCCCGCTGTCGTAAACGGAGAAGTTGACAGCTACAGCGCTCTGATTTTTCCAGTCTTCGCTTCGTTGCAGGGACTTATTATCGCTCTTACAAATATGGATAGCATAGTGGCCACCATCAGGGGGGCGAAAGATACTCAAACAGCGTCAAAGACCCTGCAAGACAGTGAGCGGTGTGCTGACACCTTCCTCTGTACCAATAGGTTCTTTCCGTTTGTCAAAGTGTCTCGTCAATTCTGGCTAAGTGATTCATAATCTCGATCTGCTGTGCTCTCTTCGACGTGGTACCTATTGAGGTTTGAATTTCGGGGAGTGGGTTGTTGTCCGTGTTTCCAGATTCTGTTTTAGAGTTCCCGCACTTGATCTTGTGGCCTTTGGCCACCGGTCTGTGCCCTATGCACAAGGCCGTTGCATCAGTGCGCATAGGAAGTTGCAGGCAAATTAGACGGTGCCGCCTATCCAGGGCATCGTTCTCAGACAACTGCAAACACTCCGTCTGATAGTCCAAACTACTTACATCTTGAAGTGCGTCCCTTGGAGGCAAGGCGTCTAGTCAGGGGGTGGTTCTCTTTGTCGTTGTCACGACATTCCTCAAAACAGAAGCTACTCTTTCGTTGCTTCTGATTGGCCCACGTGTAACGGCTTACTTGTAGTGGCTCACGTTCACTCGCTTACGTTATGCGCTCCTGTGGCGGGGTTTGTCTGGTGACGCCCCCTTCTGATGAACACGATAGAGATAGCTCTCAAGGAACGAAGCTCGTAATCATGAAAGAGTTCTTTTGCAGAGTTTACTCTGAGCGAGGCGCAGGCAGCAGGCGTCTTGGAGATGCCTCTGAGGAGGCTCACGGGCTTAGAGGTGCGCCGTCCGCTGCCCAATCTTCTACTAACATTTATCTTAATTCATTCTTAAAAGTAAAACGTAAATGTTCTACTAACATTCTACTGCTGTGTGAGTGAGACGTTCATTTGTAGGACCATTTTTACGTGTTTGACAGATTGCGTCCCCTTGCTATAGGTTGCAGGCCCACGAGACAACTTGCATTCGGCTTTCAAATGTTGTAGCGCTTCCCCAAATTATGCTGAAGCATATCCTTTGCCCGGAATCTGGAACCGTGTTTTTCCTGACATGCTCCTTATTTGAAGGGTTTTGCGTTTGACATGGTCGTCCTCAACGAGCCAAAAAGCTCGTCTTAGTTTATTGGAGGCTTCCCAGCGACATATAGCACTGTTTTGGCAGCGACATCGAGGCTGGAGTACCTGCCTTGATGCCGCCACGTAGTCCTGTTTCACAATTTGGCGTCCTATCCCGCGAACTTTGTCCTATTCAGGGGTCCATTCGTTACACGATCTTTGTGTCAAAAGTGCTTCTCCGGTCCCGTTAAGAGCTCCACAATCTTACAACCCCGGCCGTGGTCAGAACCGAAATCTGCGCAGGAAAGCGGTCTCATGCTGCTTTGGTTGCGACTAACTGAGGGTTCCGTTTCTCTGCAGAGGGGTAAACTGGAGGAGGAGCATAAGCAGCTGTCTGCCGTCATCACCGACTTCAAAGACATTGTAACCAGCAGAAAGCGAGTCCTAGACGTGAGTCATCAAGCCTCTACAGTGGGCCAGTTGCGTATCCTACCGTAGCAGATCCCGTTGTCTCTATTTCGATGATTCATCGGTCGCTGACGAGAAAAAGCGATCGTTGAGGAGGAAGCGCGATATGCAAGGGTAGGCATTGAGGGCGCCAGTATTTCAATACGTTACATCTTTGCGCCTGCTGTACTCTGAAAGACTCGAACCTTTGAAAGGTCTGTCCTTGAAATGGCGGAGGGTTTCTAGTGATTGTCTTTGACGGTTACATCCATCGAACGCTCATTTATCATCTCTGGTCAGTTGTCTGATTAGCTGTCTGCTCTAAAAGCTCCTGCTAAAGTTTGTTGTTTTAATCTGCGCGCTGCAGGTTATCGAAAAGGAGTCACGAGCGCTGCAGAAGCAGTTCGGAACGCCACGTCGGACGCAACTAGATCGGGAGAAAGACGGGGAGGTCAGCGACGCGGACGTGATTGTCAACCAAGACTGCATACTCGTGAGTCGCCCGTTTTTGAACCACAAGCTTCGCTAGTGCTGACTGAATCCGAATCATGGATACAAACAACTGCTCTCCACTCCACTATAGTTGATGCGCAGACTGAGGAATCTGTTGGAAAAGGTTGATGGGATATACTGATTGCTTTCGGGGCTGCTACGTGATTTGAAATCCTGTCGTGCTGAATTCGACTGAGTCACGCGCGCCAAGCAGCTGACATCGTTTCTAGTCATATTCAGGGGGCGGGGGATCCCCTCAGTGACTCTCTTTTAGAAAGCCGGTCCTTTTGTTTAGGCACTGAGCACGAAGGGGTACGTCAAGCGGATGCTGCCCAGCCAGTTCAAGACGCGGGGCCGGAAGACACGTGGCATGGCGGGGGCCAAGATGCGCCAGAACGACACGCTCTCCAAGCTGGTCTCGTGCAAGACGCACGACAAAGTACTCTTCTTCAGGTAAACTTCTCTTCCACCTCCCCCCGCGAGTTAGACAATAGAGCGAAGAGGGCTGCAAGCTCCGTAAAGGCGTCGATTCTGTTGGCTTTGAGACGAGCTGGATCGTCAGCTTGAGAGCTTCTCCTAAGATCTGTCTAGGATACTCAATGCTAGTTGGGTCAAGCAGGAGCAGCAAACGGCCCACTTTTTGAAGTCAACAGCGGCCCCGTCCTTCGTTGTTAGCAAACATGACGGCGTTATCTTCTGGACTTCAAAGTTGTGCGAGAAGGTGATCTAGCTCTCTTCTTGATGCTCCGTCAGACAGGCGAGCCAGCGACAAAGTTGAGATGATGGTGACTGGCGCTCTATTTCGGTTCGAAATTGCACATTTCACAATATCAGAACGTGCGAGTTGCCCACCTCGTCCAGTATTCGCTGTGCGTGGAAGTCATCGCACCCGTTGAAGACGGATGGTTCAGAAGAGCGCACAGGAGGCAGAATATCAAACCCAATTTCGCTTCTACAGCGAGCGCGGCATCGTCTACTCCATACGTGCGTACGACATCCCCGAGAGCTCGCGCGTGGCCGCGGGCAGCCCCCTACTTCAGCTGCTGAGCCTCCCGCCTGGGGAGAAAGTGACGTCAATCCTGCCGCTGAGCGCCTTTCCGGAAGACGAGTATCTTGTCATGCTGACGACCAAGGGCGCCGTGAAGAAGACGCCGTTGTCGGACTTCGAATCGATACGGCGGTCCGGCATAGTGGCCATGCCGCTGGTGAGCGAGCGAATTGAGGGTTGTAAGTTTTTTGGATATTAGTACTTCTAGGATTTATGGGGTAACGGAATATGAGGCTCTTGAGCGTAGGGCCCTTTGAGGTGAGTTTCTGAGCTTTTGAGTTCTTCCTACAGTAATCTAACGTGCTTTGGCCGTCAAAATTTCGCTTTTCGTTCAGTCGCATGCTACTTCGAAAGAATTTTGGATTCAAAACTAGACTGAAACGAAGGCTGGGTTTCGAGGAACGTCGCCTCCTTCAAACGGCAACATCTGTGTCAAAACCTAATTTTAAGGAGGCAACTGTCTGCATTCAGTCCGAACGACAGCTACAGATCATCGGTAGCCGATTCTGAACGTGCGTCACTCCTCACTAGGAATCCACGTTTCTGGTTGGTATATATACGATATCACAAGGAACCCCAGAACAATGACATTCCGTTCCGCTCGCAGGACTCCGGTGACGAGCTGCGATGGGTGCGGAAAGCGTCCGCCGACGACGACATTGTGATTGCGTCGCAGTTGGGACAGGGCATCCGCTTTGCGCTGAATGAGAAGAATCTGCGGCCGAGCAGTCGAACCGCACGCGGCGTCATCGCGATGCGGGGAATCGAGGAGAGCAAGGTCGCGGCGATGGACATCATCCCCAAAGACAAGCTGCAGCAGCTAGTGTGAGCCTTTGCTGCGCGTCTCGACTTTGGCTCTAAGTGTCCCTGGCCAACCTGCTTGGCCTTTTGCAATCTGCTGAGGCGATGTTCAATTGCTGTTATCTTGTCAAGACGAGCCGAGATTACTCTGTGCCTCTCTCCAAAAGGTAGGCAGTGTCAGCACAACCCCGATCTTTAGATTGCTAATGGTGGTCTGGAGATTATGAGGACTGGGGTCTTTGTGCTAGAGAAGTCACTGCAGCGACGAGCTTTCGCTTCTCGTCGATTTTTTTGCCCACTCGCCCTCCACTCTCTTCCCACTGTTTGCCAGGCGGACTGCGAGACACGAAAGCTTTACGAGCACTTTGCGTCTTCCAATTCTTGAAGTCCGACGACACGAGAGTGCGTACATTTCCATAAGTCCCTTTTCTTTCTCTCCAGTTCGCAGGACGACGACGGCTCCCTCAGCATATTAGTCGTGACCCGTCGCGGGTTCGGCAAGCGGTTACCCGCAGACGAGATCCGGGCGCAGGCGCGGGGCGGCCGCGGGTACAAGATCATGGGCATGCGGGAAGACGACGAGATCGCGGCGCTTCACGCGGTGGGCCAACCCGAGGGGCAGGAGGAAGGGTCGCAGGAGGAAGTGATCATGGGCAGCGAGAAGGGCGTGCTTAACCGGATACGGTTAGCGGGCATCAGCCAGCAAAGCAGGACCGCCAAGTGAGTGTTCTGGTTTCGGGGTTCGTTGTTGGGTGGTTTGCGTTGGTTAGGTGAGGGTGGTTTCAAAGTGAGTATTCACCTGGCAATCGCTGGTGCTGGTGCTCATCATGATCCGTCTTTATGGGTCGGAGTTGGTGGTCTGGCATCATGCCCGGCATATGACGAGCATCTTCGCAACCATCTTTGCTTCATCTGCAAAGTTTCCTGGTCCTGAGACGGTAAAAGAGTGAACTTGACACATCTTGTTCATGGTGCTGCGGTTGTTCCCTTCTCACGTGGTTCGTTGACAGATCCCACTGCTGTTCTGAAAGGTGTGCCCGCTGAAGCGGCCATTGATGGCCCTCGGCAATCACAGAGATTGGCACTCATGGCAATAAGTTTTCATGCGGGGCAGAAGGGTCCCTATTGCTATGATAGCCAGATTCTGACTAACGACCTTTATTCCTTAATTCTTCCCAATACAGGGGCGTCATTCTGATGAAGCTAGACGAAGGAGACTCGGTCAAGGCCGTGTCCGTGGTTCTCAGCTCTCAGATAGATGACGAGGAGGACTCGAGCAGCGATACGGAGCTTCGATTGGAGGAGGACGAGATAAGCGATTTGGTGGCCCATTAGCGAGCTTGTTGATACGGAGATGATTGTTAAAGATGGCAGACCCCTCCATGTTTGCGATTGATTCGAGAATATAATTGCGCCACTGTGCGACTGCGCCCTACATACAGAGTTATCGTCCAGACGGTCGGGAATGTCCCCGTCATGCAACGGAACCCTCGAAACATATTGGTCGGGAGCAAGGACTTCACAGCCGCCAGCCGCAATCCTATGCTATCATGTAATCATTCCAGTCACGTTCGTGAAGTATCAAGGTTTCAGACGCATGCACGTACCTGGCCGGCCATTTCTATGTTGCAGTCAATCTGGTCGAGTGGGTCAGATTGCATGCATTCAACTGAAGCTCCAGTTCGTACTTAGGCGCTAGGTTCAGTGGTATGCCACTTGGCGGCTCGGTCCAAACCAAGTTGCATATGCAGCATGTTGAGAAGACCATACGGACTGATCGAGTATATTTTTCCACTCATAATAAGCACTTCCGCTGGCTGGGTGCCTAAACTTGTGAGTGCGCTGCAATTCAGCGCTGTCATACGGGCCTACGCGCGCGCATGACCTCATTGGCATACGGACAGCCTTTGGGATATTGATCCTGACTGATGTCTGTACTTGCAAGCCGTCTGCATGCAGGAAACTGATACATAGCGGATCACGTCCATGATTGGCGGCTCTCACCAGAGAGTAGCTGGCGCGAATGTAAGTGAAATGGAGCACCTTTTGAGATAAAGTTTATATGTCAGCAAAGGGCTGAATTTGTTTTTCGGGCGTACAGTGGATCCCGGCCCGTTGGCAACTGTGGACGGAATATTGGCACGTGATTTTGATCCGGCTTCATTGTTACTATGATACCACATAGAGCCTGACACCGCCATGTGCATCTCATCAATGGGCCGTAGATCTTGAGAGGAACGGTTTTGATTCCCTAGTAGACCGTTGCAATCGCCGTTGATGGCGCTACATCGGCTTACACATCGAGCAGGAGGCATATATGTGTAATTCAGCTTCCCTATAAACTAAACAGGACCCAAAATTGAACCTCTTACGACCGTCCACTTATATCTTCTATCTTGGCTTATGGCCTCTCTGGCTGGAACTGAAAGTGCACTGCTATCGTAGTCTTGAGCAAAGCTTACAAACATCAAATAGACAGACGTTAACTGAATGGATTACCCTTCAAGCGTGAGGAAGCACCGTCTCTCACGGGCGCACATAAGAAGCCTTGTTCAAGTTATTGCCAATGCGGCGGTCGTCTGTTCATCCTCTTCAGAAGTTGCCTCGCTCAGCACAGTGTAAGCCCAGTCTCTGCGCTGTCTATATTTAGGTCAGTAATGAATGCTGGGAGAAGAGAAGCTTCAAATGAACGTGCTGGCAGCAAGCAAAGTCCTCTTTGAGGTACAGCGTAGGGGCATGGCGCAGGCCGTGAGGTGCGAAGGCGACGCCAGCTTTGATGACCTTCCCTTCGAGATTGTGGATTGCATCGTGAGAAGACTTGCAGTGGACAAGCCGGCGGCTTTCAATGAGATTGCAAGGGTGAACAAAATCCTACAAGAATCCGCGCGGCGATACAGCCAGACTCTGGTCCTTCGCCGGCCTCCATCTAGAAGTGCAGGGAAGGCGATACAGAGACCAACACAGGAGAAGCATCTTCAGGAGAAGCATCTTCAGAAGGCAGATGCAAAGGCTTCGGAGAATGAAGATGCATGCAGGGCTCTTGCCAAGCAACTTCAGTTTTGGCCATCGCTCTCCAACCTTGTCGTAAGCCTAGAAGCATCGGAAAATCTTTGGCCAGCTATCTCAGGCATCCAGTGGAAGAGCGTGACAGTGGCCTTGCAATGGAGTTCACCAGGTGAATTTTTCAGCTGCCTGTCAAAGTCCAGGAACTCTTTAAAGCGGCTAGATGTCCATCCAGGGGACTACTATCCACCTAACCTCATCAGCGGCATCCTATTCCTTGCGCACTTCTTTCCGGAGCTGGAGATCCTCACACTTCGTGGCGGGAAGGATGGATGCAACCACTTGTCAAAGTTTTCTTTCGCCATTAAGGAGGCTGCCAGAAGATCAATCAGCAGTCTCTCACATCTGGAAATAACAAGCCACGTGTTTCCAGACTGGTCCACTGCAGTTTCCAGAAGCCTGCCTGCTGACCTGCCAGCCCTCATTTCCCTTAGATGTCAGTGCAAAGTTAGCAGAGAACCGTGTCGTGCTAACAGCGCGTCACTCCGTACGAGCTTGAAGCGCCTCCAGTACTTGACTTTGACAGTACGTGATGAGGAACTGCCAAACTCCACGCTTCAGGACGTAGCAGAAAACTGCCAATGGTTGCGACATCTTGCGATCAACGCCGTTCCTTCTCTTCTGAATCGCCTGACGCCACCTTCAGCCGAGATTCTCGACTTCTCCACCGTTGTTGACACCTGTCCGGATCTGGTGCGGCTCGTAGTCAGTCGGGTCTTGGTCACGTCGAGGCCTCGGTTCTTGGCACTTGTGAAAAAGCTTGGCCTCACACCTGCGTCACGTGACAACTCCGGTTTGTGGAGAAGTGAGAAGGAACTCTACACCAAGGTGCTTGTGCTGAGAGACAAGGATTGCGACTTTACTAGGGAGGTCCTCGACGAGGCGGCTTCCTTCTCTACGCCGTCTGTACGTGTCTCGGTCTTCCGCTTGGTTGTTCCGATTGGTTCAGAAGATTGGGAACGACGAAAGGACTCTTTTTTTCAGCACCAATCGCTCTTAGGAGAGGACAGCGCGGTCAAAAGCTGGTGTGAAGCCTTTTGCAAGTAACTCTCGAGATGATTTGCAGCGGAGTCGATTGAATGTTAGCAAGACGGCTGAGAAATGCTTTTGTTGTAGCTAGAATCGACTGTGTTCCAAGTTACAAGGAAACAAAGTCGGGTAGCAGAGTCAAAAAACGAATGTGTTGAGGCTTCGAATGGAGGTGATGTATGAAGATCATGTGGCGCTTTGCGACCTAAGGAAAGGGATTCAATCCTCAGAATGGGAAAATTTTGCATCGTTGGACAAGTTTTTGTAACACGAGCTACCTGTGTTCATTCGCGGTAGGTAGACTCTACATACTGAGGCGTTAGTATGTATCACTACGAATGCCACATATTGCATCGAAGAATTTAGAGTCTCTGGCTGCATTTGAGGTCCTCGGTGCACAAATCAGATGCACAATGTGGAGGAATCGGTATTTGTTCATGGGCGGAATCAATTACCTTGGCTGTCTGCAAGCGAGTCGAGGGTTCACGTTTAGCTACTTGTGTACACAAGCCGCGTGTTTCAGATGCGTTCCTGCCGTCCGCAATGTTATCAAACGTGGGCAGACGTCATGTGCGTGGTGCGCGGTACGATCCAAATTTTTGTCGATACGGGAAGCCAGCTGTGAAAGTGAGTCTTGAAGGAATCGGATCTGTGCCATAAGACGTGCAGGAAGGAATTTGAGGGACTGACACTTTCTGCATGAGAGGCAGTCATTGCCCATGCCGATGTGAGTGCTTACACGCTCGCCACTGCATGCTCCTTATGAAGACTCGCGGCGCCACCGGGGGCCGCCGCTACATAACTCTCAAGAAAGATAATAGTAAGCCAAGATAATAGTAAGCTCCGACTAAAACTAAAAACCCTAACCTGAAAAAAAGCACCCGCTCCGCACCCGTACCCACCCTAACCACCATGCTAACCCTACCCGTCACAGTGCGGTTACCTTACTATATCTGGGCTTACTATTATTTTCCTTGAGTTTCATCGCCGCTACTGGTGCGAGGAAGTAACCCTGCTCTCCATTTTTCATCGGATTGCGAATCAAGATAGCATGCTTATTCTCGGCAGAAGACAAATTGTCACAACTGCAACTCGCGTGTGCAGGCTTGATCATTAGTGCTCCTAATTGGTCCGAAGCGGCCGGAACTGAGGTTTCAGGGTCGTCACGGAGTTTCGATGAAGAATCCTTTTCAAAGTTGCAGCGATGCAATAGTATCGTATGGGAGTATCCATCTTCTCAAACCGGGGTCAATCCGGGTTGCCATAACCAAGGCCAAATGCCGTCTGTGCTGAACCTAGAGCTTCAACCGTTCGATGGCTTCAATGGTGACATCGAGGGCTCAGGTCCACTCAGGTCCCGCAATGGTGCAAAAGACAAGTCTGCTCAAGCGCGGCCGCAAAGTTGACGAAACGAGCGCATCGAGCAGTCAAGACGAACGGAATAATCTTATCTCATCAGGACTTGCGCAAGCCGAGTCAGCACTAAAGACTTTTGAAGCAAACTTTGAAGAGAAGCCCAACTCTTCTGAAAGGGTCCCTGCTAATCCGGAATTGGTTGCCAGGGTAGATAAGCGAGCACGTAAGGATGGCGCAAGGTGGCCAAGGCCCTGCTAGCTTTGATGACCTCCCCTGTGAAATCCAAGATTGCATCTTAAGGAAGGTCACAGAAAGCAAACCCTGGGCGCTGGAGAAGCTTGCAAGTGTGAGCGAGAGCTTCGACCAGTCTGCGCGCCGGTGCAGCAGAACTCTGGTGCTTCGCTGGCTTCCACCATACTGGAGAGCAAAGAAGGGACCAAAGAAGCCAATTCGGAAGGTACCTGCTCAGACATCCGACCTCCAGACATCAACCCTAAAGCCGTTTCAGAAAGCACCACAGAAGCAAGATGCATGCACAGCTCTTATGAAGGAAGTTGAGTCGCGGCCCTCGCTTTGCGACCTTGTCGTGGGATGGAACGCCTGGGGATCAGACATCTCGCCAGCGCTGTCGAGTATTGAATGGAAGAGCGTGACGGTGAAAACGGAGGAGATGATACTCGGATGCTTCATTGATTCCTTGTCAACATCAACATACTCCCTGAAAAGGATGGATGTCGACCCGGGGGACTACTATCCACCCAACTACACCAGAGGCATTCAGATTATCGCGGACAAATTTCCAAACTTGGAAGCTCTGACAATCCGAGGAGGGCAGGAGGGACGCGGTGATTTCGCAGAGTTCTTCGAAAACCTGGAGGAAGACGACTCGGCCAGAAAAGAGGATGTTTAACCGAGCAGTCTTACCCATCTGGATATCACAACCCACGTGTTCTTCGACTGGTCAGATGCGGTCTCAAGCAGCATGCCTGCTGGACTCACAACTCTCACGTCCCTCAGGTTCCAGTGCTTTGTCAAAGAAACTCGGTTCCCTTCTCATGACAAGTTCCTGGATCTCAAGTTCGCAAGGCTTCAAACCCTAGATCTGGACGTATGGGAGGACGTTCTGCCAAATGAGATGCTTCAGGAGATAGCGCAACACTGTCCTTCCCTGAGGGTGCTCCTGATACATGCAGTCCCTCGTGGTATGGATCGCTTGAGCAAGGTGGCACCAGAGGTCTTGCACTTTTCGACCGTTCTTGAGAAGCTTCCAAAGCTGGAACGGCTGGCTGTCAGTCGTGCAGTGGTGGTGTCGAGGTCTAGGTTTCAGGCGCTCGAATGGGAGTTCGGGTATACGTCGCCTACTCCAGGTCTCGGACTTTCCTCGAAGATTTTGGTACTTGGAGACAAAAATTCAGACCGTGAGAGGACGTGTTCCCAGACGGCTTCCTCGGCTGCTGTCTCGCTCTTCCGCCTGATTGTTCCACGCTATCCTGAAATCTGGATCCGCCGTGACAATCCGCTCCTTCGGGAAAACCTCTTGGGGGAGGAGAGCCTGGTGAAAAGCTGGTGCAAGCAATTCTGTTTTGAAACTTTGTAAGCAGGCGGAGCGTTGAAGCGAAAGCATGTCGAGAGTTGAAGAATCGTGAAGAGTTAAGATAGAGTCTTTTAGCTGGGTCAAAGGAAGGAAGTGACGAAAATGGCACCACTGAGAAAGTCGAGATTGCAACTCCCAAAATGGACACTGCAGGAGAAGCGGCAGTCAGTCGGTCGATAGCATGGTCTAGCTGGACTTTTTGCAGAACCTGTTGACAGGCGGCCAGGAAATGCCGTGAGTCCTCACATTCGAGATAACGATTTGCCCGTTTGGCTGGGCGTGGCGTCTGATCCGTGATTCGTGATGTAGATGTAAGTAACCTGTATCGACGCGCAAGGTTGCCGGTTGCTGGAGTCTTTGGAGCACTGCATGGTTGGTCGTGTTTGTAGCAAGATTGTATCGCTGTGATCTTGAACATATACTCTACAACGCTTCATAACAGCCTTAATGTATATATCCTGATGTCTTCGAAGAATGCTCGAATACCCTGCAACAAGGCCGCTGCAGAGCTGTTGCGAGTTGCAATATCCCTCATGATGTACACGCCGCCACTTTTTGAATATAGCTGGCGTTTTGGCGGCCTAGTGCATGGCATTTGCCGAATTGGACGCAGGTTTGACAGTTTCATGCACCATTGTTCTTGAGGAGATTTCATAATCCACCCAAAGGCGTTTGCCTAGCGATCGCCACTGGTCAACTTTAGCCAGCTTGAAACAACCATGCGAAAGTAGCAACCTATCCGTTCAAAACACGATGAATCTAGTGCCACGACAAGCAGAAAAGGTGACAAGGTCAAACTTGCGGTTCATGCGATCATAAGGCGTTTGAAAAGGGAACCGCATGAAATCACATGCCACCGTCGTTTACGGGACTTCACTTACGCAGTTTCCGAATATCTAAGTCAGATGCCCCTGCCAGAACACCTTCTTTTCTACGCGTGCAAAAAGTGCATTATAAAGATCGTCTATTTCAAGAACCAAACCCAGACTAAGGCGTTCACAATGATACCGGCAGGTCTGCGTGGAACTCTTCCAGCGCAAACTCGTGGTAGAACGTGCCAATCTAACCTGGAATTCAAACCTGCTGAGCTCCTCTAACCTGCGCGCCAAATGATCCGAGGCTGATGCCACAGTGGAACTTAGCGCACATCCCTGCGCATGCAATAAGTGACAGACAACCAGTAACCTTACGCCAACACCAAGTCCGTCCAACACACGAAAGATGCTTCTGCCGCCCTAAGCCACGCTTTCTCAGAATTTAGTGTCAACTCTCGCGGTCAAACACAACTTAGCCACGTACTCATTAGATCATCCCCACGGCCACGCTTGCTTGGTTTGCGCGCCGCGCCTCGTCCAGCTCCCCCTGCGCGGGCGCGGTGTTCCAGCCGCTGATCGCCTGCGCCTCCGATCCGTTTCCGCCGTCGTTGCTGTTCCGGATGACGTGCAGCGCGGTGTTGGTCGCAGCGGAACGTGCGACAGTGCGGAACCCTAGCTTGCGGATGGTCCACCCCGCGTGGATCATATGGCCCAGCGTGCTCATCCCGTCTGACGTCAGCTGGCCGGCCTGAGCGCCGTACCTGCGAGGGGTGATGACGTACATGAGAGCTGGCCCGCATTGGGTGCGTGGTTCGAATAGACTTTCATTGGCGTTCTTGTCGACTGTAGGATCGCGCCACAGTAACAGTCGACGAGAACCGCGGCGAAAGACGAAAGGCTTCATTGATAGTGTAACCAAGCACCTTCAGATTAGCTAGACAGCGCTAAGGTAGCCCTAAGCTTCTTACCAGCAAATCAGACCTCAGGCTTGTCTTGAATATAATCAATCTAACGATATGCAATTCTCATGATACTACGTCAGACGATTTTCGATCCAGAAAATCTCGACATAATTGTTTCAAAAGACCCGTTGAGACTGGACAACGAGAAAGTCCCAAGGCACCGTGTACACCAGACTAGCCCGAGAGCCGAGGCCCGACTTTGCTCAGATGAGCTTGTCAACTCGTGATAAGCTGACCACCTTTATCAGTGGTTCGCATACAGTGTATAGCAGCATTGAGGGAAGTTCAGCCGACTTTCAAGCGTTTCGATCTGTTTCGGGCGAGTGCCTGCCACTGCCATTCCACTGAAAACGAGTTTCGACACGGAGGGGTAAGCTGACAAGAAAACGAAACCTCCAACTCACTTGTGCTGCATGAGATCCGAGCCGACTTCCCGACTGGTGCCCATGACGTGCTTCCCGGACGTCTCCAGAGCGTCGAACACGTGGGCAATCCCGTCGACAGACGCAACCGCGAGCGCGCGCGCGCCGACCTTGGGCTCCTTCCCGGGCTGGGATGATCCCCCTACTGCGTGCACGGCGGCCCCGACGCTGCTGGCGACCGCGGTGATGACGTAGACTGCGCCGCCAACCACCTGGGGGCGGGAAGACATATCAGTTGATTGACATCGGCTTTACCATGTGGCGCATGAAACGAAATATATTGGGTTGCAGGGGTTCAAATGGTGCGACGGCCGATTAGCTAAAAGAATCTTGTATCGAATCAAGCCTCTGTTGAAAGGTGAGGCGTAACCAGAGTGCATAGTACAAAGCACCGTCAACATACATCTCAAATCATTTCGTTACTAAAACCTAGTATTCATGAACTAAGGTCCCGAGTCACTTTGCCTACTGCACTCAATCTGCTTTGATTGCTGAGGTCTCTAACCGGGCAACTCGGACTGACACGACTGACCATATGCTGGGGCAGCACCTTCTGCAAAAAACCAGGTCTCGGGTTCGCTCTTTGTTTGACAGTGCCCCTCTTAATACAGCCGAGCTTCAGTTCAGGCCATCCTGACCAAGAGACGCTGTAAACCAGAGCAGGAAGTTCTGATCAACGTGAAGACGGGATTTTCTTGAGCCCACCTTCTTTGCAGTCGCGTCTGCCGCTTTGGAGGCCTGGTTGGCGCCCCGCACCCCGGACTGGATCGTCGGGCTGATCTCCGCTGGGCGCTCGTTTGGCACCGCCTTCGCTTTCTGCTTCTGACCATGCTCCTGAATCTTCGTGGCGGTCCACTCACCGCCCTTGACAATTCCTGGAGAAGGCAAAATGCAGAATCAGTGTTTTAGATCTAAGAATACCGAGCTAAGAATTGCCAATCCCTGCACTCCCCATCAGGATATCGCTGCCTGCAACTCCTTGAAGATAAGGCCCGCCTACTAGAGAAGCGAGACAAGGCTGGGCAGCAAAAGGCCTCGGACACAAAAGATTGTCGGCTTGACCTTCCTGTTACCCGCAAGACACAACCATTACAGATAACTTGTTTTGCAAATTAGAGATAGCATTTGAAAACTGTTAGGAATACCTCCAACAAACTCAAGGTGTCGAATATTCTCCCTGTGCATTCCTTCACATGATGTCTATGTGTCCTCAATACGATCTGGAAGTCTTCCCATTTGCCGTACTTCCTCATTACTCTTGCTTTGTTACTTCGCAAGCTCAAAGCTGCCCAGTTAGTCAGTGTGACTGGTCCAGCTCTCAACCATGCATAATCACAATGTTTAAATGATCCTTCTCACAAGAAGAGTGCTCCATTGTCTCTCCCCCTCACCATGTCCAAGCATCGCCGCTCCACTTCCCACAATGGCTGCCAGTCGCTCCCCCACCTTTTTTGGCCTCGGCTGCGCTCCAGTCATGCTCCCATCAGGGTGCACAACTGGCACTTGGCTCTCATGACCCGCACCACCATAAGCGCTCGTTCCAGCATAAGCGGCTGGCCCTCCATAGGCGCTTGTCCCCTGACCCAGGCCTGGAGGAGCGGCAGGCATGCCAGGCCCTGACACCACGTACTTATTCACACCAGTTGGCTGACTAGCGGGCAGTCCGGTGGCATAAGCTGCTGGTGCCGATGTGCTTGGTGGATATTGCGAGGGGGACGGAGCGTCAGGACCGGAAACTACATACTTGTTCTTCCCCTTGTTAGCACTTGGGTCTGCGCCGAAACCCGGGTGGTCAGCTGAAAAGTTTTCCCTCTGCTGAGGCCGGCCCGTCGAATCCACCGCCACTTCCTGCCGCTCACCATTCCCAGGTTTGGTTATCAGAACCTCCCCAGGTTTGGTTGCTGTCCCATCTTGCTGGATGGCAAAGTCGCAGCACTGCTCGAGGAGGAGCTCGAAGAGGTCCACCGCTTCAGGGGGGGTGTCTCCAGGTAGGGTCAGGCCTATGAGGACCCCATCGGAAAGGACGAAGACATACTGGTGGGGGCTGCTGCGCAGGCACGCGGTGTCCTTCGCCAGTGGGTACTCAAACTCTCCAACCTAGTTTCAGGAGGAGAGATGCAGCAGGTTTGTGCAAGAATCTTATGTGTTGGTATAAGGAATGGCTAGCGTTTCAGTTGAATGTAGGACAATCTGGCCACGCAAGTAGTTTAAGGTTTGAGTCATCTACTATGCCTAAACTGTGACACAATCAGGCAAAAAAGCTTAGGGTTCATAGCCAAACACAGAATGACAGGAGGAATATTGGTCTCATGTCTGCATACGATACTTGGCAAACAGCCTCTGAGAATAAACCTCCACTCTGTACGTTTTCAACATACCAGGTCGGCGGCTCAGAGTGATTTGTCTGATTGAATGGAACCTGTGCCAACTGCCAGGATATCATGCATGCAACCTGGCCCTATCTTCCAAAGAATTCCCGCCTCCTGAAGGGACTGGCCAATGAGGAGATGCAATTGCTCAAATCTTTCTCCGCAAAATCTTTGCAATCACCCACTGTGCTCAGGTCTTTGCATGCACAACTGGCCCTGTATGGCTCCCTCGCTCCTGCTGGGAGCTTTGCAAACGAGCAACACACATACGAAGAAATGCTGCAGACGACGTGTGTTCAACTCCCTCAATGTCTTGGAGCCATTGCACCATGTTCTCAAACAGGAGTTTAAACGCATCAGCAACTGGACAGCTACAAGCTCATAAGACAAATTCGCAAGATGAAAGGAACAAAAACAAGGTTCACAAGCGGCTAGATTTATTCCAAGTACACGAATGCTAAGTAAGAAGACACCAGAAGTGTTATGACACGGCATGTGGTCACCCACCTTGGCAACCAGACCAATTCTGTTCTCGTGCCCCGGCAGTGATACGGAGACAACAGTCAGCGTTCCCTCTGCCAGTGGAAACGCTCTCTCCTCCCGCTCGATAACCTGGTGAATCTGCACGTCCGGCACGCTCAGGAGCAGCTCTGATTGCGCCTGTCCCTGACTGCCACCTGGCAACTGCTGATTGGTCTGCCTCTCCTGCTCTGCATGCTCAACAAAGCCGCCCATGCTGGAACTCTGTAACAGCTTGGAGAAGAATGCAAACCTCTGCGGGGTCAGGTTTGCCTGTTCAAGCTACCAGCGCAAAGATCTCGATGCTCGAAAAAGACTGTAAAACGAAACTCAAGACCTGACTGTGGATAAGATCCTGGATTTACAAAGGATTCAGAAGGGGTAAACGGGAAATGAAAGCAATCAAATACCAAGTAGATTGCCGAGATTCTTGAAACAGAATCTGTCCTGTTCTATTGAAATCACTTTGGTAGTCTTCTTTGAATTCAAATATGGCTCGTTTGCTAAACTACCCCAGACGGGACACAATACCTATATTATGGGAGTTATTGCACCTGAATACCTCTATCTCCTGCTCAGGCACCGTTCTTCCCAGGCCTGCTTTTGTCCTTGGGTGTTGCCATCTTCTTGTTACAGAACCGTCGTGAGAAGCTGCAACGAAAGGCAGCCGACCTGAGCTGAGGGGTGATCCCCCTCAATATCTTGACGTGGCCAGTTTCGAACTGTGAGAGGGCGCCACGTTGCATATTTCCCGACTAAACGTGCCAAGTGGCTAGCAGAAGCCTTGTTACCGTCGATCTCCGATTCGAAAGGACTTGAAGCCGTCCGATCACTTGAGGGTGGGCCACCGGCCGCGATCCCCTCGCGGCCGCCCCACTTTGGCAGAAGCTGAGGAAATCTAGGTAATAAGTTTCAACGTCTTACCACATCGTGCCATCTTCCCTCGCATTCCATGATGGTGAACAAGTTCTTCTTTCTTGTGAACAAGAGGAATGCCGTCTTACAGTATTCAGGTTACAGGTTTTGCTTGAAAACATGACGGTATGCGCTGCGTAGTCTCTTTCCCTTCCTTGGCAACTTGTCACTCATGTATCCCAGTCCAACGATTGCTGACTTGTGAGCTCCATAAATGTGGGCCATCGGGGGATACGATTGTTCCGCCCTGCAGGCAGTGGCATGCCAAAAGTCTGCACAAATCTCGCTTCATTACTATAATGTGCTCTGGAAGAATGCACAGACGTACGGATGCCGGGGGCTCAGAGATCAACATAAAGGAACTTGTTGAGAGAATGCAGGCCGTGTTACTGCGAGCTGCAGAGACAGAAGATGCCTGGGAGCCGGCGCTGGGCGCACTACTGCCGGAAGCAGGACGGCGGGAGTGAGTTGAATCGGCTCAGAGTCCTCTTTGTGCACTCGTCGTGTCTTTCAGAGCGAATTCCTGAGAGTGTACTGACTCAATACCTCTCGTTCTAGCAAAGCGCTTAAGTTGTCTTCAGTTCTAGCCTTGTTTCGCATTCCAGCTGCTCAAGCAATTGTAATATGGCCAGTCATCTCCTTTCCCATACCACCCAAGATATAAATGTAGTGGCTGTATTTATTGTATGGTTTCTGAGCTTCTTCAATGCTTGCCCTTTCGTAAGTTTCGCACTTTTTCCTGGGGCTCGCTGACTACTGGTGCGTGGCCTACTTCAGTCAAACATGACCGTTTAGACCCCTGTATCATTCAGGGCAGTCTCTGATCGCTGGCTTCCTTTTGTGTAGCCTAAGGCTGCTCACAATTTAAGTATTTCTTGCTAACCCACTTTTTGACCAAGTGCAGGCGCCTTCAGAATGATGCTGAGTCCCTGGTCAACGATTGTGTAGCTAGTGGTCATGTACCCCCCCTCTTTGGCTTCCTCGTCGCTATTAAGGTGCTTTTTCCCTCCATCCTGACGTCCTGAGCCTGTTGTCACTGTTCGTTTTGGGGTTTGCTTGTCAAAAGCGGGGACTTTCGACCACGTCTTGCGATATGTGTAGTCTGTTTGCAGTTTTTGGAAGGGGGGACATACAGTCACAGGATATCAAGGTGTCACTCGATATTTCAACCCGAATTGCATTCTTTGTTCTTTCAAGCATAGCTACGAGGCCCACATTGTTGAGTACACAATCCAACCCATCAAAGCCCCTTGACCCGTAGTTGCTTAACACCATGCTTGCCCGACACAAAGGATAGTTGCAGTAGGTCCTGCCTTCTTTCCAAATGCAAAATGCCAAATCACTCCGGTTTCCCTCACTGTGGTGTCTGCAATAAGAACTCCCTCAGATTCACGCAGGTCCAGTATCCTTGAATGGGCATTCAACTGCTTCTGCGGCAGTTCGCAATGGTGCTAATGGTTCAAAAGCTGGAAAAGGGGCAATCACTGACTTGGTGATGCGTTTTTGTCTCCAGGATACGATTCATGTGTCTGGGATGGAAACTAGAGCGGGCAGTCTACTGCCCCCTTCCTTGTTGGCTGGGGACGAAGCTCCTGTAAGCAAGCCGCTCAAACCGCCTGCTGTTACTGGGCTTTCCTGCAGTAAAGATACGGTCACCTGTGAGGTTGCTGGCTTTGCAGTCTTCTTTCAGTCTGCGGGGGCCTCTCTATTGCAATCTTCTCCGACTTTGTCCCGGGCACACAATTTCTGATTGGTGCGTCTGCAAGAGGATGACGTCAGCTGGTAAGCCTGTCGCTGTAAGCAAGAGCAAATTGGCCAACTGTGACAAAGTCTCCTGATCCGCACTGTGACTATTACCTGATCCTCAGAAAGAGGATCTCACAAGAACAGAGCCCGAAAAGCAGTAGAGTTGCCCTTTCTACCCTGCTCACGAATATTTCGACATGACTTCTGGAAACACATGTTTGTCAGGATCACTGCTTTGTACCCGCCTGATAAACTTAGAAACTGCATGCAATCCTGTCAAACTCTCCTGTCTTTGCAGGTCGTGACGGATCTGAAGGCAGCTGGCGCGCTCATTCTGGTAAGAGGGCGGAGTGATTCGCCTCAGTCTTGCAAGGGCTCGGCATGGAACCAGCACGACTTTACTGACTGGCTGGAACTAATTGAAGCCCTTGTCAGAGGTTTTTCGCCAAAATGATGCTCCCTGTGAAGCCGCAGGGGAGGGCAGTCAGAGTCCAGCCAAATACCTTGAATGTTCAGATGCTTGAAGGAATCTTGAAGCTGCTTTGCGCGCAGATTTATTTCGCTCTGCTGTGTTGTTGGAATTACTTTTTTGAGCATCAACTTAAACATTTACCACTTGCTAGTGTCTGCATTTGTCCAGGGCAAGGCTGCGACGTCCGAGTTCGCCCACTTTGAGCCGGCAGCCACTCGGAACCCCGTCGCGCCGGTGAGCCTCGTCCTCGACTCCACAGAAAAAATTCTGGAAAAGAAAGCTCAAAATATGAAAATCATGAAGCATGGGCATACTAAGGGTCTTGATGAGAGCACGTGAGCCGCTCGAAGCATCGGAGCAACGCAGAGAGAGTGGCCATCCTATTTACAATCAGGACATGACCATGTCAACAATCCTTACCTTAGACGACTAGATCGGTAGTGATACAGACCGTCATTTTCGTGCAGTTCGCTTGTGCACCGCCCATCGTAGAATTGCATCAGTCAGAGTCTGCCGCAATTCGTCCTTCGGTATCCCGAGTTCCCGCCAACTTCGTTCGTGAGCGCCGCGGAAGCGTACATCTCCGAGCATCGTATGCACAACAAGCGAGAAGATGGGCGTCAACCTTCGTGTTCAAATCAAGAAATTTACAAACGCATCAATCGTTAAGACACCTTTACAAACCGCAAAAGGACGAAGACGTTCCCTGGATTGTTTACAGGGCCATACTCCGGGGGGTTCCAGCAGCGGACCTGCGGCGGCGGTCGCGGCCGGCCTGTGCGACATAGCCGTAGGCAAGCGTTCGTTACGAAAGCTCCGTCTTTTCCCACGCAGAACATTCACGAGGGAAGAACTAAACTCTAATCAAATCTCTCTGATCTATAAATTTAGTTTTCGAGGAAGGCACTAAACTTCAACCAAGTCAATCTGATCTATAATAATTTGAGAGTAGATTGTTCCCAGGCAGCCTAGCAAGACGTCCAAAAGGGGAAGGTCGTTCCAACATCTGCTCAAATTGATGAGTATTGGACCTTCGAGTGTCAACATTACGTCTTTCCATATTTTCAGTTGCTGACAGTCTAACACTGACCTTATTGACTCGAGTGAGTGATCAATCTTTGGAGCCCGGTTCTCTCTGGGCACTTAACAGAGGCGTTGAAAAGAATTGGCATAGCCGCCTGAAGCGTGGCACCGCAAACTTAATAAAAAACGCAGGTGATCTGCTCAGTCGAAACATACTGGCCTCTGGACACTTCTTTCCTGCATACGAACTGAAGCCCAGCGGAAGTATCTCAACTAATCAAGTACTCTCTCCTTCCAACAAAACAAAGCCAGGCAGGAGCTGACGTCATTCCGTGCCCGCGCCTCGCAGGCACCCAGACCATCGGCTCGATCTCGCGCCCGGCGGCGTACTGCGGCGTTGTGGGCTTCAAGCCGTCCAAAGGCCGGATATCCATCAAAGGAATCATTCCCGTAAGCCCACTCTGTACCGTGTTTCAGAGCTCTTTCCGTCCAGGGCCCAGCTCTTTACAGGTCCCAGGTTGGGGGCCCGCCGAAAGGGATCAGATGTTGCAGCACGGAACTGCAGTGCATTAAGTGAGACTTTCATGGGTTTTGGACGAAGTAGCGGACTTCGTTCCGGCCGTTTTGCGAGATAGTGAGACTCCGGGTTGAGAACGAACCCATGACCCTTTATGTTTCGGGGACCCAGAATTTGTCGATCTTCCAAAAGCATCGCACCGAGAGATTCCATCCCTCCAGTGCAGCCCTTCCATCGACCAGGTCGGCTTCTTCACCCGCCACGTGGCGCCCCTCCGGGCGGTGTGTTCTGCAACAGTGGCGAACTGGGAGCCCACAGTCCGACTTGGATGGTCGCCGACCGATACCGTCGGAAGCCTCGAACCGGTCATCTCTGAAGACCCGCAAGCAGACTTTCACGAGACAATCAGGTCTAAGGAGACTCCGCTTAATGCGGCCGGGGAAAGAGCGCGGGTTAAGAGGCTTGGCGTACCAGACGGGCCGTTTTTGCGGGGCTGCGAAGGCGCGGCTCTGGCGGATTTTGAGAAGACGCTGGGAGCACTGGCGAGACACGGGTGGGTTGCAATGGAGAATTTGGAGATCCGTTTGATTGAAGTTAGTCGAAGCGTCTTCATCAGAACTGGATGCGGGGGTCGCGATGTGATGATGTGGCTGCCGGAGTTTTGCTCTGACTACGGAGCATTGCAACGGCTCACGAGAACCTTCTCTTGCGGGAGCGATCGGGTGCCGTTGTATTCTGTTCAGTCAGACGTTGCTTGTCCGCCTTGCTTTTCTGCGTCTCCTGCAACCTGTCCATACGAATAGTGGAAATTCTGCGAGAGCGAACAAAGCGACTATAGTCTGCTGGAGTCGCTTGTCGCTTTGGCGAAGTCAACACAGGCGATCGATGTTTCCTTCAAGGTTACCGAGGACTTCAGGTAAAAGGCTCAAGAGAACAAGAATTGGCAATCTTCAAGACTCTCTCGTGCGAACGTCACTCCTCGCGCCTCACGGTGACTTCATTTTCTTCTAGGTTTGAGATTGTAAGAGTGCCCGCTTTGGAAGACATCGCCGACATTGACAGGTAAGCAGTCCCTTGGCGTCTTGGTTGCAGCTGTATGTGTTTCGGCCTTGAGCAGTAAAATTTCCTCGATTTTGACACGCACAGCGTTGCAATTCTCCTACCTACTTGTCTCTTCCTTTCCTGGGACCTCGAAAAGATGACCTTGGGCCGAGTCCTTGCAACCCAGTGCCTCGCTCTATTCACATCTGTCTGGAAAATAATGTCGCCCTCTACTTACTTTACTCTGGTCCCATCCGCTTCTTCGCCGGGGTTTATTAGCTAGGATTCTGGGCCCTAGAACCTTACAGAATCAAGTTTTCAGACCCATAAGGATCTCCTGTCTACAACCTTTGTGCCTTTGAGATTCAGTGCTTCAAATTCTTGCAAGTCGAGGGGCTGACGAGCTGCTTATTTTGTGCAGAGCCCATCGGACGCTCGAGGCGTTTGAAATTGCGGATCTTCATCGAGAGTGGTTCCGAGACTACGCTGCGCGGTACCGACCAAAGGTGTGAACCTTCCAATTTGGACGCAAAGCTGCCCTCAGTTAAAACAGTAAATCTGTCGGCCTCTCTTTGAAATGAAGTATTTTCCCTTGTTGCCAGCAACCAGGCAAGCGAGGAATTCTGTTTTCCTTGAGTTCTGCTTCTCAACGCGATTTCCGGAATCCTTACTGTACACCAATTCGCAGGATTGGTTTCCATCAATTCTCAACTATCAAAGCCGGCGTTGAGCCTCGACAAAGAAACTTCAAAGTCAAATGAACACGATGAGAGGGGCGCCATTTAAGTCGTTCGAATCGAACAAGGGGCCAGAACTGAATCATTCCCGGCCGCTCGCGGCTTACATAGATTGCCACCGTGTCTCTTCTAGCGGAAGAGAGCGCCAAGCTTGAGCAGGGGCATCCGTCATTGTGCGCTATCCGACTCGACTTCGACATCGGTCTCGCGGTCTCATCCATGTTGGGGGCGCGACTCGGCTGACTCGCTTCTCTAGTTGCTCATGCAGACTGTCGAGCTGATCATTCAAGGGCAGAACGTGGCCCCGATAGAAGCTGAACGGGGTCGCCAATCCACACTAGAACTGCGACACAGACTGGAAAGTCTCATGGCGCAACACCGGTTGGACGGCTGGATTGCCCCGGCTGCGACGGGGCCCCCGCCTTTTGGGCTCGGTGAGCGGACTCCGGAACTCGATCTTTAGAAACACTTTGGTTGTGCGACATGGGCTTCTGTATGCGGCTGGACGACTTGTAGCTTCTGCTACTTTTCAACGTCTGACGCTGCTTCCGTCGTAAAGCTTTTTGGTTCAAAATGAGTCTGCGAAGGGCGGTCGTGTAAGCGCGCCTACTTCGAGTGGAGGAAGCCTGTTCTGCCGAAGGAGCCGCCCAGTAAGAACGAGATCAGCGTTTGAAACGGAACGCGCGGAATGATTCCGTACAGCCATCCTGCGGAACCTTCTTTCCCCACATCAATAGGACACACACGGTCCTTCGTACGCCTTTTTGTCCTTTCCTTGGTCTGCTTTGCTTAACCTGGCAAAGTGTCTGATATTATCTTTGGGCGCCCCTTCGACCCCCCAGTCTACAAATTGGTCGAATAGTCGCACTTACCGATCCATTCTCCCGAAGCCACCTGTCAAACGACGGTATTTCTCTCGCTCGTTTTCTTAGGTTCTACCGGTGACCCCCGGATGTCCGTCCCCTGGTCGCACTCGGGCCTCCCTACAGTTACTCTCTGCACTGGGCACATAACCGGGGCTTCCTCCCAAGTTCTTCCGCTGGCTGTTACAGTAGCCGGACACTGGGGAGCGGATGAGGCCTTGCTTTGTCTAGGAGAAGACCTCGAAGCAGCGGTCGGGGAAAAGCACTGGCCTCTAGATCCGCCAGGTTGAGGACTTTCGTACAGACCCAGAGAGAAGCGGGAACAAATTAAGTACTGGCCAGCTTCGAAGACGAAACTACCTTGATGCCAGCTGGTTGAAGCTAGTGGGCTTTACGGACAAGCGGAAGGTTCCACCGTCGAATATAGCCGGCTACTTGAAGGGAGGCGATGAATCAGGCTCGACTTGTAAACAGCGTTGCCGTTCGACGGTTTTGGCTGTCAATCTAAGTTGCTGATAGTCATGAGAAAGCCTTATTCATGCCAGATGCTGTGGGCGCGGTGATGTTTAGCAGAGCCATGATGCAAGCTCCGAGCTGCAAGTCTACATGCGCATGCATTAACCGTTCTGTTGGGCTACTTGCTTGAACAGTGCATCGTGCATTAACAAGATCTAGAATTCTAAGCGACGCAAGCTATGGTCCATTCGTTTCAACGCATGCAGTGGCTGGTAAGAGTGCCAGGGCAGAGATCAACAAACTGAATGACGTGGATCGAGTAACCGTCGCAAGGGCGGCCTGCAGGACTGCGGCCGGGGCGGCTTGCACGTACAAATCCCATGAGCTATACTGCATATGTGCCATGGCAGGTTAACATAAGCATACCGACATCTAGGGCTCCCGGTCCGTTTATTTGCGCGCCCGCCCCAGCCGCTGCAGCTAGTTATAAGGCCCGCGGCGGCGCTGCCATGCAGATGGCTATACCTATGATCCGCTCGACCGTCGTGTTCGATTCGGCATGCCCATTCCAAACTTAAGATGCTCAATGCAATCAGTGGAAGCTCAGAGAAGCCGCCTACACGTTGGCAGACATGCAAACAGCTCGCCAGTACGAGAAAAATTGGAGGATAAATGATACAGCATTAACAAACTAAATCAAGTGAATATGCTTATCCAGTTAAGGGAGCCTTCCAATGGAGCATGTGCCACGCAGCGCGCTTGCACCTTATTGGCGTACGTCGCGGGCGAATCAGTCGCTTTCGCTTCGATATCGGGATCGCCGGCCATCTCTCCCAAATCCAATGACGCTGTCTTCAAATGATGGCCTCCCACCCAGTAAAACTAGGATGCTCGATCAAAGGCGAGGGGTCCAGCTATCTCTCACCATATATGTACACTTGACCTCTATTTGATGTTTGCCAATCTATCTTTCACGAGTAGTATCACCCGTTTCGCTGCAAGCAGGTGCCGTCTATCCGGCAGCTTTGCGTGACTCAGCCGGCGACTCTCCATTGGAAAACCTTCTTTGTCTCTATGGAGCAATGGGCTCCGGACCAGAAGAAGTTCGTCTCGAATGGAGTAGGGAAGCTATATACAATGCCAATTAAAAATCATCAAGCTGTCACGTGTCAGTGCCCGTTGCCGTTCTTGCTGAGCTGACTCAGCAGGTATAAGCTGCCAGCGCAAAGGAGCACTGAAGTGGCAACGCACACGAGGTCCACGCCATTTCGAATGGGCACCTTTTTGGACTTTTCAAACATGCCCACCAACAGTATCATGACGATCACGTGGCCCAGCTTCTCTTTCAGCGCATCCAGGCCGTTGATCTGCAGCCACTTGGGGCGCTCCTGCGAACGGAGCGAACGGACTCTGTTGAGCGCAAACAGTGAGCGGAAAGTCGTGAACTGATAGACCATGGGACTTGACAGCGAAAAATGACGTTCTGGAGTTGACGGAACCTGGGAGAAGGACTTGGGAAGGGGCTGTAGGGTGAAAGGACAACCCAGGGGGTATGACCATGTCAAGGTTGGTTGAGGACATTGCATATGCAAATGCGAATGGAGATGAAAAAGCAGGAAACATGTGCGAGAGTCTACTTCAACTTGACCAGTGAAGTTCTGCTGGCCGCTTTCACAGAGTCAAAGAGAACCCCGAGCTTGAAACTAGACGCTGCGGCCTTCGTCCTTTTGCAGATGCAGAGTAACGACAATCCTGTGTGCTAGGACGGTCCATCCGTGTAAATAGAGCACAAAGGGGCGGTAGCATTTGAGATGCAGTGAAAAAGTGTTTTATCTTGATCAGGAAGATCAATTGAAAAGTAGCGGCCGAGAGAAATGCTTGGACGGTTAATGGTCAAGTTTAGCGGCGACCGTGAGGCTCACCCTCAAGCGAAATAGTCCAAACAGGTTGGATTTGCAGCCTACGACCGAATCAGTAGTCGCTACGGCCTCCAATTCATTCACGAACAATTCGTACAACCTGCAAAACAAGGCAAACATGTACGGTTTGCCACTTTCCTCCCTTCAGCGGCTGCGGTTAGGTAGATGAGGCGCAGTTCCCTCTCAATAACGATCCAATTTAAAGCCGCAGATTTGACAGTTGGACGGCATCTCAGCAATGATCGATCGATTTTGAAGTTCTAGCGGAGACTCTCATCCCAATTCCACACATTCAGCAAGTCGAAACGCTCGCTCATATTCACGCGAAGGAGAGCCATATCCAGATTGAAGAGCTGGGGGTCCACGGGACAGGTGAGAAATGAGAACACTGCACCAACGTTATAATAGACTGAGTTGAAATTTGGAATGGGGCGACTCACCCCATGCCAAAGATGAGCATCACGGTCGCCACAAGATAGGTGTCTGCACCAAAGCGAGTGTGCGGAGAAATTGTGGATTTTGGGAGCAGGACATGGAAATCAGGGACTTGAAGCGGAGCCTCGAGAGTTGACGTTTGAAAGCAAGGCACAAGCTGAGTGTCTGTACAAAATGAAAACTGCGGGCAAAGTTAGAAGTTTGGAAGCAGCGGTTCCGAACCAAGATGATTGAACAACCTGGGCCAAATGCTTCAGATGCTTATTACGAAGGCTCGTTGTTAAGCAAAGTCCTTGAGGTGCAGCGTTCCAAGCTGTGCACTAAAGAAGTCAGACTTTGCGGCCAGCTTGAGATAGGATTACAAGAGAAGCAAAATCAAGGCGCCTTGCCGGCAGGGAGGATGATTTCAAGATTCAGATACTCAGAGCCAGACGAAAGTCAGCCACTCAGAATGGGTTTGATTTTGCCGCCAGCTTGGGTGCATACAATTGGGTGTCCGCAAATGAATCATGTTCCTTTTGCAAGCTGCGCGCAGATAAGAAACTTGTCTGCACCAGACCCACACTTTGAGAAAAGATAACAAGGGGGAAGAAGAGATATGAAGACAGTTCACCTAGGGCTTCGATCAGTTTGAGGACGACCTTATAAGAGTTGAGGCCGTGCGTGACGTCAAAGGCTGCGGCAATGATTGCCTTGTAGACATAAAAGCAGCCCTGCAAATCGATTAGGTCACCCTGTGAGCACAGATCTAGGAAAATGTATGCGCACCAACGTCTGTTTGGTCGGAGAGGCTGTTGATATGTACGCACACAGGGAAAGGCCCACAGCTCAGTTGCGAAAAAGCTGCCGGCTTGCTGCGCTTTGCTTGTTGCCCCTCATGATGGAAGGCAGCTTCTGTGGAATGTTATGATAATACGAGACCAGCGGTGAAAATATCAGTAGCGATGGTCAAACTTTCGACAAGAATGTGAATTGTATCGAATTCCTAGATCAAAAGTCTCTTTGAATTCTGCTCTGATGTCCTGGACGTTCAGAGATTAAAGGTACGGTAGCAAGATCGCACTTGGCTCACCTTCACAAAGCACAGGAATGAGCCGATCAATGAGCCGACTACCCCCATCAGAGCGAAGAACCGGCAGTCAAATATCACCTGCAAAGATGTAAGTCGATCAGAGCAATGTCGAGTATCCAGTTGACAAATAAAGTCAGGTTGTTGTCGGTGGGATACAAGGACCTCGCAGATAAAGGCTTAAGATTGGTAGAGTAGATTATGAGTTAAGCAGGACGAAGCCACATGTGAAGATGGAGCAAGTGGTCTTCCGGAAACAACTACGTTTCTTATCAATTCCAAGCTGAAGCGCCTTGGTACACGCACAAGATCTCCCTCCTTCTTGAACAAGGTTTCTCTCGTAATGTATAATGGTACTTCTTGAACTTGAAAAGCTTCAGCATATCAGCCCCCGCAAGCAGCACCACTGGCGTGTAATGCTGGGGGCGGCAGCTTTGAAGTGTCAAGTCTAATGGCAGTCTTTACTGTTAGAAAGATCCCCTGATCTCAGGTTTGCCAGAACTTGAAAGTGGGGGAGGTCAGGATGATGTAGTTCACCCTCTCAATGGTGCTCTCCACTTTCTTCAGCCTCTTCACATGTCGCTTCCTCCTAGTCCACTCGCCGTCTGATGCATCTGCCTCCTCCAATGTGATGGGGTAATCTTCAGACGCCCCGTCGGGCATCATCACATCAATTGCGGCAACACCATCTGAGGAGCACCGGGCCATGCCTAGTTTCTGTCTGCTGGTGTTACCGGACACATTTCTACTCTTTGCGTCATTCGAGTGCTTTCCTTGAAAGGGTTTTGATCGCAATGTGCAAGCAAAAGCTAAACTTTGGTGTTGGCGGCCAAGTGGCGCTTTGCAAAGATTCGATCTGCTCATCAACAATCTGTTCCTCGGCGCTTGCTTCGCCGCACACGGTGCATTGCTTCTCAATTGTGATGCGTCGGTTGATATGTTGGTGGTGCAGAAAGTCCTGACCTTTTGACATCTTGAAAGTACTCTGGACCCCTCCATTCAGTACTATTGCTTGATCTGTGCTCACGAGTTCCTCACACGTTCGTTGAGGGTTCGGAGTGGGCAATGTAAGACCAAATGCGAGTGATGTCTGCTTTCACTAACTACTGCCACTGGCAAGATCTTTTTACCAAACCCGCCCTCTAGCTGCCTGGGGCAAACTTAATCTGCAACCCTTTGAACTTGTTTGTTTGCTTCCTCCTCCCTTGTCAGGTTATTAGTTGGCAGCGGTGATTGTGCACCAATGCTCGGGGCCATGCTTGCTGCACAACACGACACAGCCGCTGCGGCCCTCAATCAACTCTTTGCTTGACTTCAGCCAGGCCGGGGAAGGACAGCGTTACATCCGGTGAAAGCAGTACATGGGGCGCGGCGCCGTCGATCCCCTCAATCGTGGTGTGAAACGCGAAGCTGGACTCGAGATGTCGGCAGCCGAGTCAGAGAAGATCGAAAGCTACGAATCTGTACCCGACACGTGTTATACAAACAGTACCCATGGGCCATGGTGGATATCACGTAAGGCTTTTCGACCGTCGATCACACAAAGAATGTTCATCGACGGCTGCAAAGGATTGACAGTTTTCAAAATCTGAGGGTACAGTTTGAAAGCCACATTGAGGTACCTAGGTAGGTACCTACCGCATCCCTTCAACCCAGTCACAGTCACTATCCCCGTCACTCCCGTGAAGCCGGAGCGCAGCAGCAAAGCGCCCGGCCTGCCGCCTTCCTTCTTTGCAGCTCCTTCTTCCTGGACACCTGCCATTCAGCATCTCAAGGTGAGCAGCTTTACTCTTGAAAGAAATTTTCCTTCTTGTGACCTCGAGTTGATTTCTTTGCAAGTTGAGTCTGGCGACGAGTAGGTGACGACGTTGACGACCTCAGCACTTCTTGAAAGATCTGGGCATCATTCTTGGGCGTGCTAGTACGTCTGTTTTGGCCTGTGCATGCAGGAGCTGTCCTTGGATACACTTCTCTGAGCAGAGATCTCAGGTTTTGGTAATTGAACCAGCTTTGCTATCGTTTGACTCATTATCTCTGATCCTGACCTGCCCCCTTCTTCGTGCAGATCGGTCAAGTGCCAACTTGTTGTCGCTAGGTAAGAAGCCAATCGTTGACCAGCGCAGTCTGAAGTAACCCCCTGATGTCAGCTCTTTGGTTCCGCTGAGGGGTTTGCAAGGGAGGTCTTAGACTCCCTCGTCCGGCCAATGGAAGAAACCACTCCAATGTCGCGGTCAGCTGGGGTCCGCAGAGGGCCAGATGGGAGACCTGCCCGGGTAGAAAGCGAAAGTCAGTCCTGGGCTGACATTGAGGCATCCGAGCCTGACACCTGGCAGATCTCAAGTGGCGGCGTGGGGCGCGAATCAGGCGGGCAAAGAGTAAGGCAGGGCAGAAACCCTTCTGATCATGGAAGGAGCGTGAGGGCGGCTCCTGTGAAGAGCCTGCAGGAATTGCGTGGCGCTCTGGTGGCAGAGACAGAGGCGCTGCAGACGGGCAGGGCGCAAGATGGGCCATCAGGTGCGACATGTCTTTTTGCGGACCTCACGATCCACTACATTTCTTGCTTGCATCTACCTTTCTGAGAGAAGGTTTTAAAGCCACCGTGAAATGTTGGTTCTGATGGGCCAAAGGCACTTTCAAATCAAGTGCGTCGGCAATCCCCAGAACTGCCTCTTACCTATAACCTGGCAATGTGACGGTTTGACTTTTAGAACTCTTATCGAAAAGCATTTGTCTTCGGAAATATTGTGCGGCCCCTTGATTCTTGGTTTGCTTGATTGCAGTGCAAAACTTGGACAGCAGTCTCCTGGTCTTGTCGGGCGAGTTGGACAGCCTGGTCAGCTTTGGCGACGTGCGCGCATACCTGGGCCCAGAGGCGGGCCAGTGCAGCATCCGCAGAAACGGCCAAGAATGTGAGCCATGAGGCTGCATTTTGACAGCTGTCACTCTGGCAAACCATGCTTTTTATTACGTCCCCAATGATGCACCTTGGAAGCGGACTTGTTTATCAACTGATGCATCGGTCTTTGAAAGGTTATCATTAACGGACCCTGGAAACATCGCCATTTAAAGTGCCTCTTCGTACCAGCTTCGATGAGACTGGTCGCAGGAGGATGCAGTACACATGATCGAAGTTTGGACAGCATTGAATTTGAGCTGGACTAGATTCCTTAAGATATGTATCAAACTGTTTCCGTTCTTTTCGTCGCTCAAACTTGCTCTCTTGTTCTGCAGTTTCGCTCCAGTTCTCTACACCAGAGTCAGCCCGTCGCTGCCTTGACAGTATTGCAGCAGAGGACCCTGCAAGATTGTCCCGACCAGGTATGCTCGCTTCTGAGGTTGAAAGCAAGAGATGATCTGGGCAAATGGAAAGGCAGGCAGCCTGACAGCTGTCAATCACGTTGTGGCACAGCTGTCATTGAAAACAACAGCTGTTATGGTGGCTGGAAACCGTCATGAAAGACAACCATGATTGTTGCAGAGACAGGACACGTGTAACAGGAAGAGATGAAGCCAAAAGAATGGATGCGCTTCCCCTCAGCTTTTGTGTATGTCAGCAGTTTTCAGCTGCCTTTCTGGAAGAATCCATAGCGTAATCAGAAATGTAAGTGGACATGGTGCTGAGCAGAAGCCAGCTGTCTGCTTCTTGCCTCACATAGGGAGTCATTTAGTTTTGGATTTTCCGGGCACATTCTCATCAACAAATAACACCTACATCAATCCAGGTGCTTCTATCGTGGGGAAGCCTCTCATCAAAGGGGCAAGACAGCGCAGAGTGTTCGTCCACATGCGATCGGGCACAGTAGCTTCAGAGCTTCCAACGCCCTTTTCCCTCCAACACTCTGTCCCCGTCAAAGTAGGGTCACGAGAGGCAGATACCAAGTCGATTCCAAAGACCAGCTTAGAAAAGAATAAGCCTGCGCCTATCTTAGAGAAGGGTTTACTGGGTCCTGCACCCATAGACACAAAGCCGAGCGCACCCTCAAAGCAACAAATGCACGCAGAACCGCACGTCGAGCCCTCCTTAGAAACGCTGCCCTCCGACCCGTTCAGTCAGGAGACTTTATCACAAGCAAGGGTCGGAGGCACAAGAACAGAAAGCTCAAAGGTAGAAAGCATAGGTGGGATTGCGACAGATCGCCAGGGGGGCGGTCAAGGTGACGAGCTGCACGAGCTGTTGGTGCAAGAGACGCTGCGGCTGCTGAGCGAGAAGGCGCGGCTGCAAAAAGAGGCGCAAGAGAAGGGCCGCATGGTGGACCGCCTGGAGCGCCACGTGGAGCTGCTGCAACGGGAGCTGGATGCAATGCACTCGCGGTGAGGGGAGGGTGTTTAACAACACTGATTGATAGGGAGTAGAGTGCAGATGATGGTCATATGGATTGGGTTCGAGGATTCAGTGTCAAACTGTTGTGGATCCCGCTGTGGTGTCGCAAAGAAAGGGGTGTTCTGTCAAAGTTCTGCATAGCAAAGATGTCCTGATCAATGACTTTTTGACAGCTGTGGCAGTACTTGAATGCATTCTGAGGAGACATGCGGTACGTATTTCAAACAACTAATTCTCGAAGGTACCCTAGAGAAGAAAGCGAGATTTAAGAATAGGCTCTGACAAGCCTAATACGGGCTTGACGTAACACTGACAGAGTCCAACGCAATTTGGATCTTTGTCCGAGGGCAATTTTGCAAGACCTGGAGGTTTCCCCTCCCTGGACTTTCGCGACTGCTTCTCTGAAAACCCTTCAAACTAAGAAGAGCGCATCTCGTCGCAGGCTGCTGATGTCCGAATCCGTGGTCCCCGTTGTTGCGGATTGTCCCGAAACAGCGGACGCTCCTTCGATGTCTGCAAAGAGCAAGTCCTCCGAGGAAGCGAGCAAGAAGCGGAAGAAGAGCGGCCCAGCAACCTCGCCTTCAGGGCCTATTCCCACCCTCGAAACTGTGACTACCATTGATCCCACGGGTTGGGGTGTAAATAAGCTCACTGAGGTAGAGCAGATGGACGTGGGGCCGACCAGTTGGGGGAGCGAGTCTGCCAGCCCAGCGACCCCCCTGGATTGGAACGATGGGATCACAAGCAAGGCGGGGGGTTTTCACATCAGCCCGAGCGAAGAAAGCGGCCCCAGTGGGCGGTCCAGTAGGAATAGGCACCGGAGGGGGGAGAAGCAGCTGTGGGGTGTGGCAAAAGGCAGAGGCCAGGGGAGCAAACGAGTGGAGGCACCCCCCCAGGAGCGTGGGTGGGAGGAGGGGGCGTCGGGGTCGAGCGAGGCGACCGACCCGAGACTGAGCCACAGTTCCAGCGTTAAGGGATTCGGGGAGGAAAACATGACCAGTGAGTAGCGCATCTTGAGACTGCCTTGAAATCTGTGAACCGGAAACATTTTCATGTTGCCACCAGGGCTAGGGTTGAACGTTTTATTGGATGCAACTTTGACGTTCTACAATGAATGGGCAAGTATATCTACGAAGGCCTGTTCAAAGTCCATTTGGGAAGTCGTGGGTCCTGCACCTGCTTCAGCCCCCCTTTGTTTGCTTGCTAGAAGAAACAGTTCCTCTGTAAACATTTCTGCGGCCTCAAAACGAAAGTAACAGGCGCTTCCCTATTTTCTGTGGTGCAGCTTTTCAAAAAGGGGGGCTCATCAAGCCCCCCAAACGAGGCCCCCCGCAGGCCGGCCTTCAGTGGGACGTTCGAAGCAGCACCAGCAGCGTTGGTGACGGGGGGCTGTCGACCCCCCCTCTGCAGGTACAGCTCTTGAACCTCGTGTGACTGGTGCTGTTTCAAAACCCTGTGGGATCTGTCAGAGTGAAAACTTATTCTCTGCGGTTTTGTCAGCCTTTTTGTGAGGGCTTTCCATGCTTCAGCCCTGTCACACTCCTTTGGCTTCCCAGTGACCTTTGTTGCTGTACTTGAACGAATGCTAAAAGAGAAGGTTTGAAAGAAAGGCGCAAAGAAAATGGTAAACAGCAGGATGGCGAATGGGAGTGGCCAACTACTCCCGGGAAACAAGCGTCCCCCGGGCCAGGAAGACGGGTGTCCCCGAGGACGATCGTACCTGGAAAAGGCGCCCGGTTGGACTCGAACCGGGGCAGAGAAGCCCCGGAACCTGGTACCGGACTGCTGCCGGTACCAACCGGGTGGGGCGAGAACAGCGTCGCAGTTGACGAAGTGACGAGGCATTTTGAGGCCGGGGAGAATGCTGGGGTCGGGGGGAAATCTCCCAAGGACGGGAGGAGAGGTCGGGAGACAGGCGGTCGTGCCCGGAAGAAGGCAGCCGGGCAGCAGAGGGAGGGTGACTATGCGGGGGCGCCCCGAGAAAGAGAGGCACCGGACGGCAAGTGGCCCAGAGGTCTGGTCACCTGATGAGGTGTCGCCGCAATTGGAGGCTTCTTGGGGACGGCGGATGGGAATTCTAGCGGTAGCTTGCTTTGAGCTGTCGTTGGTGGGAGGGGTGGTACTAGTGGAGCAGCAATCGACATTTGTTCGCTTTTCTTGTATTCTCTTATGTTCCTGTAGACGAAAGGTGACCATTTTTTGCCATAATGTCAAGCTTGTAGAGGATTTGGGAACGTGAAGATCCATACGGCCAGCACCGCTTGCGGTTTAGGCTTTGCGGTCCTATTAGAGCAGGCAAATGAGGCAACCTACGTGGCGCTTTGCTTTTGTTGAGCCCCAGCATGCGTTATACCTTATAACATTGAGCGGGGTGTTGAATGATACTCCCAAAAAATGGACTCCTAAAGCAGATTTCTGGCAACATAGACGTGGTCAAGAGTTAGGCTTATGTAGTGATTCTCATCAGTGTAAAGCAAAAGTTTTTCTCTCTCTCCATATTAAAATCTGCACTTGGCAAGCAATAAAAAGAGATTTGTGTTTTCTGTGCTTCACATGGCCGGTATGATAGCTTTATGCTTCCGACATATGGCCGGTAAACGCACATAACATGTGGTCCGAGTCGAATGCATAGAACTTCTCCGGCATCTTGTCACTTCGCACCCAAGATGTTGCACGCGGCCAGTCTGCGATTAATTAGGTGCGAGTATCACGGAAATCAACGGTAAACCATGCTTCACGCCTTTGTGGGAAGTATATCGAACACGATCCGTCGAAAGAAACATGTCGGGTGCGATATCGGTCAAGGGCCCCGAGCCTAGCTTTACATGTACTGCATGGATAAGCAGTTGTGTTCACTGGAGTTTATTCCGGCCTCAGTTTGGATCATCAGCACGCATATGCAAAGCGCGCGTCCGACCCCAATGCACGGGTGTGCGTGTGCATCGTGGCATCATTCAGTTTGGACATGCGCGCGCAACTTACGCAAGACAGTGGTACGTCAACGTATGATACGGAACGTTCGTGTGGTGCAGCTAGGGCAATGGCAGAAACCTGCTTGATCGGCATGAACAACACAATCGATTCATCCAACGATCCAAATGATCCTTGAACTCGTACAGCGGAGTGAGCTAATGCGCGTGTTCGAAGTTGACTGCCTTGAGCAACAATTTCAATCGGAAACCATATGTTTTCTTCGTTTTCTTCTTTGACGTATTGAGCTCCTCGACTTGGGAGCTTTGCACCTGCTTGCCCAACAAAAAACCGGCAATGACCCTAGCTTAAGCATTGAATTGTGAAACACATGCAGCTTCGACCCCATGGGTTCATATCTGCAGGTCTTTAGTGTCTGTACCAAGAACTTGAAGCGTAACTCAAATAGCTGTTGGTTACTACCGTATTCCAGAATTGCTTCCTTCCTTACACATGCTGAGTCCTGTTCGTCTTGAAACGTATAAATACTCGAAACTATAGTCTGTCAAGCAAGGAGTCGCACACTGTAGCAGCGCCGCAGTAAACGCAACTTGCATTTGCGAACTTTCAATATCCATCTTTGTCCTAAGCTGATATCACGAATATACAATTACCCACAAGCGAAGCTCCGCCTGTGGGTTCGAAGACCTTGACTGACGTCACAGATTCCATACGCTATGGCTACCGCCACAGTACTCGTCGCGTCCTAGCTCCCCCGTTCGACCGGTGCGTGTAACTCAAGCGGGCGGTGTGAATCCGCTCCCCGTGCGCTAGAGACAACAGCTTTCGTCTGGACGGGTTCTTATTGTGCTCCTCGCGCGCGTATTCCTGGAAGCAATTCACATCAGGGTCAACTCGGGTCTTCGTGACGCCACAACGTTTTTGATACTGGGACATACGGTTCTTGAAGAAAATACAATCGGCTTCCGAGAACTTCCAACACTGTTTTCAGGGGGCCCGAAATCTCTCGCCATTGTTTTCAGGAGGCGAGCGCTATACTTGTAGTCCACAGTCGTACAAAACCTTTTCAGTGTGTTAACCTTCTCTGGGGTTAGAGGTCTTGTCAGAGTCAGCTGGAACCAACAAAGATTTGAAAAAGAGGATGGCGCGTCTCGGTTGAAAGAACCGCTGTCCATTCCTTACCAGAAACTCGCTGTAGTAGCAGTCCGGGTCCGTCAGGCTGGGCGTGATATAATCCTCGACAATACCATCGACAAACTCCCGGTTGTTCTCGTCCGAGACAGCCATGCCCAGCCGCCGCTGGACCCCGCCCGGGGCAAACATCTGGCCCAGCACCTACAGAAGGTTTTTCAGTTCAGACATTTAGGGTCCGTTCAGGGAATCGCGAGTATCTGGTGTCCGCAGCCAGCCATGTTCAACCGCCGCTGGGCAAAACCTTGGTCCAGTAACCCACAGAGAACAGCAAGCAACGGCGGTCAGTAGAAGAAGCACCGGGGACGTGCACGGAGGGGCTCAATGAGGGCAAGCGAGGGGAAGATGGAATGCCGACTGCCTTTTGCTCCATTAGTCAACCGGCACCCGGGGAAGTTTGAGGAACCTAGCTGCTGATAGAATGCGGAGGGGGTAGATCGATCAGCAATCGCTCAAGCTGAGGATTTTATTACGAGGTCCCAGAAGAGGAGTGCCCGTCTTCTGAGACTCTGCTAACAAGACCTCAGCAGCGCAACTTTCTTGGTTACTTTGTCCTTCTTGTCTGCTCATCGAGTCAGTTTCCTAATGGAGTCAATTTCGTAACCGAGTCAGTTTCCTAATATCGAAACGCGAGAACGAAACGACCCCCTGCCCGGTAACTCACCCCGTGCACGTGGCGCGTCGCAGTCAGCCCCTTGACCTCCATGTTGATGAACTTCCCGAGCGGCTCCAGGTTGATCCGCTTCTCCTCCTCTGTAGTCAATTCGAGGTTCAGATTGCCGTCGACAATGATTGAGATGTTGCCCCACGTGGGAAGGCCCACGTGGCCGGGGGGCCGCGCCAGGTGGAGCTGCCCGTCGGGGCTCGTCCATCGCACGTCCGTCTCGTTCGACTGCAATTGGTCGAAGCGTTCTTCTTTGCGCCCAAACTTGCAGCAGCTTTCTCACTGAGATTTCCGCTTCTGAGTCTTGAAAATCTGTGCGAATCAGTGTTCATCCTGGCAGCCTGAGAGGTCACAGGTTCGTGCGGAGTAGCCAGTCGGCTCTGCCAGTCGGGACGATAGCTAAGCGAAAGCAAATGAAGCTGTAAAACAAAGTGACTGACCGAATGGATGCAACAGAAGCTAAGGTTGAAACTGCAAAAGCACTGGCCGCAGATGGGCTCAAAAGCCCATGCTTGTGGCTACTAATTCGATCGGACCCTTTCTACTCCGCAAGCCAGGAAGCTCCCTTGGGCTTACCGGCGACAGCTGCACACTCTTCCCATCATACTCGATCTCGTAGCAGTCCCCGTCCAAAAAGTCCTTGGACTGGTCGATGGACACCGTCAGCGTCCGGCGGACGCCCGTTTCGGACGCCCAGACTATGGCGATTGCGTCCATCCACGTGCCCGCGACGCCGCGCTCGTCGGGCGCCCCGCCCACGAAGCGCGCGTTCAACTGCGGCGCGGGGTTTGTAAGGGGTTTAGGACAGGGTTTAGAGGGGTTCAGGACAAGGTTTAGAGGCGCTCATGACAGGGTATAGAGCTTGGCGTTATGCATGCTCACGCGAGTCGCCTGCGAGTTGCTTGCTACCAAGAACGCGAGTTCGCCAGCCTGCCGTTGCTTATGCTCACGGCGCTTGCTCATTGCTTGCGACGCGTCGGGCAGGAGGAAGACTCTCAGCTCGAGATGCAGAGGCAAAAGATCCATGTACCAAAAATGCGCCAGTGTTCTTCCTCAAATCATGGTTCATCCCGGGCGTTGAAACGGCTGAGTTTCTGCAAACGGTCCACAAGGCGAGTGCGGCCTTTCCATACCAGGAACGATTGGCGTCATGCTGACGTCAGCCGCTGACGTGGGCTCACCGCGATGTGCAGGTCGGACGAGATGCAGAAGGTGCGGTCCGGCAGGCCCTGGAAGTCGAAGTCGATCGCCGCGGCCTCCGGTTCCCCGCTCTCCGTCGTGTAGTTAAGGTAACCCGCCGCGAAGTGGGGGTCCCCGCCCACCGTGCCGCCGACTGCGTGACGTCAGCGGGAAGTGGCGTCAGCGTGAGGCGACGTCAGCAGGACGGCTGCGGGCTGAGTCTGTAGCTTCGCGGCGTGTGAGTGCGGAGCGAATAGACGACGAGTTTATGGTGGAAAGAGAAGGGAATGTGGCAGCGAAAGGCAGAGCCAAAGTGTCCTTGGTTTTATCTCACTAAATTGCAGAAGTTCGATACGTCACACAACGTGCAGTCCGTTGCTGTAGCATCCGATCGGCCACTTAGAAGGCGCCTTCTTGTCCCGTCCAGTGTTGAGTTTCATTTAGGCCGTCTCTTGGTTTGGAAACGAACGGCTGCTCTCGCACTCGGCCAGATACAGACCCTGACTTCGTAGACTTCGAAGATGAGTCCGCCGGTGGATACTATTTCCGGCCGCGCACAGCAAAGTCTGCCTACCGTTGGACGCCGAAGTTGTGACGCAGGCACCGGCAGTGAAGTCCCAAAACTGCTGTATGAGGTACTGCTTGCCGCCGTTCCCTACCAGATTGTAACTGCACAATCCAACAGAAAGCACTTTTCCGTAACCCCGAATTTGATGAAATTTTGAATACCCTACCAATCAGGAAGTATATTTTCGGCGAAACTTCTATCCAGCCTTCAATTTTGACAAGTCGCGCAGGGAGTTTCCAGTCAACGGTATTAACAAATATGAGGAGACGTCAAACGGGATTGGCGTTTGAATCTGCTACTCGTATGCTCGAAGACGCCGGAGTCAGAAGGTTTCATATTCAGCACGTTGGACGAAGGAGTATCAACTTACTTGCCGCCCCCACTGGCAGATGGCGTCGTGGTGCCTGGAGGAAAGGAACGTGGTTTAGATGGCGCTACTTGAATTGAGCGTCACGCGTTGCAAAAGAATCTAAAGAGCGGGTCAGAGGAGTTCGATGTTTGCTGTCTCCGCAGTGCAGTCGCAAACTTGATACTGCTGTGACGCCCTCACCGAACAGGAAGTTGCACCGGTCCGCCGCCTCGCGCTGAGTAGCGTCGTCCCACCAGGCGTCGTATTGCGGGTCGGTGGCGGACTCTGCCAACTCGTGGGCGAAAATGTTGGCGGCCGCGTCGATGGGAGGATCGCCGTTGGGAGACCTGGCAACAGAAGTTGGTTACAGTTTGCAGGACTAGTTAGCCACCCTGGGACGGCTGGGGTTAGCGAGGGTTAAGAGTGGCAATATTATTAAGCAGGTGGAAATCGGGTCTCAGTTTCCAGTGGTGATAGCTGGGAGCTGACTACTACTGAAGCTTATTGATTCTGAGTTCGAAACATTCCTTGGAAACACGGTGCTCGTCGTAATCACCATGATGATTCCCTTACTGTCTTATCTTTTCCGTTTGCCTTCTTCCTCTCCTTTTCCTTTCGACCAGTTTGACTCCACGTACTGTGGCCCTTGTGTTGTGGCTGCTCTTTTTGGCTGTTGACCCTTTCATCGAGTCTCTTCTGCTTCGTGCTTGATATAAGCTTGTCCATTATCCTAGATAGTCTTTTCCTTCCCATCTCTTCACCCTCTCTTGTTGCAGCTTCCACGGAGTGCCGCCCTGGGTCCAGCGTTTCCTACCGTTGCCAACTCTAGTTGTTAATATCTCAAAACACTGAAGACAAGAGGCCATCAAAGCGCAGCATAAACTGAGATACTTCCGCCGATATTCCCGTTGAAAAACGAAACGAAGCTTCCGTTACGATTTAGAGTCCCTCGTTTCCTGTGAACCACGCCGCTGGACCTGACTTATATCTCATTCAAACCAACGACCAGGCACAAACTATAAACGGACGGTCCAGACACTCTCCTCAGTTGCCGTTCGCAAATCGCCACCGTCACGAGAGTGACGCCGCTGCCGTCAGCGGCTGAAGTCAGCCGGAACAAACAAGACAGAAACAAAGAGATAGTCCTACCCGTTCATATTCCCCCGCGGCCGGCAAGCCGGAGCGCCGACGCCCACAAAGCCGTAGTGAAGGGTCTGCCCGTTATATTTCTCAAAAGAATGCCACCCGCAGAATGTCACTCCGTAAGAGTTGCTGGAGCACTCTGACTCCGTCCCACAGGTTCCGTAGCCTACCTGGAGTTGTTTGGAAACAAGCGGAAGCTTAGGTTGAGCGAATTGGCTCAGCTTGACAGGAATTTTCAGCAGCCTCCCTATTACAAGACGGTGAATTTAACCGCAGGCGAGGTTGGTCGTGTCCGCTTCTGAAAGTGAGTCACGGTTGTTTGGGGTTTTCGGCTACAAGAGTGTTCGTTCGCATCCGGAGGGAACGATTACAGCGCAACCGTCAAGGCTATTTGCTTGATACATTGAGACAGTCCTATGGGGAAGGAGGATTGCCAGCCACCACTGACTCTCTGGCATCCAAGCCCCTTGGTTCTGCTTTAACCAGCTTAATCGCGATCGTTCGTGAGGGATATCAAATTTGAACCAGATGACAAAAGCAAAACCACTCTTCTTTTGGCCCCTGAAAGTATTGCGCAGCCTCCTTCTACATGCACCTGCTTCCATCAATTGTGCAGCGCAAGAAAGGTCTCAATCTTCCAGGGGACTCTACTCTGCGGATGGCTGGTGTGAATACGCACCACCGAGGTGCCTTGATTCCCCATGACCATGTACACTCCATTGGGATCAACTGGGAGCCCTCCCGCGGTGATCGCGTGGGTGACGACATCGAACATCGCGTTGCTGGTCGGAGTGATGACCAGGCTCGAGTTCTGCAACACACGGGCTGACGTCAGGGTTCCTTGACCTCCCAATGGATTGCTTCCGTTGGATGCGGACAACTCTAGTTCGTCGGATTTGAGCAACCAGAAGCAAAGGACAATATCTCGTAATGACGAGGCCAGATCGGGGCTTACTCAGCAAGCACATGAAGAGGGAAGCTCTGACGAGAAGCTTCGACCTCCGAAAAGCTTAGAAAGCTTCTTTGTCTAAGCTCATCTTTCTTCCGGTCGTTCCCGACAACAGAGATCAAACGGAAACTCTTCATACGAGGCCAAAGGCGGCAGGCGATACCTGAGACCCCGGAGAGTCTTCGTAATCGGCTCCCAGAGCCACAGTCGGGGAGACGTGGTTCTGGTTGCCGTCGTAGTAAGCATTGACGCTCGCCCACCACAATTGAGCTGCAGGAAAGGAACCAGCGACGTAAATAGCTGCTTGTATCGTCTTCTTTACGTTTACGCCTACGGGGATCAACCGCACGCTGGTTGCGTGCTGTTTGGAGTGTCAGAAACCGGATGGTCTTCTTTGAGGGCGCCTATGTGATCCGTCAGTAGTCATTCTGCGGCAGCACGCAAACGCGATCGAGCTCTCGTTCGCCCCTGATACGGAACGTAGGAAACTGCGAAGTGTTCTGAATTCTGATGCAAAGCTTGAAATTGCAGTTTTCAACCTCCATTCTGGTTTCAAGTGTGCCAGTCCGGATGGATCGGCTCGACTCACCAGTGTTGCCTGTGTTCGAGCTCGGCGAGAAAGAACTGACGAGCCCCTTGAAGATATTTTTCTGGGCTGCAGTGAACGCCGCCCCATACCAGATGAAATAGACAGTAAGTGGTTTGCTCAGAATAGGACCACCACTGCAGAAGGGACACGTGACACTTGGTCAGGAAGCAGCCGACAGCTGTTAACAGCGGGTCTGATTCAGAGGCGGGTTACCTGCCGGTTCACTACTGCACACCGGAACACCCTTTACGCCAAACTGCAGCTTCGCCTCAATACTCCCTGGCCGAATTGCACTATACCTCAATTCAATACGATGGAAGACGCTGGACTAATTTTTAAACCGAAGTTTAGGATGTTCTTGAAGTTAACACGTGCTGCCTGTTTACAAAGACAATGTCCGCAAATGGGTGGACTCTCTACCTTGCTGAGTTAAACCCCAAACTCGTCTCAGAAGGGGACAAAATTGAAAGGCTCACTGGTATGTGATACCCTTTGGAGTCGGAGGCCCAGTCAGAGCAGCAAAAGGCCGCAGCCTTGCGACGGGCAAGTCGCTGCTCCCGGGACCGACGACAGTATTTGGCTCCGAAATACCCCGGGGGCCTGCGGCAGCCGTCTGCAAAATCAAAGCAGTTCCAGGTCACCGGATGCAAATCCAGGTGAGATCCATGATAGTCTTGTTCTGTGTCGGTCTGAACGTTTCTTCTTGCCCCGATGCAGGTTGCTGAGTTTGGAGATGGGCGGCGAACGTTTGTTGGAATTCTTGTGAATAGAAGAGCTGCTCGAGAAGCTTGTGATGAGTGCGAGGGGTATATTGATCAGTTTACCCACAATTTGATCTCAACACGCTGCTGCTATCCAACTGCCGCATTACAGTGGCTTTCAAACAGGGCTAGGAATTGTGGGCTACAGGATAGAAAGATTCTCTTGTGAGACACGCCCTACTTGCGCATCGGCTATTTGCGGCAACCCGCCTCTTGTGCAAGGCCAAATCCCTGAACATGTTGACCATAAAAGAGAGCTCGTTTTAGTTACATGAGTGCGCAAACCCAGCTTGGACAACACTGGCACAGATGTCCCAAGGACGGTGAATGGTGGGCTGTCCAAACCAACCCTACTACAGTACTATGCCTGCGAACCAGACTTCCGTGTATGCTTCTTACCAGACACAACATCTGAATAAGAGAACAAAAGAATAAGCTATCTTTCTCCAGCATATCAAATCAGAAGGCTGAGGACGCAACAACGGGTCAGCTTGGCAGTTACGCTTGAAGTCAGGTTCTCTACCACTGTCCAGTGGTCATGGAAAGACCCGCCATATGGAGCGTGGCACAGCAAGCGTCCAACTTACCCAGCAAAGAGCAGCGAACACCAGGGCCTGCAGCAGGGCCGGCGCACTGCAGAGCTTCATCGCGCCGCTCCTTGCGGGTACCCAAGCTGAGTGCAACTTATGACATCATCGGTTCTGCTTACCCCGCTTCTGTTCCCACAGCTATTGCTGCCAACTTCAACAAGCTGGTCAGTCCTACAAGAACCTTTTCTTGCCCCCAATGAAGCAGATGCACGTCAGTCACAGTAACACCACCCCCTACCCCACTGAGCTGGCAGAAGCTTTGACAGACGCGTCCGCAAACTCGTCCGAGGGCTGCCCCTGAAGACAAGCAAATTGTTTTTCTTCTACGGTCGCGCACAGGGTATCCCGAAGATCGTTAGGTATATTGCACTCCAGCTGTGCTTACGAATCGGTACTAGCTAATCTCCCTGGTTCATGGTCAGCTCAAAAACTCTCCCCTTTGTGGCCGCATCAGCTAACAAGATACCCAGCGATTAAGCTGAAAGTTGACTAACTCTATCACTGGTCAGCTCTCCCACACGCTCTGCAGACCGGACAAACAGCAGGTCGACCCAGCATCTGCTGTCCTCTTTTACCCGGCCTTTGAGCGGACCATATCATCCTTACGTACGCACTCCGCATAGCACTCCGCATAGCGACACTGAAGAGCGTTGCAGATTTTTTTGTCACTAGCTAGATCGAGGCTTTAAGGTGACACGCAGCTGGCCGCACACATTTCGGCCAAGGAAGGCGAAGGAGGAAGCAGCGACTGGTCATATCCCCCAGCCTCTGTTTATCTGTCAGAGCGGGGTCAAGGAGAATCGGTAATTTCAAAACCGGGGCCGGGGACGCTGCTGGAAAGGCTGACGTGGCGAGGTTTAGGTTTTGACCGGGGCCTTCCTATTCATGATTGGCCAAATGGAGCCTAGCCCAGGGTTTTGCCCCCTAAACCTCGCCACGTCACCGCTTCCAACAGCGTCTTCGGCCCCAGTCCTGAAATTACCGATTCTCCTTGACCCCGCTCTGTCAGGTACTCGCCGTAGGGCGACAGGGCCGGAGATCAATGACCGGAGTTGGTCAGCGTAGTCGGCATCTTTTGAAATGCTGGAAATCCCTGGAACTTGGAAGCACCTTTTCCTAGCCGCAGCACTTGATATTGAAGAGCAGAGGATGGAGCTCTGAAATGATGCAATCGTTTTGTCCCGCCTCCGCTTCATCCGGCGCCCTGTGCACATTGCAAAGCTGTCTGCTGCCAAATTGAGCTCGTTAGCGCGGTTACCTCGCCCGACAGTGCTCTGTATAGAAGCAGTGCTTTGGTGGACTGGTTAAACCGTGGAGATGGAGAGCCGTTTCCCTAATCCCGCTGTGCAACAGAATCCCAGAAGTAAATGCATGGGCTCCGCAAATTTGGTGATTGACCCGAAGATTTCGAAACAGGCAGTGTGGGGACTTCAACCAGGTCAACCCGGTCCTCCGCCCAATTAGCCCGGGCACCTACCAGGCGCAGACCAAGGCTGGCAATTGCCAATACTCCGACCAGGAGCCCGGGGTATAAGCTATTCCGAACCAGGGCACCCGGTTAGGGCGTGACGACACACTACTATTACCTGGTGCAAATCGACGTCCATCACTGGACGCAAGCCTCAACCGTCGATGTGGGATTTCCATCAACATGAAGATCTAGCTAGGCTAGGGCAGCCGCGGCCGGCCGCGCATTGACTTCGCGGCCGCCTTGCGCGCCGCCTGGGCCCCGACGGCATCGTACCGTACGGAAACCTTCGGAAGCGTGCATGCAACTCTGTGCATGCCACGATTCTAACAGCCTTCGCAGCCGTCCGATGCCGATCAGCCGGCATCATCCTGCGGTCGAGACGGCTTCTCGTGTATCTTCATGCAGAGCTGTAAGCAGAGCCTCTCTGCATGCAGGCCGTGCCCAACATGCAGAACGCTGGAGCAAAAATCTGGCGGGACGCATTATCCATCATCAAGCAGAGGCCAATGGGGGAGCCAAGTGTTGCCCTCCGTCTCTGTACCTAGCAGGTTTGAGCAATTCTCATGCAGGCGCAAGCGAAGGGGGAGTCCTACGTGGCACAGACGCACGAGTCCTGTTCTGCAAAGAAGAACGCTTTCAACGGTCCCCTTATTGCAGCTGACACTGGAGATACTCGGAGGAAGAATCTCGAGGCGAACCAAGAATCTCACTTCGCTCCCCCAGCTTCGATTGTAAAGCAGGCGAACGGCCGCCTTCACCAGTTTAGCAAAACGTCAATCAGCGCGAAAGCAAGCGAACCTCCACAGCGTTGCTCCTTGTACAGTGTACAGTACGAAAATGGCTTCTGCAAACATGGTTTCTGCTACGACCTTGAACAAGGCTGCTCTGGGACAGGGGGTTGCCGCATCAGGCAGCACTCTTGGAAAGAGCACCTTCACAGGAGCTCGCATCTCTGTCCCTTGCGTCAGGTCGTCCAGACGCTCTGAGGGGAAGGTGTGCATGTCAGCATCCAAGGATGAGACGAACAAGGTAGGAGAATGCTGCTCACTCGCAGAACTCTGGAACCTTTCTGATCAGGTCTAAGACAATATTGCAGTCATGTTCGACTTAGTTCGGCAATCAAGTTGTTTCAGGAAAATGGAAGAAGGAGGCCAGAGCGTTCAGAAAAATGTGGTTGAGCTGCATTGAGATTAGTGCCGCAGGATTTGATTTCTCACACAGCACTGCAGGATGCAAATCTGAAAGCGGAAGTCACGAAACCTCCAGCCTCTGACGGAAGACTCAGGATTGTCTCTCTGCAATGCTTTCCATTGAATTGAGTGATAAAACGTGGGGCATTGTGCTTTTCGTCTTACTCGGGCACTGATTCAAATGTAGGGCAAGGTAGCCACTAGGTGAGCTGGTGCTACAGCGCTCCATGTGCCATGGAGTCCTGCAGAAACGCTAGCGAGCTCACCAGCTATCCTGTGAAGACGCATTCTGGCAAACGGCGGCTTTCTGCACGTAGGCTTGCCTGTTCTCATATTGAAAGATGGAACCCCTTTCTCCAGTTCCCCCGTAAACAGTGATACAGTCTAGAACCAAGTAATTTACTTTCTTGAAGTCCCTCTTCTCAATTGCATCAACCAATGCCGGGTCCGCATCTGGGAAGAGTTCTGGTGCAATTGAACACAGACCTCCTCGCAGGCAGGTTGCTGCGGTGGTGATTTTAGAGTCCCGTTTGAGTTTACTTCCAGAAGTGACTAAGCTTAATACAAACTACTATTTCTTGCAGGTGTCTGCCCCCCTGAGGAAAGGTCTTGCCGCCGGGCTTCTGGCTGCGACCCTCGCCACATCTGCAGGGCCTGCCTATGCCGATACCATCCCTGTTGTTGAGAAGCGGTGGGGGCAAATTGCGCAGAAGGTGGAGAAGGCTGGCAAGCAGGCTAAGGAAGTGAGTTTCTGAGCACTCTCCCTTATTTGCCTATTTTCATATGCGTCCATTTGCAAGCTGCTTTGCCATTCTTTTGTTTTGTCTGGGTGAGGGAGTCAGCATCCTTGCAGTCAGGTCGTAACTATCAGAATGTCCGATTACGGTCTAGTGAGTTGGCACTGCATACATGCAAACCCTGTGCAATCTTCGTTACAATTTCATTCGGCCTTTCTTGACACATCTTCATGTCGATTTCCATGCAGTTCACCCCCAATCTGGATGCCCTTAACAAGAAGAACGCCCTGGCAGAGGCAACTGCCGGCAAGATTCCTCAGCGTAGCGCGCCCAAGTTTGGAGCTAAGAGCTGTGAGAACTCATCCTTTCCCCTTACCGTTTATCCTGCAAGCCATCTGTGCCCAATAGACTTAGTTTTTGCCTCGCTTCACCCATTGGAGAGCTGCAATTTATATTCTCCAATTGGGTGGAGCCTGCCGGGCATGCCCCGCTCTTTTGAGTTAGCTTAGCACTACCTGCAATGATGATAGGTGATGTTGAAACACCTCGTGTGAGGACAAGATTTGCCAAGACATTTACTTGATCCAATTTCCCATGTTTACAGTGAGTGAGGGTTTCAAGCGCCAGAATGTGAGCTTCACGGAGGCTCCCCCGCTCACCTACGTGGTTGACACCAAGGGCACCCCTGCTGACCCCGCGACCATTAAGGATGATGCCGTCGGTGGGGTCACCGATCCCGCCAGCATCCCTGGACGTATCAAGGATCGTGCTGACACCATCGCCTCCAAGATTGGCCAGTTGACCCCTAACCTGAATGTACGTTTCCTATCTGTTGACTTTCAAATGTCGGAACTCATAGCATTGCTCGTGACTTTCTTGATAGCAGCCTCTTCCTGATAGCAGCCTCTTCATTCGCTTCAAAGCAGAAGGAAGCAGACAAAGTGTTGACAGTTTCGGGTTCCTCAGCAATAAATTCGTTGGAACCAAATGAAGTGGGATGGCCTTCTACAATTTTGAGCTTCCCAGCCAGATTTAGAGCTCTATCTCTTGAAATGATCGCACAGAAACAGTTGCGCAGTTTGTTCGTGTGCAGTAATTTCCGTCAAGCCGGTTCGTAAACAATTACAGCAACCTAACGCTTCACCTCGGTTTTTTGCCTTTTAGGCTGACAAGGTTATCCCCGGAGACAAGGGCGTCAAGGACATCATTCCTGACTTGGTTGAAGGCTCCAGCGAGAAGATTCAGCAGCGCTCAGCTCCCAGCTACGGCACCGGAAGTGAGTGCAGGGGAGACCCTCTCTTGGTTGGTCGATATATGTTTGCGTGTGGCGAAGCTGCTCCTTTCACTGAAGCTTTTAGTTAGTGTGATCTCACTTCCGGGTTTGCTCGTGAAACGAGCGATGGCAAAGGTTGCGTTAGCACCGGGTTTTTGAACGGTCCAGGGAGATTTCATTCTGTATCCCTTGAATGAATTAGTTGAACGCGTTTCGTAGAAGGAGCAGGGTTGTTATCTGCCTATCTATTTGACTGTCGTATCTTGCTCCCTTCGTTGTTGCAAACGAGAACAACAAACCGTCAGTAGGTCAGCTTTTGTCCGGCTGTCACGTATCAATCCCTTTCATTGGTCTGGTCCAGAGCGCGACGGTCAGAACGTGAACTTCTCGGCTGCTCCTCAGCTCACCTACGTGGTCGACACTAAGGGCACGCCCGCTGACCCCGAGACCGTCAAGGATGATGCCATCGGTGGCGTCAAGGACCCTGCCAGCATCCCTGGACGTATCAAGGAGCGTGCGGGCACTATCGCCTCCAAGATCGGCGAGTTGACCCCCGATCTGAATGTACGTTACGTCAAATGTCGAAACTCAAAATGCCAAAACTCATGGTACTGCTTGCGTTGATAGCAACTTCTCTTCGTTAAAGCGAAGGAGCATGACGAAGCTCGAAATTTTTGTCCCCCACAATTTGTCGAGGGCCAGATGAAGTAGGACGGCCTTGGCCGGTACTGAGCTTCCTAATCGAATGTTGAACTCTTCCTTGAGGAAGGTACAAGGAAACAACCGTACAGTCGTTCGTGTGCGCTAAGCCGTCTTCGCAGACCGCAATCTGACGTTCTTCCTCGGTTTTTGCCTTCAGGCTGACAAGGTGATCCCTGGAGACAAGGGCGTCAAGGACGTGATCCCTGACTTGGTTGAAGGCTCCAGCGAGAAAATTCAGCAGCGCTCAGCCCCCAGCTACGGCACTGGAAGTACGTACAGGGGATTGTGTCATCGATTGGTGTTAAAACGTTTTTGTCTGTGCCCTTCGCGACTTTACTTGCTCTTGTTGCCCGAACTTGAACGCCGTTGACTTGTCTTAGACTCAGGGCTCGTAGTGAAACGAACGACGTCGAAGATTGTGTCAGCTCCGTTATCTTGCCTCTGTTTGTCGGTTTAGTGAGATTGTCGGTCTGGTCATTCCAAGGAATCATCCGATAGATTTTAAATAAAACCAAGTTTGTATTCAATTTATTGACCCGGTTTTCATGTCATGCTCAGTTGCCGTTAAACGTGAACAGCAAACCGCAAGTCGGCCAACGTCTATCTGAAGTACGCGTATCATTCTCTTCCATTTCGTCTGGTGCAGAGCGCGACGGTCAGAACGTGAGCTTCTCGGCTGCTCCTCAGCTCACCTACGTGGTCGACACCAAGGGCACCCCGGCTGACCCCGAGACCGTCAAGGATGACGCCATCGGTGGCGTCAAAGACCCCGCCAGCATCCCCGGACGAATCAAGGAGCGGGCGGGCACTATCGCCTCCAAGATTGGCCAAGTGTTGCCCGACCTGCCGACTGGTGCCAGCGTGCGTCTTTGCCTTTGGCTTACCTCGTTTTCGGCATCTTCTCTTCGGTCGTCTCTGAAGTTACTGTGTGGCGTGCACAGGCCACGATGAGATTATGGCAGCGTTCTCTATCCAGTGAGCTTCTTAAGCTGGTTCAACTGTGGAATGTTGCGCAGACGATATTGTTTCTACTATTGTGTACGAGAAGTTGACCAATAGGATTTGTTTAGAAGTAGCCTTTGAGTGTACCAGGCGTTGTGCAACATTTGGGCCTTAAAAAGTCCAATTTCAATCGGTTTTCTCACAGAATGAAAATCAGCTTGACGGATTTCGTTATTTTCGTTCACAGGCTGACCAGGAGGTTGGCAGGAATGACCGGGGAGTTCAGAACGTGGCCCCCCGCCAAAGCGAGGGCTCCAGCAGTGTAACAGTTGGCCCAAGGGCGGGAACCGATCCCAGTAAGTCTGTTCAACTTCTTGCTCTATCCATTGCAAAGAAGAGAGGTCTGATTATCAGCTGTTTTGAAAATTCAAAACAGCATTTTGATGGTCATTCCCAACCAGATTGGATGAAGCGACAGATATGGAGACCTCGTTGTTTTCGCAGCATCGGTTTGGGACTTGACCTTGATGTTTCGCCCATACGTGAAGTGGTACGACTTTTGACTTGTTCCCGATTGTTTTTTGTAGAGGGCGGGAGCACGGGCGTGAGCATGACCTCCGCTCCTTCCCTGACCTTCGTGGGCCTGGACACCAAGGGCACCCCCGCTGACCCCGCTACCGTCAAGGATGACGTCGTTGGTGGCGTCACCGACCCCGCCAGCATCCCCGGACGTGTCAAGGAGCGTGCGGACACCATCGCCTCTAAGATTGGCAACTTGAAGCCTGAGCTGCCCAACGTGAGTCGCCGTTTCAAGAAGTTTCGAAAGTGAACGCGTTTAACGTTGATTTGAAGCACTAGCTGCAAATGCTCGTTCTGTCAGTTGTCCACAATCGTGGTCCCAGATCTCGTACGCTGCAGACAGGTCAAGCTTCCTTCCGACACTTGAAAATACCAAGGACTTGACCGGTTTGTAAGCTCAACTGATCAAGGAGCCTTTAGAAAGCTTGTGGGTGCGGAGAATCACCGTTTTTGAGCTTCAGGATCGTACCGAAGATGGTTAAGTTATTCAACGGGTTCGCTTGTTCTGGACAGACCTAGTAACAAGGATGACTCTTTGTGATGCAGGCTGACAAGGCAATTCCCGGGGACAAGGGTGTGAAGGATCTGGCCCCCGATCTGGTCGAGGGCTCCAGCGAGAAGATCCCGCAAAAGAAGGGCGGCTACGCTTGTAAGTCTACGAGGCACCTCTTCTTCGTGATGATATCTCGTAGGCGAAGCTGTCGCTTCAGGACAGCCCTTCTCACCTGCCAGCCATTTTATGCACATTTGAGTGTTTGGGAAGCTTGCTACGTTGGCGTAGTCTTCACAACCCGCACCACCAATGGACTTGGTGTTCTTTGATTGTACGGGATTCGCTTTAGGTCCTTCAGGTCTTCAAAAGACCCACTTTTTCTTCGCGTTGCACTCGTTCACTCGTTCAAAGCGGGATTATCTTTGTATCAGCGGGCACGGGCGTGAGCATGACCTCCGCTCCTTCCCTGACCTTCGTGGGCCTGGACACCAAGGGCACTCCCGCCGACCCCGAGACTGTGAAGGAAGACGTCGTTGGTGGCGTCACCGACCCCGCCAGCATCCCTGGACGTATCAAGGAGCGGGCCGACACCATCGCCTCCAAAATTGGCAACCTGAAGCCCGACCTGCCCAACCTGCCCAACGTGAGATTCCTTGTAGCGTTGATATCTGTCAACACGTTTCGCAGATTGAAAACTTATTTCATGTACTTTAAGACAGGGAACTTTTATACGAAGATTCCTCTGCTTGTCGCTTTGGACTCAGAGATACGTACAGGTCTGCGTTGGAAGCGTAGTAGCCCATCCGCATGTCGCAGTAATCAAGATCGCTGAGCACAGTGTTGGCAGCCGTCGTGTTGGAGGTATTAAAACTAAAAGACTGCATTTTACGAGAGCTTTTCACACCCCTTACGATTTCATCCGTTGAATGCAGGCTGACCAGGCAATCCCCGGGGACAAGGGTGTTAAGGACCTGGCCCCCGACCTGGTTGAGGGCTCCAGTGAGAAGATCCCGCAAAGAAAGGGAGGTTACGCATGTGAGCTTCGAAACGCATTGTCCTCTGTCATCTAGCCGTTTTGAGCGCTGGGCTATCGTTCATGTTTTGGACGATGTCGTCAGCCAGAATAATGCACGATCTTGTTGGACAGAATGAGAATATGTTTCGGTTGATTTCGTCAGCCAGAACGCCGCACAACCTTGGCGGCCACAATGTTATGACTCAAATACTGTTTTGGCTCGACGTGTACATCCCTTGTCTGTCCATAATTCTCTTGCTTTCTCTTTTTCCAAATCGAAAGTTCTTCTCTCGCAGCGGGCACGGGTGTGAGCATGACCGAGTCCGCTCCCCTGATGTTCGTGGGCCTGGACACCAAGGGCACTCCCGCTGACCCCGCCACCGTCAAGGATGACGCCATCGGTGGTGTCACCGACCCCGCCAGCATCCCCGGAAGGATCAAGGAGCGCGCGGGTACCATCGCTTCCAAGTTGCCTGATCTTCCCAACGTAAGTCTTAATCCTCTTCAGAAAACTTTCGGATTGTTGTGACTGTAAACGTGTGCGGCACACCTGTCATTGCTTCCTCATGGCTTGTGCACAAATCTCTCGTCGTATGAAGCTTCAGAAGGCTATTTTTTCATCATGTTATCACCTGACCGTTTTGGCACACACAGCACAAACACTTCGTTATCTTAAGTTTCTCTTGGGTATAACTGACACGTGTGGGAAGTTATAATAAAATTCTCTTGGGCACAACTGACACGACTGAGAAGTTAGATGAGATGTTAGAACCGACTTTTCTCTTGAATGTGTTACGAAAATTCGCGGGATCCGCTTGCAGATTGACCAGGCCCTTCCCGGCGGCAAGGGTTTGAAGGATGTGGCTCCCGACGTGGTTGAGGGCTCGAGCCAGAAGATCCAGCAGAGGCGCGCCCCCGGCCTTGGCAACTACGGCGGAGGTACGTCAGCTTGTGGCGAATCGTTCGTGTAGCCTAAACATATCACTTGTCAATACAGATCCCTTGACAATGATAACTTGTGTCTTTCATATTTCATGTCTGGTCTTTACAAGCTGATCACCGAGATATCTTCGATTGTAAATTTTTTTGTTGATACTGATGTGCCGTCTAGTGCAGCTCCATTCCGTCCTTAGGTTTCGGTGCATTCTCTCTGGGGCGTTTTTCGATCTCTCCAATCTCCTGCTCACACATATTCCTACCTGCAGATGGCTTCAGCCGCTCGAACGTTTCCTTGGACGCCGCCCCCGCGCTTCAGTTCGTGGGCCTGGACACCAAGGGCACCCCCGCTGACCCCGAGACCGTCAAGGATGACGTCGTCGGTGGCGTCACCGACCCCGCCAGCATCCCCGGACGGGTCAAGGAGCGTGCGGGTACCATCGCCTCCAAGCTGCCCAGCCCACCCAGCGTAAGTCGCACGCCCCGGCCAACTGTTTCGGCCAACTTTTTGTCCAACACACGCCAGGTTGTGGCTCTCACTTACAGAGCTCTTTGTGCGTCACGTCAGGTTCATGTCGTGAGAAAGTCAATGAATGTGTTTTTTCTTTTTGTATATCTCTCCGCAGCGTGTGATAAGATAGAATAGTCCTGCCATTCTGTGTACAAGCATTAACCCATAGTTTTCCATCTCCACAACCAAAATCAATTCTGTGCGTGCAGGCAAGCAAGATCCTTCCCAGCGACAAGGGTCTGAAGGACGTGGCCCCCGATGTGGTGGAGGGATCAAGCCAGAAGATTCGGCAGAGGGGCGCCCCTGGATTGGGCAACTACGGGGCTGGTAAGCTTTTGAAGATAGAATAGAATCGTCGGATATTGCGAAGGAAAGCATGAAGCCACTCTTGCCACCTACAATTACTAGGGGCACATCTCTCAAAAGTTACGTCTTATTTGTTCACTCGAACCTGAATGTCTTTGTTTACTTTGCGTAGCATGAACTGTTTATCGACGTGATTTTCGCTGTGCCTTCCTGTCTTCGACATTCGTCGAGTTAGCCAACAGATTACATCTTTGCGTGCGTGTGGCAGAAGCAGACGAGCGATAAATTTAATTTTAACTAGCTTCATTACCACTGATGCAGACGGCTTCAGCCGCAAGAACGTTTCCTTGGACTCCGCCCCCGCACTCCAATTTGTTGGCGTTGACACCAAGGGCACCCCCGCTGACCCCGAGACCGTTAAGGATGACCTGGTGGGCGGAGTTACCGACCCCGCCAGCATCCCCGGACGGATCAAGGAGCGCGCGGGCACCATTGCTTCAAAGCTGCCCGATCTGCCCAACGTGAGTTCCCCACTTCATTGGGTTTTCATAGCCACGTAGGCATATTGGATTTCATCCGCCTCTTGTCCTTGTCGTCTTGGAACAGATGCATTCGGCAAAGATTGTTACTCGCTAAGGATTATCTCGTTTTGGTTCATGGCAGAGCTGCCTTGTATACTGCCCTGCCCGGTTCGTTTCCTGGCATTGACAGATCCTGCCGATAGTTCTCTTTGAAGCAGGCTGATAGGGTGTGTGAAGTAGTCTGTGTGTAAGCTTACGAGTGTTTCCATTGTGCAGGCTGACAAGGTGATTCCTGGAGACAAGGGCGTCAAGGACATTATTCCTGACTTGGTTGAAGGCTCCAGCGAGAAGATTCAGCAGCGCTCGGCCCCCAGCTATGGCTCCCAAGGTAAGCGGCATACGTCCTAGAAAAAGAATCTGTTTTCTTGTGTTTTCATAGAACTGGGTTTCTGGAGAAAATGGCTGCGCTTGCTTATCTTTCTGATACAAAATACTAGATGTGTATCGTGATCTCTTCATCGAACCGCTACGCCTCGCTTCTTCTCTTTGAGGCAGCATGTTTCGATTTACAGACTGATGCTTGTTCTCTTGCCGAAGGAGCGCATCGAAGAGAAACGATCTATTGGATATTCAGGAACTCGTTCTTTTTGTAGCAAAATTTGCGGGGGATGTATCAAAAATGCCATACACGCCTGTTTCCCTGTTCATCATGGTAAGCGTGATTCAGGATTAGTGATCATATTTAACTTTACCCTCCAATTCTCTTGCAGGAGCGGAGACCAACCGCACCAACGTGAGCTTCTCCTCCGCCCCCGTCGTCCAGTTCGTGGGTGTGGACACCAAGGGCACCCCGGCTGACCCCGCGACTGTTAAGGATGACCTGGTTGGTGGAATCACCGACCCCGCCAGCATCCCCGGAAGAATCAAGGAGCGCGCCGAGACCATTGCCTCCAAGCTGCCCAGCCCCCCCAAGGTAAAAACGCGGCAATCTGTTGGAAAATAATCGAGGTTTGCTGTTATGTGCAATGAATATCTGCTCCACAGGGTTGTGTATCTTTTAGCGCTTGAAATTCTGAGCTTTGGTCGACGACGACTTCCACTTCTGAACTTGCCGCTGCCCTGTCAAAACAGGTTTGACAAGACGTCGAGTTAATTTGGGGTCGCTGTTGTAGTGTGGCCAAGCTGGTGCTTCGAAGATTTGGTTTGGATTCCAGGTACTGATTCTCCAATCTGCATTTCATTCTTTGACAGGCTGACCAGTTGATCCCTGGGAACAAGGGGGCCAAGGACATTGCCCCTGACCTGGTTGAGGGTTCGAGCGAGAAAATCTCCCAGCGTTCGGCTGGCCAGTAAAACTCCGAACGGTAAGTGCTGCCTGATTCACAAATCTGTACTTGTCTAATGTTCAAGCTTTGTTCAGTGCGAGGTTGTTCAGTCACCGAAGCTTCCAAATGCCTCTTGTGCTTTCGCACCTTGACATCTCTGCCGTTAAGAAACATGCGGGATTTCCGGGAGTCGTATGTAATTAAAGATCGAAATTGGTTATTGATGTCTCTTTCGTTGTACGCAAAATCTTAAGCTTGTGAGCGGAATATTGAGTTTGTGTGTCCCCGTGCAGGTAAAACGTTTGTAGTGTATCATTTGCGAAGAGTGTCGAAACTGATCTGCGCGGGAACGGTGATGGCCGTTGATCTAGGCGAGCAGGATTAGCAAGCTAGGCATCCGTGTTGAGTGGCAACTGTAGGAACATGCAGGCTGTATGGACGATGTAGGAAAGTTGGGTGTGACAATTTTGTTGAAATAATGGAACATTTTGGAACATATAAATGTTCCAAAATTTTGGCTAATCTAATCTTATTGTTTGCATATTCTAAGCCGTGCACATGAAGCATGCACGCAATTCAAAACCATCTTTGGTTGAAATTAAATTCTCCAAATTGCATCGCACACTAACCGCTGAAATCTATGTTTCATGTTTCAAACACAATCATATTTGTTAGACGATTCTGATTCAATTTTCCGAATCCTATGAATCACATGCTATAAGTGAATGTTTTGAGTCAAATGGTCGATGTATGTGAAACAATAAACTATGAACGTCTCGCGTAACTGGTTAAACGTGTACATATATTCAACCACTTTTTTATAGGGCCCTGCGGAATGAGTTGCATGAAATTGATTATACCTAAGGTGCAAACCCGTTAACAACTACTACCTAAACCAGTCAATGTATGTTCGTGAATATATGCAATTGACTCTCACATTCGTGCGCATGATTGATTAATTGAAGCACCAATTGCATAGCGTTTATATGTGAATAATTCCTATGGTTGTCGACCGATCCATGATTAGTACGGTGTACACCACGCATATGCTCACATCAATGAGAATTGTATGCTTAGATTAATTGACTCTTTCAACCATATTACATTTTGCAGTTACTTTCCTGTTCGTCACATACAGGTCAGGTTCTTGCCTCAATACTACGCACATGTTGGGGCGTGTGCCGGATGCCTATCCTGACAGTGAATGTCGGGCAAGCTGGGTTACGTGCATGGTTGTTACACCCGTGTCATAGACATCTCTCCGAAGTTAGTATGTATGCACAAAGACGGTGTGACATTGGCACTCAGCAAGGAAGACAGCAGATCATTTGTAAGGTCTGCCTGAACATTTCTGTTGGACATATTTGTGACTTGCCGATGCAATAAAGTACAAGGAGATTGTCTACACTCTGCCTAACGTGCGCTTGGTGAGTTGGCTCCAGGCGACTCTGCGCCGGTTGGCTTGCTTCTTTGCCGCATCACCTCCTGCACGCACATGACACGTGTTGGAAGGTTTGAGGTTGATGCACGGGCAGGTGGTAAATACCGTTACATTCATCTGCTCAAGCCGGGTGAGTGAGCGTTGAAGTCCGCAAATGCAGGCACTGGGCTGCAGTGGTCAATCCACACGCCTTGACGCACTCCCTGCCGACTCTCACCACCTGCACACGCTCTTCTCACCTCGTACTTCAGCCGCATCATCTTCTTGATGCGCCCTTCTTCCGCGGGGGGCTTCTCCGCGGCCGGGGATACGGCCGCCGCAGGGGGGGGCGTAATCGGCACCGTCTGCGTCTCTTTCTTGCCCATCACGTTGTCAAAAACGCGCTCCATGGACGCTTTCCGCAGGTGCATCCCCCCTAGCATAGAAAGCGCCGTCTGGATGGTGGTTCCGGAGCGCTCTTTCAGCATCCCCTCGAGGCCCTCCTTTTGGGCGCCCTCTAGAATCTCGGGGTCCTTTAGCAGGGCGTGGATGGCCGGCAGGAACGAGTCTTTCACGACGGACGGGGACAGCTCTGCGCCGGCAAATAGGGCGGGGTGAGATTAGTCGAGGGTGGGCTGGGAATCAGAATTTTCGACAAGTTTGAGTCCGGGAAAGTGATAGGGCCGACGTGCAGAAGTAGCAACAGTGACACAGAGATACTGGAAGTCAGCGAGGGCTGCAGAAGGTTAGAAGGGACAGGAGAATAGTGGGCCTTTGCATTGGTACTGGAGGCACAATCCGTGGTCAGCTTTCTGCAGCAAAGAAGAAAAGCGCCTTTTAACGAGGAGAATCACGCCGCACAGGTAACCGCGGGTACTTGTCACAGGGCCGAAGCAACTGGCTGCGCGACATTTGGGGACAGAAGGTAAACGGTCTCAGCTTTTTAAAAGGAAAGACTTACCGTTGCGGACGGCCCGAACAGACGGAACGACTAAGCTAGAATACTTCGACAAAACGAACGAAGCTGATCGTCATTTCCAGGACCCGAACAAACCCCACATTCTCATATCCAGCCAGGACCGATGAGTCAGCCACCGGCGTTCACTCACCGCACCCATTGAGCGAGCACAGGGCGTCATACAGCACTTCGGCCATCGCGCCTCGCCGCGTGATGCTGGCGGAGCTTTGCGCATTAGTGTTGGCCAGCGACAGGACTTTTGCGGCGAGGTACTCTCGCGGTGGGGTGGCCATAAGCGGCGCCGCTGTCGAGAGGGTTTTGATGACGGCGAGAGATGCCTCGTGGGAACCGTCGTCTAAGAACGAGTCCATCTGGACGCGAATCTTGTCCACGATCTGCGGGCGGTGAAAGATTGTCAAGCGCGCAGGGTCTCTGTGGTCAACGGATCTGACAGTCAGTACCAGAGACGACAAGAGGGACAGCCAGCTTCTAGGCTCTCGAAAGCTGGGCAGGAGTCTCTTAAACGCAGAGATCGCCCGTGATCTGACAAAAGGGGTAACCTCTGGGATATCGGGTTGTCGGGTTTTCTGTCGGCCCCTGTAGGAAAAAACATCCCCATTTTCAGACTTCCGGACTTTCGTGTCGCACGAACTTGTAGATCCCAGACAGCCGTCCAGGTGGAAGGCTTGCTCGATACCAGCCGAACACGGACCCTCATCCAGGATTGAGGAGAGGCATGAAAGCCAGTCCTTCTTCAATGCTCGAGAAGGAGCGTGGCTATGAAAAGGAGCGAGCCACGGGTGGAGGGCGTCTGATAAACGGATGCCAAAACGAACGCTGTCATGGCGTTATCAAAGATAAGCGAGGCCAACAGTCGTGAGGACCAGGGGGCGCGTAATACTTGGCGGAAAGGCATTCGGCAACATTGACACCTGACTGCGAAATATGATCAGCAAGATCACCTGTTTCTGTAATCATGCATCTGCATTCTCAAGAGTGTTCGAGAATAACCAGAGCAAATGAGCTAACTTGCTCAAATATATGCGATAAGCAAAGCGGTCTGGGGGCATCCTCACCCCGTCGTCTTTGAAGTTTTGGGCGACCGCCCCAAACGCGTCTATGCTGGCGTGCTTGACCTCCACGTTGGGATCGGAACCCAGAGTAACTAGGGCGGGCAGCACCTGCCGGGTCACTTTGTCGAGGTCCACGTACGGTACCTACAGCATCAAATCCAACGTTTGTAGTGATCGTCACCACAAGAAAGTGCAAGTTCAATGGATTGACAAACTACAAGAGCGAAGAGTCAGGCCGCCGGGAATCTTAGCAGATTACACACACAATCAAAGATTATCTCCGCATGTGCGCACCCGAGTACAATACACTGGTTTGCAAACTGCGGGTCTGATCGGAAAAATTACAGCGACAGTGTCAAGCTACAATTTAGCAGATGCGTCGAAGCAGTCAAGATTGAAAGAGCACGAATCAGCAGTTTTACCAACTGGGATTCGCAGCGCGAAGGCTCACCATGGCTTTGAAAATAACGGCGGCGCTGACTTTGACTTGCGCACTGGGGTTGACCACCAGTTCCCACAGCACCCCCAGCACCACCGACTGCTGGGCTTCGAACGTGCTGCAAGGAAAAAGAAGCTGACGTCAGCAGGACCGAAGGCTAGCCTCCGAAAAGTCAAGCCGTACTTACGCTGACTCCGACACGATTGGCGTCAGCTCAATAGCTGGTGTTAAAAGAGGGTCACGTCCAACAAGCGTCGGCGCACTTTCAGCAAGAGCCAGACGGAGGGCTTTGCACTTGAAGCAGGGGGTGGGAAGGCAAACCGAAATCAACAAGCGCTTTTTATCAATCATCCGCTCTCAACCTTTCCGCTCACATTCGTTATCTCCAAATGTGCACATCCGCTAGCCAAGGGGACCGTGAAGCAGCAGAGTACTGCCAAGAACAGGTATGGAGAATAAAACAAAAAGCAGAAGTTCCTGACGGAGATCCACCGGCTTTAACCACCCCGCAAACCGCACTCCTTCAAAGGCCGGATCCTTGTCCTTGTCCGCTCAACAGGGGAAGCACAGGGCGTCGAGAGAACCGGCAGTGTCTCGACCGTCGACAGCACGGCAGATCTCGAAATCGAAACCCAAGACCTCAGGCTTTCACGCGGTAGATTCGTCGCTCACAGTCCAACGCTCTGAGAATCTGATCGCTCTCCGCTCACCAGAGGAAGCGCAGGGCGTCGATGAGGTCGGGCGTGTGGCCGGTGCTCCAGGCGCCGTCCTTGAGGCTGGTCTGCAGCACCAGCTCGCGCACATACTCCGCGAGCGCGCCCTCCCGCATGGCGGGCGCGCCCAGGACCCCGGCCAGCAGCAGCGGCACCACGCACAGCCGGGCCAGCTTCTCGCCGCTCGCCGTGGCGGGCTTGAGGCCTGGAAAGAGATGAAAACAGATGAGAAGACGGCTTCAGTTAAGGGGATGCAGCCAGGAAATAGCCGATAAAACAAAGGCTAGAGTACACAGGTGCGTTAAGCATGCCACCAATAGCGACACCACGCACAGCCGGGCCAGCTTCTCGCCGCTCGGCATGGCCGGCTTCAGGCCTGAAAAAGGTCGGGAAATAGCTTGAGATACAGGGAAAGACATCAGGATTACAGGGATAGGTTGGAAGTGCCATCATTGTTCGACAGTGCGACCGGAAAGACGAGGACGTGGCGTTGAGAAGCACAGCGGCCGCACTAAACGAACCAGGCAAGCTTCTTGTCGCTCGGCGTGGCGGGCTCAGACGTGAGGCACAGTGAAACATAGGGCTGGAAACAACGATTGTCCTTCCAGCAGGACAGTAGGGGAAGAGAAGCAGCAAAAGCTCCGGGAGCGCCTTACCTTGTACTTTGTCGTGCGCTGATGCTGGCAGCCCGGACAGGTCGGCCTCGTTGCCGGCGGCCGTGAGGAACATCGGCAGCATGACGTGTTGGAGGAAGAACTTGCCAAACAGCTCGCTCACGGACAGAACCAGCTGCACACAGACACAGCGGGGGCGTGGTTGGAATTTGGCTTTAGTACAGACCGACAGGAACGGGGCAAAGGAATGAGGCAAGGAATCCGTTCTCGCTGTGGTCAAAATTTTGTTCAGTCTCGTTCTTCAAGTAGCCTCCAAACCCATGACGGGGCTTAAGAAAGCCTTGGCTAGCGAGTGGGTTGGTTTGCATTCTTGCTTGTCTAGAGCCGCCAAGCGCTGTACAGTGATTCAAGAATATAAACCATGAAGGAACCAGTGCCATTGACAATGAAGATACAAGAAAAGAGTTTCTTTCCCGACCCAAGAGCAGCCAGATGGAGATTCAAACACACAACAGCGGAGCGCTTTTTGCATTTCCCATGCGACTGTCAGAGGCGCCGCCCGACATCTATGCACCGCTTCCACTTTGCTTGAAAAGCGGAACTTACGTTGCTGAGCGCCTTGCGGAGGCCTTCTTCCCGGGGCTGGATCATGCACGCCAGCTGGAGCAGCCCCGCCAGGCACTCGTTCACCAGCCAGTCGAAAGTGGGCCACGACTGGCTCGACCTGCGAAATACCGCGGAGGGAATTCGAGCTCAGACCAAACAGAAACAGGCCAACTCTGACGCCATACGATGCTTGCGCTAAGCGTAGTTGATACCGCGAAATCGCCCTGCGAAGCTTTTCCTGCATGCATATTCGGGGACCTAGAGCCACCCCCAAGGACACAAGCAGGAGCAAATTCATTGAAACACAACGCACAAGTTGCTGAGGACCTTGTTCGCAGGCCAAACTCCATAACGCTGCTTCAGCGGACCGGTCTCCTTTCAAAGTGTATATTGGCGTTCGTGCAAGTTGTCCGCATTATGTCAAGAAGGGCCCTGCCCAATTCTGAGGAGCTGCTACCCCGATAACACCCTACATTCAAGATTGTTCCGAGAAGGTCCTATGGCTGCTCCCGACGCTCACTTGGCGTACTCCAGCAGCCGGACGTCCGAGAAGACGTGCTCCGGCTCGGCGCCGTCCGCTTCTGCACCGTCCTCCGCGAGCGCTTTGCTGCAGGGGAAGGGGCACCCCCGCACGACGGCCGCCCGCGCCTCGGGCAGCAGGTGCGATTGCAGCAGCCGCAGAAGCGCGTCCAGGTTCCACCGCTCGCGCTCGCCCAACACGCGCAGCTGTGCCTCCGCGGCGTCAGCCACGCCACTAGCGGGAGTGCACCGCTGGGGGAAGGGAGTAACGAGTCTCAGTTTCTGGACACGGAAATAACGTAAAGACTGCCCATGGTGCTGTGGGATGAGGCTGACGCCGGTCTAATTTTGGAAGTGCATGGACGTCAGGATCTGACGGGAATCTGAGTCGAGGGCAAAGGACATCGGAAAGTGGGAACTTCTGCGGGATTCACTGGTTGTGCTTTTGTCAGCCGCGCCAGAAGGGGGGGTGCACCGCTGATGGGAGAATGGAGGAGTGATGCAATCTGACCTTCTGGCTGAAGTAATGAGAGGTGTTGAGTTTAAAAGGGTTGCACAGGACTTCGCAATTGTAAAATCAGAGGGAAATGCGCGAAGCACAAGATTAAATGTGAAACCGACTGATAAGTGCGGCATCTGCCATTCAAACAATCGCTTGAATATACAAGAAGCAAGGTGGTCCAAAGGTGCTTCAGAACTTCGTCAGCTCTGGCATAACGTCCCTGAAGATCGGTCATGGCCCACGAATCTTTCAGACACCAGACAGAAGCAGGAAACCGGCAACGAGGCAAGAGGTGTCGCTTAATGCATTCAAACACATTGATGACACCAGTAGTAATGGATACCGTGTTTTCCGGATAAATTTACCCGTAACCAGATTATCGTCGTGTCTGAAGCGCAAGCAACCACAAGCGTTTGCGCCTAACCTGCACAGTGGTGAGCGCTCTCGCCAGTACGCTGGGCAGCAGCTTGGCCATAAGCTTGTCCCCGGCCTTGGCCCACGCCAGGAAGCCCGGCAGCAGCCCGGTGAACGCACTCTCGACGACCTCAGCTTCGGGGTCCAAAATGAGCCGCAACGTCAGCTCTTCCACCTAGGAGAGGAGACCGGGGGGAATTGTTCAAGGGTACGTAACAGACTCAAGAACGCGAGGGATGTTGTTTATATTCGCAATCGGGTGTTTAGCGAGCTGGGAGCTCTCTCGCGGCTGGGTATACAGATTAAAGCGGAAGATGACTTTCAGTGGAGACCGAGTCCGCTTCAGCAGATACGTTAAACACAACCCGATAAGAGCTTGGACAGAGAAGTGGTTGTAAGAGTAGCTTTTCCACCTACTGAACTTCTGAGACGAACATTCTCTGCCTCGTGCAGGATGTGCTACCAAACAAATCTTTCATTTGCAGGAAACAGCATGCCACTCTCTTGGCTCACCTTGGCATACTTTTCATAGTCGGGGAAGAGCGGCAACAACCGCGCAAGGTTCTGCACAACGGCGCCCCGCACCGCCGCCGCGCTGTCCTCCACAAGCTGCTGCACAATGCTCAGGATGAGCGACGTCCGCATCTCCGGACGCACGTACCGCGCCAGCTGTCCGCACGAGCTGGCAACCAAGAGCCGCCGCTCGGGGGTCTTGTGACTAATTTGCTCCCAGCAGCACGGCAGCAACTCCTCTTCCGTTCTCGCCTCTCCGATCTTCTGAGCCAGCTCCACGCACGCGTCCATGATCATCTTCCGCTGCGCGTCGTCCGGTTTCTTTATCAGGTTGAAGAGGCTGTTCGTGAGATTCGCGCGCGTCTCGCCGTCGGGCGACTTCTCGATCGCGACGATGAACAGCGGCAGCAGCTCCTCCCGCTTGTTGATCAACACATTAGGCACAATCCGGGGCAGCGACTCGGCGACCGTCCTTACAGTGTCCAGATCGGGTTCCGGCGCGCTCGGTTTGGCAAACCCGTTTTCAAGACTGCGCCCCGCTTCGGCGCCGTCTAAACTAGCTACTTCGCTTCCCCCTCGCTCCGCTGCCGTCGAACCGCCTTCTCTTCCGTCTTCAGCTCGCAAGGAGCCCTGTTCCGACTCCCCATTAGACAGAGCGCCGTTCGGTTCTCTGACCTTATCCGCTTCCGCCCCCGTCGCTTTGGTTGCCCGTGCTTCCGCCCCAGCCGCTCGTTGTTCTGCCGCCCTGACTCGTAACCGCTCCTTCTCCAGATCTTGCTTGGCTGAGGCCAACTGCGCTCTGAGCTCGGACAGCTCCTTCTGCGCCCCATCAGCAGCCTCCTTTACCCGAAGTAGTTGCTGCGCTTGTTCCTCCGAGCTCTTGCGCGCTTCCTCGGCTGCCGAGGCCAACCGCTCGTTCTCAGCCTTCAACCCCTGGATCAAAGATTGGATTGTTTTTGATTACTAAAATCCGCGAACCAGCTTGTAATCCCAGCTCACAGTCAGGATCCCGGATCCCAGCTCACCAGAGGATGGGTTATGTGAAATAGAAGAAGGCATGTCACCTTCAGGAACCTGTCGAACTCAACAAGGAGGATGGTAGAGAGCCGGACCAACAAAGGTCTATTTGGGACCTTGAAAGGCAAGAGTCGGTTGCGGCATAAGACAAACCATAGAGCAACACGTCTGCTATCCAAAGCTTTGCGGCCCAGCTTTGACAGGTTAGGCCACGATTGAACCGAGGTTCGCTGAAAAGTGCAAAGCTAGACCTGTGACCCTTGTGAACCAGTGAACCAATTATCAAACCCAGAAGTGATTGGCTGAGATCTGACCTCAACGTCCTCTGTCCCAGTCGCTATAAAATGGGCGTAGTAGCTGCGCAGGGCGTCCGGTACATGGCCAGGCCCGGCAGGCCAATCATCCAAGTCCTGGTCCGATACCTGGACCAGCAGGAGCAATGGGATCTGACTTTTCGGATGGAAGAACTAAAGACTCAAGGAAATTGACTTTGCAGGTACAAAACTACCGCCATGGCAATGCAAGCAATCACACAACTTCGAGTGCAGGACTCAGAGCTGAAATACATAGACTGTCCATGATGCGATCTGGCGAATGACACCACCGCGCACTTCTCACCTCATCACAGAAGGTCATGGCGGTCAGCTTGTAGCTGCGAGACTTGAGGTACTCCTGCACAGCTGCATTGAGGTCCCGCTTCTCTGCCCCGCTCAGGTTCTCTAGTGATGTTGAGAGAGTCTTGCGGTGGCCTTGCGGCTTTTGGGGGGTGCCAGGGGTGAGAAAGCCCTGCTGTGGTGCGGAGATGGCCTCTTCTTTCTGCCTCTCTAAACTTTCTTGCAAGCTCTTGATGTCCTCTTTCGCAATACGCAGCTCGTATTGGCTGACGGCTGCAGCCTCGTCCGCCGCTTCCTTTGCGTCTGACAATTTCTGGAGATCAAGACCTGCATCGATCGGGCAAAGGAGTTCGTCGTTGCTTGACATTCCCTGACACTCAGTCTAGTTTGCATTCTACTCGAGGATATTGTGAGCGCACTCTGTTGAATAAATTCAGTGGAGATGAGACGACGTCGAGACAAAACAAGTTTAGAGCTCGTTACAGTTTCTTCCAAGCGACACTGCAAATAGATTGGCGTGACATCGCGGATTGCAACCCGACAAACTTAGCAACAAGGAATGACTTGAAAGGGGCAAATCGGATCTTTTAACATGAAAAAAAACAACAGAAGTTGGATAAGAGTTCCCGCAACTGAGCTGAACTCGCATGGGGCTAGCAGAGTTGTAACGCGGATTACAGCGGATCGAAGCAAAGAAAAGTCTCAAGAATGCCTGCTATCGTTGTACATTCATGGTTTGCAATGTTCTGAAAACACGACCGCCACTTGATTCCTTGGCCAGCACAGCGGAAATTTGCCTCCTAATGACAACCACTGCTGCTGTGACCTTCTGGGGAATGGAGAGTTGGGGCAAACGACGCTTCACTGGAAGTACGCACAGATTGCTGCACATTGCACGACTTTACTCAACACCTCAATCTAGTCGCAGTTTCCTGATGTCCTTCTTCACGATTTGACACACTCCAAGCAAGCAGTCAGCAAAAGAAAATTAGATTGTCACAGGAGGTGGTAAGCTGTGGGTCGAACATTCTCGAGTGCCTCATTGCTAACACCCGCAAACAATCTCTACGATGATGAAAGGATCGTCAGATGCAGAGCCCAATCAATGTGCAGCTGCAGAGCTGAGCTTCACTTGAGATGCAAAGACTTCTCTAACGCGTCTTTCAGGAGCACTCACTTTCCAGGGTTTGCAGCCGCAGCATCTCCGCCGCCGAGAACTTTGCCTCGTCAGCAAAGTACTGCTGCAGCAACTCTGCAGGCGCGCCGACCTGTCCATCTTCCAGCAGCTCTTGGAGCAGCTCAAAGGCTGTGAGGACATAGTTTTCCTGGAGTAGAAACTTCACGACCTGATGACACACGGCGTCTTTGTCTACTGGAGCCGCTGCCATTCCTGCGCTTATTGGACACGAGCATCACCTTACAGCCTGGCAGAGGCACTCACAAATGAATGATCTCTCTAAGTTGATGCATTCTTTGGACGCTGAGGGGCTTCAAGCGCCTTGCCCGTCCTTTCTTCAAGCGCCACATGGGCGCAGACTTCAGCTCAGCTGTCGAGAATGAAAATGCAAGGGCAAACTTGCAAAGGCCGATATTTGTTTTAATTGGCCGATAAATTCCGGAGCAGAGTGATCGCTTTTGGTTTATACGGATAGCTTATGAAATGATACAGTGGCTATGGTGACGGTCCCGGAGCTGACGCACACCCAGTTTTTGCTGGCGTCATCGTTACCACGGGGTCCACGTGGCTACCCACTCAGGATCTGCTTTGTCCACGCCAGCATCGGTTTCGGTGTGTTGCAGGAGGCTGGCCGCTGCACTCTGCACCATGTGTGCGCCATCTCGAGAATTTCAACGCGCCATGCAGAGAGACAGACTCCGGAGCTTACCTACCTACTACAGCTGGCTTAGAGCGGCCCATGAGCTGAGCTGAGCTGAGCTGAGCTGAGGAACCTTTCTCAGCTGGATCAAGCTTCTGTAAAAGCTTTTTCAATCAGAAGCGGCCGCAATTCTCAACTGCGGTGCTTGCCAGTGCACAGTTCAAGGTCACCGCCCAACCGAGACGTAAACTCTTCCTTTGCTGGACATTGGATTCGAGGTGCGCAGGTTGGATACAACTACACGTCTTTTAGGTGAGACGGTGGCGATAACTGCTTTCTGAGCCCTCGTAACAATGAAGTGATACGATTCTCTACTTACGCCCCTATCAGTACTTGACATAAGGTCTCCTGCTAAGCCTTTTAGCATCCCTTAAGTTGTCTTTCTCTACCTTTCTCAGCAGTATCATGTGGGTAGGTCTAGTAATTGGGAGAGCGCTAGTTGTTTCACAAGCTGACAATCCTCGCAGCACATGTTAACAACCGTGAGCTTGATTTTATTGACAGGGTCCTCGTAAGGGAGTTCTTCTCTTTTGTGCATGTATTTGTATACGTGTGCCAGGAGCCAAAGACTTTTCATCAAATCAGCCCTGAACGTGAGGCAACGTCTGTCTGGTCTCACCTCTTTGAAATTCACTCAAACCATCAGCTTGTTAGAGTGGAAAAGCTGACGCACGTGATTACTTTTTCAAGGCACGATGGTGGTGTTCAACATGGCCGACCTGAAGCTAGCCCCAAAGGAGGGTGACAGCTTTGACACCAGCCAAGCATATGCTGAGGGCTTAGACAAGCAAGACAGCCTGGCGGCCAAGCGGGAAGAGTTTGCAATCAACGGCGAAGAGTTGATCTATGTGGATGGAAACTCGCTGGGGAGACTGCCCAAGCGGACCATGCCAGTGATCCAGGTAAGCAGCGCTGAAGTGTCTGTTTCTGCGTTCCTTTCGTGCAGACAAATTGCGATGGGGAAGCTGCTTGCTCCGAGGCCTGAAAATGTTTCTTCAATGTGAAGGATTGTGTGAGGGATAATCTATGCCTGTTAAAGTAAGTAGCAGCCGTGGTGAGTAAGCAGCCAGGGAAGTCGGTGTTTGCGCAAATTACAAACACCGTAAGTGTCCTTTTTCCTAACGAGACTCGTGTCTGATATTCTTGTTTGAGAGCTGATTAAGAGTGTATTGATGCGTTTTTTCCATGATGCACAACGGCAGCCCTCACACGTTTTTCTAAAGCTGCTTTCCGTTTTCGCAGAACCGCGTGGAACGAGAGTGGGGAGAAAAGTTGATTCGCTCCTGGGGTTCTTGCGGTTGGTACGAGACTTCCACCAGGGTAGGCGGGAAAATAGCGCAAATGGTCGGGGCGCGCTCTAACGAAGTCATTGCCTGCGACTCGACGTCGGTCAATCTGTTCAAGCTAATCCTGGCAGCGCTTGCACTCCGTCCCGGCCGCACCAAGATCGTGACTGATACGCTCAATTTCCCGTCTGACATCTATGTTATTGAGGTAAGGCCATACTTTTCTCGTAAAAGTTAAATTTGGTCCTTGTCCCTTTTGTCGATGGTCCGTCGATGAGGTGTGATTGTGTCCCCGTCTTTGGGCTCTTCTGGAGTCAGTTATATGAGTGTCTGCATCCTTTAAGTCAACCGCTGTCCTGACATACTTTTTAGTGACCGCTTGAATGCGGTGCTTGAAGAGGCGCGCTTGGAAAATACGTCTTCGCTGATGTCAGGGGCTTCAGCGGCCATATACCAGGGCTTTGTTGCTCTACACACGTTGGAGCTCATTGCGGCTGGCTTGGCCCCAGCAATTCTTTGGCTCCTGATTTGCTACCTTCCTGAATGTGACCGTAATTGCTGGCTGATCAACGATCCGTGTGTTTGCCTTTGGTTCCGCAAAAGTTGGCCCCTCTCTATTTTGCAGGGTTGCATAAACCTCCTCGGCAACAGGCACGCGTTACAGCTCGTCCCTTCCCATGACAACGATCTGACGGTAGACATGGAAACTCTTGAAGCTGCTGTGGACGACACAACCGCATTGGTTTTACTCTCGCACGTGGTTTTCAAGAGCGGGTTTATGTACGACGGGAGGGCAGTCACCGAGTTGGCGCACAAGGTTAGCTGGCAGTTCTAATTTCGCAGGCTTTGTGCGCTCGACTCTGAAAGTTCTGCCAGGCTTTTTAGACGAAATGGAAAGGCCGAACGCAGATGTCGTTGCCGGAAGCGATGTCCATTCAGTCTCACTCCGCACCTTGCATGTGCTGTTCGAGCTTTGCGTTTTTGAAGGTTCACCTGAATTTTGATCGCTGAATTGACGGACGGCCTGTTTCGCATCAGCATATTTTGCCCGTACAGTCAGATTTTGTAGATTCTTGCTTCAAAAAGCTCAATAAAGTGCAGTACGCCCTCGCTCTCAAGAAGCTCAATAAAGTGCAATACGCCCTCTCTTTCGTCCAAGTCATTGATCCGTGCTTTCTCGTCACCTTTTTCGTCGCCTTGCCAGGCGGGTGCGCTCGTTCTGTGGGATCTGAGCCACGCCGCGGGGGCTGTGCCGGTCGCTTTGAACGAGTGGAACGCCGACTTCGCAGTTGGCTGTGGCTACAAATACCTCAACGGCGGGCCGGGGGCCACCGCGTTTCTGTACGTGCGAGAGGATCTCCAGGTGGGCAGACCTGGGACTTGGCTTCTCGCAAGTGGTTTGACAGTGATTTGCCATTCGGAGCTACTGTTGTCGATTTGTTGGGTATTCACACACGATGAAAAGGAGTTGAGCTATATTGTCGACTTGGCGAGAGTTCACACGATAGGATAAAGTCAAGGTGCCTCGGCCGTTGGTCAGAAGGATCATAGAGGCGCCTGCTTTTGAAAAGTTTGAGAGAGCCCCCGTGCAGCTCTGATCGTGACGGGTGACACGCGTTTGCCCGATGCTCTGTTTGCGACCCCGCGATCAACTCCCCCCCAGTCATGTTTCCGAAGCCACCTTGCAATCGTCCCCTCGTAAGCATCCCCTCGCGCAGCCTCTCTGTACGTCCGCCACCTGGACGGCTATAGACTTCGTCGTATTAGCCCTCTGAATTTGATTCGTAAGCGTACCCGATTTGTCGTTTTCAAGCCATAGAGTGCAACCCCCGCCTTTCACGGCGTTCATGTTCCTGACACAGTGCATCTTGCGGACTGATTCCTTTCTTCGCGGGACCAGTGCACGTCCGTCGGGGCTCCGATTGCCCACACCCGCCCTCCAACCCGCTCACGACGATTTGTGTCGTTCCTCGGCAGATCAATGAGATCAAGTCTGACGTCACCATCTTTCTGTTCGGCAAGGCCAGTGCACGGGCACATCTGGGGCTGGTTCGGCTAGGCCCGCCCCTTCAACTGGCCCACATTGGGCTTGTATGTTCGACACAGAGACATTGACTTACTTCTTACGCCACCATCTTTTGTTCCGCAGGACCAGTGCCGTCCCCAATCTGGGCGGGTCGCACATCTCGTCCATCCGCGTCAAGCTTCCTATCCACATATCATTCTTCATTGTCCTCACTCACTTCACTTCTGACGTCACCATCTCCTCCTGTTCCGCAGGACCAGTGCACATCCCTCATACGGGGCTGGTTCGGCCAGAGCCGGCCCTTCGACTTTGCCATGTCGAGCCTCAACCAATGCATTGACTTCACTTCTGACGTCACCTACATTTCACCAGATTTCATATGTTCAATTCGAGTGACGTTGCTTCTGACGTCACCATCTCCTCCTGTTCCGCAGGACCAGTGCTCGTCCCCCATCTGGGGCTGGTTCGGCCAGAGCCGGCCCTTCGACTTCGCCACGTCATACACTCCCGCCAAAGGCATGGCGCGCTTCCTGGCGGGATCGCCGCCGCTGCTGCAACTGGCGGCCGTCGAGGCGGGGGTTGACGTCATCAAGGAAGTGGGCATGGAGGCGCTGAGGGCGAAGTCGCTGCAGCTGAGCGAGTATCTGATCAAGCTTGCCGATGAGGTGAGTTTCTTTATATTCAGCGGGATCGAGTATCCAATTCCAATCGCCACGTGTTGAGATGCTCTGTCGAGCGCTGAGGGGTTGACTTGGTCACCGTAGTGGGCATGGGGGCTCCGAGAGCAAAGTCGTTGCAGCTGAACGAGTATCTGATCAAGGTTGCTCATGAGGCGGGGGGTTGCACGGACAGACGGTATTCCTGTCTTGCCACCTCTTGAGGTCGTCTGTTGACCAAGAAGAGGTTAAAGTCTGGTCAAGAAATTTTGGGCATGGACAAGATTAGGGCAGAGTTCCGTTGAGCGGATGCCTGATTATGCTTGCTCGTGAGGTGAGGCCACTGCAGCTTTTTACGGATACAATCCAGATAAGATGTTCGTTCACTGGGCGAGTAAAACCCAGTCGAAGTTGCATGCTTCATAGAAGCGCCTTCTTAGCGACCAGCACGTCATCCAGAATCGTAGCGGATTTTCATTTAAGCGGATGCGTACCGGACTTACTACTCATCGGAAACATTCTCCCGGTTGTTTTCATATTCTTGTCAGCCAGTTCGCTTTAAGTACGGTTTAGCAAAGCGAGCGGCCGGCTTTGATTTCTGATCCTTTTCCTTATTTCCCATTGAGTAGCGGATGAGTCTTGGGGTTCTCGGTGGGCGCGCCCGGGCCCCCGCCCAGCGGGGCAGCCACGTGACCCTTTTCAGTTAGTGTCATTGATAAAATTCAGTAACACAATCAGCGGCTGGCTTCTCAGCTTCCTTTTTGTAGCGCTGAAGTCCTCTGGGGTACTCGGTGGGCACCCCTCGAGACCTTGCCCGGAGGGTTTGCCACGTGACCTTTTCAGTCACTTCAATTGTATAGACTTATGGCGGAATCAGCGGCCGGCATGGTAGAGAATGGACTCTTCCTTTTAGCAGCGGTTGAGCCCGTTGGGGTACTCGGTGGGCAGTTCCCGGGACCCTGCCCACCGGGGCAGCCACGTGACTCTTTCAGTTAGTTCGATCGAAAAACACTATCAGCGAAAGTTAGCGGCCGGCTATGAACATAACTCTTCTTCGTTATGTAGCGGTTAAGTCCGTTGGGGTACTCGGTTGGCACTCCCCGCGACCCTGCCCAGCGGGGCAGCCACGTGAGCCTGAAGCACCCCGAGGGGTGGCGCATCAACCGGGCACTCATCGACGAGCTGCACGTCATCCCGGACTTTCGAGAGCCGGACAACGTCCGCATCGGGCTCACGCCGCTCTATACCACGTTTGCAGAGGTCAGGGTTCCTCTTCGCGAGAACTTTTTTACCCTCTCCTTTCTGTCTTTTCTCTTGGTTTTATTCGTTTCAGAGGTTTGGGGACTAGGTTGCAGCTCCACAGCTTTTCATGCTTGTTGACAAGGGTGGATTCGCTCATGTTACCAACATTTATTCTGACGTTCAAAGTCGGCCTACTTTATCTAGCGAGCTTTATCTTTCACGGTTGTAGTTTCTTCCAATTCAAAAAAGCGCGACGTAGACCCATCTTGGACAGACGAGAACTTCTCCCGACCGCGGTTTCGATAAAACAGGAAGGCGCGGTAGTACACAGCAAGCCATCATATTGTTGTCGATTTTGGAGGGCATCCACAGGGAAGCCTTGTTTCGAGAGGTACCGTGTATGGGATGAAAAGACCTGTGAACATGCATCGGAAACTCCTTTGTGTTATAAATGACACGTTGCGCCTTGCAGGTGTGGCACGTGGTCGAGCGGCTCCGTCGAGCGGTGGAGGAGAAGTTGTACCTCAAGTACTCTCTCGACCGATCTACCATTACTTGATCCTACAGGTGAGGTTCAATCTCGTCTGCTCTTCGTCGATACCTTAGTCGGTAGGTTTAGAGATTTTGTCCACACCTTGAGGTGTCCTTACACGCTTACTGAGGCACGCTCCCTGGTTTTCCAGAGTTTCCTTCCTACTTGTCCCGGAGTTCAAGTCGTTTGACCTTGCTTGTCATACTGGGGTCGATTGTGATTTTCATGATTCTCTGTCTGTTCTGCTCTGACTCCGTTTCTCTAAAGGTTGCATATCAGCAGGCTGGGTGGTCCGTCTTGCTGCCCCAGATACTTGTCTTTCGAACAGAGATTGATGACTGCGCTTCTCCTTCTCTGGCAGCGATTGTACAGAGAAGGGGCCAATGCGGCAACAGCATGATACTTGTAGCTAGTGGAAGATTTGGATCATAGATTTCGTAGACGGCCAGCCCAACGAAGAACGGGTTCGATAGGTTAGTGCGAGCATGTAGTAATCAGCAGGCAGGCCCGCAAGCATGCACTCGCGTATAGACGCAGGCGGCCTATACGAAGGCTCTTGATTTGCGTTCGTACTGACGAATGTAGGGATAGGTTTGGATTGTAAGCGACAGTACGTGATGTGTAATGTACAGACAAGCTATATTGACATAGGGATTCTCTCCCTACTGTAATCTTATTGTCATTTTCAACCGTTGCAGTCATGATTTTCTGGCAGTGCCCGGGGCCAGTGTGGGGTGTCGGACGCGGTCACGGCCCGCTAGCTTTACTGATTTCATAGTTTAACGAAGGCATATGCATGGGATCTTGCACATGGTGCGGGCCATTGATGGCGCTCTGCATGCGATCCTTAACGTGTTGAATTTACATTCCATCTTATGTAATTGCATAAATTGTGCATAATTGTATGCCGCGTCGGACGCGCTGCACATGCAAGATAGTCCGCGGTACTCAATTCTCAAAAGGATCATCTATAGCTCAGTGCACATGGTGCGCTTCTTAATGATAATGATGCGAATTGAGCTGGTCAAATCTGCAGACTCACTAATTGTAAGTCAGTACGCGAGCATGTGCGCCTCAGTCCGGGCCATTAGTATGCCGGCCTGGGATATAAAAGTTTGCCATGCTGATACAATCACATGCGAAGGTATATGGACACCTATAGACATATACTATACTAAGGCTAAGTTAGGATGCCGCGCAGTGTCTACAAAGAGCTATAGGTCTTCGATCAATGGGAGCATACTGGATACTTACTGCATTTCACATTCAACGCCGCCCAAATTTATTGCAGCGGCCGGGCCACAACACTACAGAAAGTACTCATGGCTCGACAGCAACCTGTAGGTCGAATGGAAGTGACATGCATTGGTTCCGACGCTTGACTGAGACGACTTATTACGGCTCTTCGAGTCGACACATGCTCTTTCGTCGATGGCTCTGAGCAAGTCTGGACATCGCGAGCTCTGCAGCCGGCTCTGCACCAGTCGGGGCACGATATGGATGCGCTACTGAATCCTACTCTTCCAACTAACTACTTCTTCCCCCCTTTCTTGCCGCCCTTCTTACCCTCGAGCTTGGCTTTCATCCGTTCTGCAGCAGCCGCCTTGGCCTCCTCTCGTTTTCGCTTCTCTTCGTCCTTGGCGGCAGCGGCCGCTTCGCGCTCTTTTCGAAGCTGCCTGAACAAGCCAGACCAGAAACCTCAGGACGCGGCTTATCTGACGTGTTCGATGGATATCAACAAAGTATTGTTTAATGCTTTGCGTCTCGTGACTTGCAGCCTCATCATTTCGAATTGATCTTTGTTCATAAACAACTGGATCAATGCGTTCAATCTCATGTCCTGAAGACGGGATAATGCGGCTGTGAAAACCGTCAAAAGCAGCGAGTACATTTCTTGAAAGCCAATCTGCGCGGCCTGAGCTGAAACTTTTTTCACGACTCTCACTAACTCTGAAAGTCAGGAATGGTCGCTAGCCCGACGTGTATAGTCCTAGGCTCGTCAGAAAAGAAGAACTCTTTGGACGAATGATCGAGGGCGGAGAACCGTGCTTTTCTACGATTCAGTCCACTTAAGTCGGATACAAGAAGTGCCTTATTCGGCACTACCGAGAAGATGCGCGGACCCTTCTCCTTTTTTGAGTATACGTCGTTTTGAAATTACCTTGACATAGGCAAGAGGGAAGACTGGGTAGAGGAGAGGAAGTTGACAATACAGATGAGAATGTGAAAATGGTCGGAACGTAGAGAAACGGGCCCTCACTCTAGTTTGTCCCGTTCCTCTGTGCGGCTCCCCGCGGACGCTCCTTTTGGTGGCCGCACCGCCACAAGCTCCACCTCAAACACTAGCGTGGCCCTGCGCGTCAAAGGTGAACAAGGTGAGCTCCTTCATTTTGTGCTTTCGATCGAGAAGCTGCTTGTGGTTTTGTCCACGTCGCTGAAACGAAAACATCCGCCCAGTCAGACGTGAGATCGTAAGTAAAGCTCGTGAAGGCCCCCAAACGGCAGTCTTGACTCGTTGAGCCTACATTTCTATATCCGCAAAAGGCCTCTCAAATTGTCAGATAGGGCTCTTGGAGGAGTGTTTCACAGTTTCCCGCACTTTGCAGCTGGAGTCTGCGCAGCTTTTCAAAAGACCCCTGTTGGCCTTCTGCCGGCCTCACTGTTTTGAGTTTTGGCCCGAGCCTTTCTCGTATGGCCACCGTCGAGTGAGGTTCAAAAAAAGCTGGAAGCGAGAACGAGGCAGAGGGGCACTGCTGGCAGAGAGGGGAGAGAAGATACAGAATTTGGAAGAGAGGTGGGAAGACATGAAGAAAGAAGGATGAAAGAAAGCAAATCAGGAAAAGCGGAGAAGAAAAGATCAGAAAGATTGAAAGTGGACAGGCATACAAAGGAGGAAGCAGGGTTGCAGATGGAGCGGTCCCTGCCTGACACTCCCAATGACGTGGATTGGCTTTCCTTACCCACCCAGGATGTCTGGTGGAGCGCCGCTGTCCCCATAGGCGTAGTCACTCCGGCATGTTATGGCAGCCAGTTCGCCCACCTACGGCCCAGTTGAAAAGCAACTTCGTTATGATCCCAAAGCGTCTCTATATGAGCGTTTGTGCTTCCACAACATTCTAAAACAGGAATGAGTCAAGAACATTTGCCCATACCATTCTGAGGTCAAGGGGAACGTACTCGGGCATCTGAAGAGAGCGAAGCTAATCACTCAGCACACTGATCAAGCACTCATTGCCACCAAGCAAGCCAGTGATCAGAGAAGAAACGAAATTTTTAGAGCACACCGCAGAACCTCTAGTGTTTCAATCCAGATAAGGGCTGAGTTTTTAGAAGCACCGTGCATGGGTTGATGTTGGCATCATTGTTCTAGTGTTGCGGACTCCAGATTGGAGAGACAAAATTGGTGGCTGGGGGCAGACACACCTTCATTGTGGGGATAGCCAGATCCCAGGCCTTGATCACCTGCACTCACCGATAGAATCGCATATGATCAGAAAACTGGACATCAACTTCTCTGAGGATGACCAGAGAGAAGACAACCAGAAAGACATAAAGGGAAGAAAGCAGAGTGATGCAGTTGAATGAACGGGGCCTGTAGATATCAGGGCAGCCAGCAAGGAGCCAGGAGGACCTGACATCAGCTTCAAGAGAGATCCTGGAATACTGACCTCTGGCATGCGATAAGCAAGGTAAGTGGGCGTTCGCTTGGATTGCATCGCACCTTGCCTTGGCCGACCTCGAATGTGAAGACAGTATTGTCTTCTCGGCTGCTGTCAAAGACCTCTCCCGTTGCTTCGAGCTTTCCTTCGTACTGCACTGCATGACGCCGAAGAATCGCTTCAGCATTGCTCAAAGACTGATGTACGTTGGTGCAGAGGGCAAGGCTTCCTAGAACTACAACCTACCATAAGCTGCATCACTTCAAACCTCGCAATACGTGGATTGCCCCGGCAATTCTAGAATCTCTTCAAATTAAGCCCTCAAAGCTGATTCTAACAGGCTACCTTATCATGCTATAATCCTTCCAGTCCTTATTGTGATTATGTATGTCTTGCCAGGAGCATTGAACGGTGTTGTTCATCAATGCTGCAAAGCATGAGAAGCCCGCATACTGCCAGCTCAATTGGTGCAGTCCTGGTCTTACCGTCTACTAGAGGTTCTGCAGAAGAGGGACCGGCCGCGCCATCCTTTGCTCTCCTCAGGATTCTCTTTGTGACACCTCCATCCCCAGAAATGTCGACGTCGTCCACCATCCTTGCTTGCTCACACTTGTATTAGAAGCTAGTTTGACTGTAGACTGCAACTCTGCCACACCAGTGCAGAAGCCCCCTCTAAGCAGCGAGCAGCGCCTTTAACTTCAAGCCTTTGAAGCTCAAGTTGAATCATTCATCCAGCAGACAAGGGCGCCTTTGCGAATTGCAGCATTGCTGACAATGCAGCCTTGCCAGCCCTCATATCTCTGCTGAAGTTCAGCTGCTGGCAGTGCTGGGTCTCTGCCACCTGAAACCCATTTCGTGGCGACCGATCCTCCCCGCTTTCCTTCAATAAAAGTATGTGTCGTCGCCGACCTCCAGGTGGTCTAGATTCCTACTGGAGAGAGCTAACCCGGTTCAGCTGCCTCCTCCAGCTCAGGCTGAACATCTTCACAGTTCACTCACTTTGGCTTGCCTTGATCAGTTGATGCAAGTTCAGGAGTTCTGGTCTCGGTTGCTGACGACGAAGAAAAGGAGCGAGAAGCAGAATCGATCAGCGGCCATCGCAGCACATCAGTCTGCGTGGTGAATGATGTAGTGGTGATTTGGGCGGGATGGTTTTGCATCGTGTAATCGAGGGTGCGCGGATCCTGCGTGTGCCCATTGGGCCAGCACAAGATGGTCTATCGAAAGTTTCACAGGGTGGTGCTGTTGCATTGCAGTCAATACTTTCTCGCACCATTGCCAACGATCCGGGAAGTTCTTCTCTGGGAAGCGAAATAGGTGAAGTGCATTGTAGCTTCGCGGAGCGGACACAGAGTGGCGGTCAAGCGAGCTGTAGTAGCGAGGACAGAAGTGGGATTTGGGAAGGTCCTTACTCTGCCCCAATAAATGGGACATCGTTGGGTCGACACCTGATTCAGAAAACGGTGTGTCTGAGCACGTTGGGGGCGTTACTTGGCAACAATGAGGGGACGCAAGCGGCCAGATTGAAAAGTGGGGATGCGAAGGATCACCACAGGAGCGGCGCCGCTGTTGTACCTCAATGGCCGTCATGTACCACCCTTATGAAAGTGGGTTGCCTGGTTCAAGACCCTTTTTTTGGCCTCATAAACACAGTCGTTTCTATCTGCAAAGCTTATTCAATGAGCAGAGCTGACTGAATGCGCTGCGCCTTTTGCCTTGTGAAGGGCCATCTGATTTCTGATTTCTGATCTGAAGATTTATGCTTGTTTTCGCCGAAGCCTGGTGCCATTGGTCCGCTCGTTGTGCAAGGACGTTGAGCTGTCCTGAGAACATGGAATAAGGTGGACAGCGTTCGAATTAGCTTGGCAAGGATGGCGCCAGTTTCTTTAGACGGATGGAAGGATTGGAGAGAGGGACATGCAAGGGGAAATACAAGCTTGGTAAATGCTAGGTCATTGGGACCTGCTTGAGTGGTGAGCTTTTCTCTTTGTGAGCGTTACGAATACATCGTGACACAACTAGAAGAAGACCGTTTGCATATGGAGCGTTTACGAGGCCTGCAGCGAGCAGATTGAGGTCCTTCTTATTGCCCATTTTTGCCCCGGGAAAATATGATCATTCACAGTGGGTGCCACTGAATGAGCAACGCAAAGCATACGACGCACAAACCAAACCCCCACCCTTTTGTGCGGTGGCTGTTCTTGTCTCAAGCTCACTGACAAGCATTTACAACCCCACATGCAGGGAACCTTTGGCCCCGCCCTCCCCCCCCCCTGGCAAGCAGCTTGGCGGCGCCACTACGAGACCCGCAGCGGCGATCCGGTCACTGTCGCCCCGACCCTCAACCGGCGCGGCAAGAAGCTGGTCAAGCGGCGCGAGTACAAGACCGACGAGGGCGACGAAGCGCTCCTGGCGGACGAGGAGGGCATGGCGAAGGTCGGGCTGAAAGGGCTGCGGTGGATGCGGGAGCTGGTGAACACGCCGCGGCGCAAGCAGGAGGGCATGCTCGAGGACCTGTACAAGGAGATGCACAACCCGCTGTCGAGCAACTATCTGCTGTGGGCCGCGGCAGCGGAGGGGGAGGCGGAGGACCAGCGGACGCTAGGGAAGGAGGAGAGGCGCCTGGATCCCGACGCGGACCCGGACGAGCAAGTCGAGCGGGTAAGGGTTCAGGGATTTGGATTTGCTGGGGTTGTGAGGGTTAGGGATCTGAGAATGTTGAGTGTTTCCAGGGAGTGTGTGTATCTGATCAGTCGAGTACATGTTGGTTGGCTGCTCTCCGTTTTGTGTCTCTCTTGACCTGTGGACTTGCTGCCACTTTCTCGGGGAACACTGTCTGCTTTGCTTTGCAGGGACTGGTTTCTATGGTAGAGAGACTGACCGGCGTGTGTCTGGGATTGGCTTCTTGAAGGTTAAATCTTAACGACTCGCTGCCTTGTCTCCATTGTGATGCCACCCCGCAAGCGGCTTGCTTTTGACACCGGAGTGACCAGTTCCGTTCATTTCTGTGCAGGCCTTTGAGATGCAGATCATTGACATCAACCGGACCAACAAAGCTACCAAGGTGCGTCTGCCTCCTGTGCCAGGCCCTCGTCGGGGTCACGCTCGAGCCACTCAACCGGGCAGTCCGTGACTGCATAAATCCTGCAAGTTCGGGTTGAGGTTTGAGGTTTGCTGAGACCGTCAATTCGTGAGAGACGTCATCTGGTGCCTACTCTCGAGCAGCCCGGCTGTCCCTGGAAGTTTGCTTCGCTCTTGAGGCCACGAAGCACAGTCGTGCGTTCAGGATGCTGTATGTTGACGGTTTCATGCCCATATGCATTCTCATGTACGCACTCGCGACTTGCAGGGCGGGCGCGTGATGAGCATGACAGCGATGGTGGTGGTGGGCAACCAGGATGGCGTCATCGGATTCGGTACTGGCAAGGCGCTCGAGCCAGGGATCGCTGTCGACAAGGTATGCTGCACGCTACAAGCTTTTCGGTTAGGTAGTCGAACCCGTTGCTTGAAGTGAAAGCTTCAGGTTCGTATTTTATGTCTCTGGGTTTTGGATGTCTCGGGAGTCGGAGCTTGAGGCTTTGATATATCTGAATTCAGGTGATGAGAGACATGTACGCCAAGGATCATATGCAGCGTGCTTGTTCGTCGTGACTGAAGTAAGTCACATAGATGCTGTGGTCCTGCTTTTGGTCAGCCCTCGTCGTGAGCAGGCAGATCGGACTCGGAGCGAAGGAGTCGAGAATCCGGCGTTGAGACGAGTCCGGACGTTGGAGGTTTCATTCTGCTGCGATTGCCAGATCCTATCAGTGCTGGTGTCATTTCCGCTTTTGCTACCTTTGCTGACGCGGAAATGCGTCGTGTTCCTCAGGCGTACCACCGTGCTGTGAAGAACCTGCTGTTTGTGCCGCGCTACCGAGGGCACACCATCTACCATCCCGTAGAGGTCAAGTACGGCCAGACCAAGGTACGCACCCTCCCTTTTATTTGGTCAAAGTTTCTGTTGAGCTCGAGCCGGACATGCGAGGTCCTAAGATAGGAGATACTGCGTAGCTTTCCATCATTCTGGGGAATCGCGAGTGCCATCTTTGGGATCGTTTCTCGCGTCGGGTGTGAGATTTTGCAAAACTGTGGCATCGTTTTTAGTGAGTTGTTCAAGCATCCTCCAGCCTGACTGTGCGACCTCCGGGTTGCTTCAACGGCGCTGACTACTCTCGTCAGTGCTGCGTCGATCGTCAGGCTGAGATCGTCTGAGGCACCTCTGACAGCTGTTTGCTCCACCTGGCATGGGCCGACGGTTCACGATGGTGCCCACATGCCCGTCCCGATCGTACCCTTTCATGATAGAAGCCGCGTAAAGCACGAATTGCGGTTTCTTGACAATTTGTTGGTGCGGAGATTGCAGGGGGTTCGAACTTGTGCATGAAGCGCAGCACGTGGCACTCGCTTTATAGACTTTTCAAAGAAGCGAAGAAAGTAGAGTTGAAAATTACATTTCACAAAAGTGAGATATATTGTGTGGGTATGCTTTCAATCCGCACCAAGCAAATGACGGTTTACTTCTTTTTCGCACTTGGCAGGTGCGCATGTGGCCAGCGCAGGACGGGACGAACATCATTGCGAGCAAGATTCTCGGCGGGATTGCGGACCTGGCCGGCATTCGGAACCTGAAGAGCAAGGTGAGATACTCCCCTTGCCTCCCGAAGTCATATAATAACCCAGAAGTCCCGATTCCGATAGCTTTACCAAGCTCTGACCTGCATTTGAAGCTTCTAGTAAGAGAGGTACAGCAGAAAGCGTCCAGATTTCGGTCCCCAAATTCGGCCTGGCAGTCAGCTCTGTTTTGCGAACGCTTCTTTGCCCGGTCCATGTCGTTGACTTGTGGCTCCGGTTGTGATTGCTTTGGTCGTCGAAGGCCGTATCCAAACCGTCCGACGGCTGCGAAGAGTACAAGCTGCTTCAGTGCAGCTTGCCCATAGAGTACGCACCTTATCATTATGAAACGAAGTTCGGAAATCGGAATCAGGATAAGGATGGATAGTCTGGAGGCGGCACTCGTTTGAAAGAGATCCGCAAGCTCGGCTTGTAGGCATCGTCAATTTTTTTCTGCCCAAGGACAGATTGTCGGTGCGCTTAGAGACTTGGGACGCTTTGGTGAAGACGAGCGTCTACCTTTTTTGGTATGTTTGTGATCCTGCGCAAGGTTCCTTTCTGATTCACTGTGCTTGTACGAAGGCAGGCAATCCCTGCCTCTTTAAAGGAGGATCTGGATAATGGAGATTGAGAGGCGTTGATTCAGCGTCTGGTCTTGCCTGCCAGATCATTGGGTCCCGGCATCCCCAGAACGTGGTGAAGGCCGTCTTCAAAGCGTTTGCATCGGTGAGCTGCGCCACCCTGCTGTGGCCTCGGAAAACCGTGACACCTGGCACAACTACGCTCTCACCGAGCCTGTCCCTTTTGCTAAAGTGTACCTGTCTTCAGATCGGGCCTGTTCGTTTTGCAACAAGTCGAGATGCATAAGTATAGGGTGGTCATGGTCTCCCCAGCTTGGAAGTTGCGAAATTTCCAGGCGACGCTCGTGATGATAATTTTTTTACCGATTATCAAAGGAGGGAGCAGCTCAGTACGGCATACTGGTTTCTCTTCCAGAGATGGACTTTTATTTCCAAATCTCAGAGCTTCTTTGTCAAGATTCCTATATCCAAACTTTCCTTTGTCAGATTCTACTTTGAGAAATTGGTTTAGGTTTGAAGCCCGGGCCTGCTTTCCTATTCAAACAATTAGGCTTTCTTGCTATAAAGGGTTTTGTTACTTGATATTTCACTTCACCCGTATGGTCCTTGCAGATCCAAACACCAACTGATATCGCCCAGCAATTCAATCGACCAGTTGTGGAGGTTCGGAACATGCCTTTCCGATGATCCTACATTGCTAGTGGTGTCTGGCGAACATGAGAGGGCAATTCAAATGCTGCAAGGAATGCGATCCTCCAGGTGGCATTTGCTTGTCAGTGTTGAACGCTTGTCAGCAAGCTGGGCCAATGATATTCTGTTCGCCTGATCAGATTCATGCAGTTGACAGCGGTACATGTAGAACCAAAGTCTGGTGCTTGCCTCATTGGACACCTTTTAACATGTTGATTGGATCATCATGCGTGTCTGGCACTCGCACGCCAACCACCTAATGGGAGAGTACTTATACATCTGCTTGGGCACAAAGATCAATTGTCAAAATTTTGCGCGACCTTGGTTCTGGACGATCTGGCTCGTCACAAGTGAAACCGCCGTCAACAAAATAACGCTCAGATACATTGACTGATTAAGTTCAAGTGCAGCAAATGCTATGCATGATATACTATAGCCGGTGTAGTATGGTAAAGATCGACTTACTAAGCACGGCGGCATGCATGCTGCATATTGCGAGTTTCCATATTGGCCGCGGGCCGGGCCATGTATATCCAACGGCCCTCCCGTACGCGTGTCCCGCTTAAGCTTATGAAATCTTACATGGAACGTGCAGGCTCAGTGCAGCAATATCCGTCGATCACTGACACCATGATGTGGCTTGCATGAATGATTAATTTGTGATCTCGTTCATACATGCCGGGTCTCTATACAACCGATCTACGAAAAATAAACGTGACAATTACCGTTCCGTCTTGCCCATGCACATGCAATGCATACGTATAAGCTCTAGCCATGCGCAGGCTCCGCGCCCATGCACATGCAATGCGTGTATAAGCTCTAGCCATGCTCCGCGCCGCTATACTAAGTTACATATTGATGCACATTCTTTGGGCATGTGCATGTCATCCGGGGCGGCGCATGGCCGCGGTTGCATGTACATGTGGCGCCGTCGCCATGCAAATGTCCGGAAGAACGTCAACATCGAGAGTCGGCTAGATAAGATGACATATACGTCAAATCACTGCACAGCATGCAACCGTCCCATGGAACACGCTGCCTCAAACCAGGACTCAAACCAGTTGCAGGAAAAGGCGAGGGACTCCATGCTAGCTTTCCAACAGGAAAGCGCAATGGGCATGGAAAAAGTTCGAACAAAACATGCGGGCTTGAGAGATATGTGTTACAATGGTCTGATTATCCAGGTGCAGAGAGAGTTCTAACCATATATACGTCTTACATGAAAGCAGCAACTGATTGAAACAGAAACCATAAACTAGACTGGTATAGACTGGAACCGTCTGTACATTGTCCTATAACCTGCTCGTATTACCTGTAGCACTACCTGCCGCATTGCTGATTGGCGGTGATACGTGGACCTCGCTCCAAAAGTGCAGAAGCCCGGACCTCCACCCCTGCCCCTCGCAAACTCCCTCTTGCCTCATCAAAGAGCTTACGTAACCCTTGGGGCTCGCCCCCCTCACGGCCGCGCTTCCCCGACCAGCGGCTGCAGCTGCAACTTTTTGGCCTCGGGGGTCTCCTCCGCTTCGGGGTGGGGTCCGGCCTCGCTTCAAAGGATGCTGCACCGGCTGCCGGCCGCGGGCGCCTCTACGGCCGCGCCCTCAGCGGCACCGCTTTGTGAGGCTGCGGTGCGGGGCCGCGCGGGGTCGTTGGCAAGCTCGGCGGTATCCAGGCCGTACTGCGCAACGACGACAGCAGGGTCAGCCAGCATCAGCCGTCGATTTAGATGAACCGTTTCTGCTGTGCGGCCGCCGTGGTGTATCTGATGCTTAAAAATCCTCTTGTGGAGACAATACAATGGACGAAAAACCGAGGTTGAATCGTCATATCGGATGGTTCCACTGTGGCGGACTTCTAAAGAACAATGTAAGTATCGAAGTGAATCTTCCAGCGCCCCGATGATGGGCGAGCAGTGGCTCAAGTCTGCAGCTTGTGTGCAACATAGGCTATCGTGCAATGCTGACGGACTATTGCTTCAGTCATCCCCTATCAAGGCGCTCTGTGCGCGCACCTTGGCCTTCATGCGGGAGCTCCATTGGTCGTTCCTGCGAGCCGGAGCAGCAGTACCGCCAGCTGCACCTGCTGGGCCCGTCGCGGCGTTGCGCGGCAGCAGCGGGGCGCGCGCTGCGGGGGCGTAGTCGTCGTCCGAGTCGTAGTAGGGCTGGCGGCGGGAGGGGAGCAGGGCGCGCAGGACCATGGAAAGAACCCACCCCACCACCTGCGGCAGGGGGACGGATGTTCCTGAAGAAACCTTTCTACAGCAAGCTTTACTTTACGCTGACATCATTAGCGTCTCCCTGCTGACATGGTCATACGAAGTGACGACGGTAGAACCATGACAGAATAAAGGACGGAGGACGGTGTACTTCCAAGCAAAACGTTGGGTTCTCCTGCACCTGCAGCAACATTCCCTGTCAGCAAGATCCTGGGGGGAAAGGCCCAATGATTGGAAGTTGTCGGCACGTAAGAAGTGGGACGGCCGTAGTGAAGCAGGACTTCATGCAGAAGCACGTCTGGCTGTTTCTTGGGAGTTATTGGTCGGACCCAGGTAAGAACATAAAGCAGAAGAACACATGAGACGTGCTAGCAACGAAATGAAGGACATCAATCGGCGTGGGCGCCGCATAAAGCAGTGTCCCTCACCTCAATGGCAAGCACGGCGCAGCCGGCGATCTTGGCGAGGTCGCGGTTGGTGCCCACAAAGCGGCGCGCCTTGTCCAGCTGGCCGGTGGGGTCGCGCGGGATGTCCTCCTCCCAGCTGCGGTCAAAGTAGATGAGCGCGCCCGCAATCACCTGCCCGCCAACGAGCAGCAGCAGGCCCAGGTTGTAGCAGGAGAGGCACACGCGGCTGCCCGACTCGGCGCCGATCAGGCCCGTGCATGAGGTGAGGGTAGTGAAGATGCCGAGCGCCAGTGTGCCGTAGATGAACCTGGGGGAACAAGCACATGCTTCAGGGAGAGGACCACATGAAGGCCCGATTGAACGTGCAAGGTCTGAGGGAACTGCCATTGCTGCTAATTCAAAGGTGTTGTCCTGTTGTGACGGACGTGGATTTGCAAGCTGGGCGATGCATGTTCTTTACTCATTTGGCAAAGGATGAATACCTCTTTGATAGATAAGCCTGTTGGAGAAATCAGACTTCAGGATTGATAAAGCTACCTCCTTGGTGCCAATGCTGCGGGTACTTGCAACCGAAACTGTTTGCGCAACCAGTCGTGAACCACAACGACAGCAGTCCGCATGCTCGAGGCCAGCCCAATGGCATGCACATCTCAACTCAAGCGTGCGGAATGATAGCAAGACCTGTAGGCAAGGTGTACTCGAGCGCAATATCCATGATGAGTTTCCTCTACCAAGCGGCCTTACCATGGTGCAGGTAGGCGCCATTTGGAGAGGTCTGGCCAATGCCAGTGGCTGTGGACCAGAGCTGGTTCCTCAAAAATGGCCCGGCCAAGAACTACACCGGAGGCCTGCCCATGGGGTAGCTCAAGAGAGGCATAGTATGGTGCAGGGGCTGGGGCGCCAGGATGGTGTGCGGAGTACTCGTTGAGCATCCTGAACAGGCGGGATTAGCAGGAGCGACATCAGAGCAATGCCACCATTGATAGCACACGAAATAAACTTACAGGCCCGTACGAGAATTTGACAAATCACGATATGGCATTTGAATCACTTCAGGATGTTTCTTGACAAGCAGGTCTTAGATAGTCTTCCGATCAGTGTTCCCCTTCGCCAATAAGGTTGCCACAATCACAGGTGCATGCTCACAATACCTATTATCAGCATACGTCCCAAGCGAGCTGCTTCTTGTCCCCTTCCAATATAGAGAATGATCCTGACAGAAGCATGCAGGCGCAGGCGCGTCTCCATCAGAAGTCCTCCACACACAAGACTCTGCCCAGCAGCTACCGAACACAAGTCTGCAGAAAGAGCATGAAATCCAGAGTGCCTTCACCTACCACAGCGAGTAGGCGATCAGCAAGGCCCCAACAATTGCCAGCAGAAAATTGTTGAGCTTCAGGATGCATTGCAAGCAACTTCGGCACCCCATTGTTGGAGAAAACCCTCCCAAGCCCGCAGCGCACTAGTCTTTTTGCAAGCTTTGCAAAGCAATCTGAAGATTCAGCCTAATTAAGTCTGACTCTTAGCAGAAGGCCCTAGGCATTCGCCTGCACTTTCTAGAATCAACGGTGATGGATCTAGCTGGGCCTTCCCGCATCACCTCCCTCCCTGCTTTCCACCTGGATGCAGTCAGTTGCAACTAGCTAGCGCTCTGTTTGCTGCTGCTGCTGCTTCAGTAGCTGTTCCTTTGAACCATCTTTGAAACATCTATGAAGGCCTCCCTGAAGGGCATATTTGAAGGCCAGCGTACAACTTGAGGGGGAACGCTTCAAGTTCTCGCACATAGTCGGCACGAATATGTCTGTTTCTAGGTGCGCATATGCGTGTGACAATCTCTGCCGCCTCTTTCAGACAGCCTTGTTTCCTCGGACGGCTTGCATCGAGCATATAAAACCGGAGTGCAAATTTAACCCCTTATCTACTCAGGCACCTCATAAGCTATTTAGCAGGAAGGCAAATATTCAACATTTATTGGGACATCTTACCAGTAGGCCCTGGGCCTAGCATCGCTACTCAGTGCCACATTTTGGTTCGGCAAATTGGCATAAACATTGTGCAAGGGCTACAAGCTGTGGCCCTGGCGCCAACGCATCAGATGCAGCAGCAGGAGATCCTGAACATTGCAATGCAGAAGAGCTGTGTGCACTGTGCACCTCAGCAGCACCTGTGTGTTTGCAATGGTTGAAATTCGAGCAACTGGTTAGGCTGCATCTTATGAGTATGAGCCATGACAGGTTCTCCAGTTTGTTGGGTGAGCTGATTCAGGGTACGTCCTAGCAGATGTGTTTGCACTGCTCGATCCAAAAAAGCACGTCATTAACAATAGGGATGAGGAGAGCGCCTGTCATTCTGTAGCTTTTCATCGATACAGGAATGCGACGAAGTGCTCCTTTAATGCCAGGACATGATCTGTGACTGGTTGGCAGAATAGATACTTAGCTTTGAAAAAGAAGGGGGGCGCGCAGTGAAACGAATGAGATAACCTTCTCAAGGAAGCCTTCAGATCGTCAATTCTTCCATTGAGCTGTCATCCTGCTGGAAAACTGCTGGTTCAAGCCGCTGTGACATAGCTCCAATTAATCTGAGAAATAGCAGGAGGGACCATGGCGACCAACACTGGAAAAGCAGTCACAATGGAGTCTCGAATTCTGCAGAGTGAAGAGGTGAGCAGAGATGTTACGTCCATACAAGCTGGCAGAATGCTAAGAGAAGTTTTTGAATTGCTTCTGAACAGTGCCTGTTCCACCAGTACTACTCCTTTGTTACACCACCCATGCTGACACGCCCACCTGCAGAGCATCTCAGGTTCACGTAGATCTCAGAAGTGTCCTGACATCCTCTCCGCTGAAATGCAGATTCTCAGGGCAAAGCAAGAGCAGATACGGAAATTCATTGAGGCTAATTATGGGCAGATCCTTGACCGACAGAAAGAGATTCAACAAGTGGAGGCTGAATTGGCGGCTCTGCAGGTAAGGCTGACAAAGAAGCTACTTTTTCTTTGGTGGTAGGACAGATGTTGACAGCATCGCCCCTGTGTAGAAGTGATTGAAATCGAGAAGCCAGAAAGGGAGCTTCACTTGATACTGCATGTACGAAGAACGCATCGCATTGGGGCACCCACCTACATACTACCTTGGACCGCTACTAATTGGGGGGCCTTGTTCGGAATTCAGCTTCAGATTGTACTGGGGGCTGTTTGCTCTGTATGAACTAGGCCTTATGTTCTGCCCTTCTTGCATCCCGTTCTCAGGCCGCATTCGCAAAGGTCTGCTGCTTGACCCATGTTTCTTGTGTGCTAGATGGAAGCCAAACAGACTGTAAACCCAAGAAAACAAGGTAAGCACTTCTGCCCTTTCGATACCAAGTTAAAGATCTGTATCAAACTGGAAGTCAGCTCTTTGTTAGCTCATTCATGCAGTGTAACTGGCAATTGCAAGTCCTGCCTCTGACCTTTCTTCTTGGTCCTTGTTCAGCTTTGGAGTTTCTTCGCAAGAAGATCGAACAACAAGGCGAGAGGACCTCGCAAGCAAAAGCAAAAGAAGTACAAACAAAGAAGGTGAGTGTTCCGATGTGCACTCTCGAATCATGTCACAGATGCATAAGGCGAGAGTGAACAGTCAGCCCTTTGACCTCTTTTGGAGCCTGCCGGTCTGTGAAGCATCAACAACTTAGTAAATTTAGCTTCAAGATTGCAAGCCAAAACTCTGGTGGACTCTGTGGGACGAGCGGATTACCAGTTTACAGCTTTCTTGGGTGCCGAAGGTGGGGCGTGTCTTTCAGCGCCCTCTTCCACATGTCTTAAGACTCTCGGGGCACAACTCGGATTAAGCCTGTCATACGCAACAGCAACGATTAGGGACGTCTAGTTTCCTGTATCCTCGTTCATGTGTCGGTTGAATCTGTGCCCCTTCACAGGCTTACGAGGATGCCGTACAAATAGCGCGTGCTGAGGAGCAAGAAAAGGAGAAGCTGTCCAATGAGCTGCAAGCGCTAGTGAGAGCCAACTGTCCTACTCAGAACCAGATCGCACTCTTTGAAGTACAGTGGTCGATTTTGGAGAGAAGCCACCTTGTTTTTACCAATCTCAAGTTCCTACTAGTACAAGGACAAGGGTGACCTGATGCAGGGTCTCCTAAAACCTTTTGCCAACCAATATTCGCATCTTGGAGAGATGCTTAAGTCATGACTTACCTGCGGTTATTTCACTTATTGTTGCCACACAATTGTTGCCTTCGATCTGTAGGAGGCTCGAGGTGGTTGTCAATATCTTGTTTGGTGCGGTGCAGGTTCAGGAGACAGCTTCCTCCCAGCTCGAACGGCTTGAACAACTGACCCGGCGTTTGGAGCTCCTTAGCGGAGGAGCGCACTCGCTTCTTCAAGCTTCATCGCAAGATGGCAATAAGAGTTCGGAAACCCAGCAGGCGGAACTGCCACCGAAAGCCTCAGATAGAAGTACAGCTACACCTACAGAATCCAGTAAAGGTAGGGAGAGTCCGGTACACAATCATTCAAGTCATGTACAAGATTCAATTAGAGCCAATCCAAGTTCCAAAACCTCAGAAGAAGAACCATCGATAAAGCAACCAACGGCTCTCAAAGGACAGCCAAGATTGTCGAATGTACGAGCCACGCAAGCGCCACGAGGGGGGAAAAGCACGGCGACATTGGTGAAAAGCCGACGAAACTTGGAAGCCGATGCGAATTCCAAAAGTGAGTGGACAGGGGATGGATTTGACATTCGATAAAGTATTATACTGGTTGTCAAACCACCGTACGGGCAAGCCTCAGGCTCCTTGATGACATGTCATGAGCTAGCTAATCCTCTGGTGTTACGGCAATTGGCACTTGGCTCCAAGCCGTCAGCCTGTGATCTAAAGTGATTTTGTCAAAGTTGGTCGATCAACAAACTGGCCACCTACAGCGAGCGCACACGGGCCTGGATCCGACCTCCAAGCTTGGAACGTACCAGAGCATGTAGTACAAACTGAAACTTGAAAGCGGTATGCCTATCAGACTACAATCTGAGTCCACTATAGGCGTCGGCTGGCGTGGCCCGGCCGGGCAGAAGTACCGATGTGTATAAGAAACAAGAGGTCAAATCATCAAGATGCGGCCGTAGATCTGAGGATATGGCACGATCAATTCCTAAGCAAGCTTGGCATAGCACACGTGAGCTCTTGCATGGAAGTCAGTGGTGTGCGTACGAGGCGCAGCAAGGCAAGGCTCCTATGCGATATAGTATATAGCCTGGGCAACGATAGGGTCACGCGTGTACTTTAACGATCCCGTGTGTCACAACTCGACCCTCAAATCCTTAAACCTGCCCTTGTCATTGTCACGTACTCGATCGTGTATCGCGGCGCGCACATATACCGGTACCTATGTGTGCACATAATTATACGTATACATGCATGTATAGCTGTAATTATTCACGTGCACATGGATTATTCAATTAATTCCGCTCAGCGATGGCCAACGCATGTCGATTTGGTACATGCGCCAGATTGCTTACACATTGAAAACACTTAATTACGTCCAACACGTACATGTACCAACCGAACCGCCTTGTTTTGCGCGCCACGATGCCACAGCAAGCGCGTATATTGCTTTTGATGTCATGAAACTTGCTGTTCTTATAATGCATCAATCAATACTGTCGATCAGTCGAGTCGATAGCTGATCCTTATCGAAAACAGAACCACGCAATATCTGCACTTCCCATGGAAATTGCTTGTCCAGTCAACTACAAACTAGACGAATGACGACTTGTCCACTGCAATCAACACATCCAATCAGTTGCAATGCACTACGAATGGCACACCTAGATCTCCTCGAAACTTCCGTCTTTCAAATGTTATTGCTTTCTCGAATTCACAGCATCATGTTCTTCGTGTCTTTCTAAATGGTCCGTAGACAAGGTGTCCGTCTCCTCCAGCTCCCCTTTTGCCCAGGCCTCGTAATCTGCTAACAGTGAACTTACGAATGCGGGCGCAACTCGATCCAACAGAGCTTGCAAAAATCTGCAAGAAATATCGTCCATCCATCAGGGGGTCAGTAGAGAAACTTCGTTCCGAGAGCCGCAAAACAGGTACAAAGCACCACATGATGGGCGTACAACAGGCAAGCCTGTTGTGCTGGCCAAACATCTGCTTCATATTTGCTTGGAAACGTAGAAGCAAAATTCCGCATTTTGCACAGGTCAAAGAAACCCGAGATCGAAGACCACAGTCTAAGCTTCGCACGTGAAGGCATTTTGGCACCCATGTTTGGGCACTCGAGATTAGCTCTGAAGTTCTATGACACGTCAGGAGAGTTCCACTGATCGCAGCAGTCGGAGGTGCACTCGTCTTTGATGAAATATAAATCATTTCAGAGAACGGATTGCGCAGCTCACGCGCTCCCGGGACGCTCGACGGCCGCGATTGGGAGCATCGTAAAGGGCGGCGTGAAAACCTCAAGCGCGAGGTCTAGCTGTATGTCATTCCGCAGCAATGGCTCCGCCGCCCCATTCCCGGCAAGATCTTCGTCTTCTCCGTTTCTACACTTTCCACTTTCTTCCTCTGATTCGGCTTCCCCGCTTTCCCGCCAGTCGATGTGGTTCTTAAAGGTCGCCGAGAACCGCTCGCTTTGCCGCTCGACCGCTTCGGAACCAAGGAAGCGGCACTGCAGCATCTCGACCGTACACGTGTCGTCTGTGGATGTCACCCGGACGTCGATAACCGGGGCGACTGAAAACTTGAAGGCTTCGATGCTCCGCAGGTAGCACCTGCAGCGGAAGAACCGGTGCAATTGGCGTGCAGGGCAGCGAGCGAGGTTGCAGGACCTGACGCGCTGAGTCACATGAGAGTGAGCTGCCTAAGAGAGAGCCCTCGAGGCTCCGTAGAAACCGGAAGCCAATAGGAAAGAATAGGAGACGGAAAGCCACGCTAATTATGGAGGGGTACGAAGAAGGGGCTCTGAAACGCTTCATGAAAGAAGTCCGAAGCTTATACCCTCTGCTTGACTAGTCTACCTCACGGAGAGACAATTCAGAGTTTCCAAAGAAACGTGCCTTCGAAGGCTGTTTGAAACGAGCGCAAGCAACGGACTGCATGCAGAAACCCGGGACCTTTCCTGGCCTTGTCGAATGAAGAAGCCAAGCTCTTCAATACCATTTCGAATGGTGGTTTTCGGCAGCATTGAAAAGCCCTTCATACAGGGGGAGCCCTTCATACAGGTTCCAAATCTGCACGGTCCTGTACTCGTATTGCCCGACAAACCAGGATAAATGTGCAAAAAGCTCATCAAGATCACGCCCCTCTCCTCATTGGCCGTCAACCTGGATTCCGGTTCTTCACACGTTTGGAGAACGCCAGCTCTCTTACGAAGTCCCTGCAGCGGAGACTTGTCAGCTTCTTGACCGTCTTGAGTAGGGCCCATCGTACCAACGTCCGGTCCTGACGGCTATGCTTTTCAGGATCTGTTTTTCGCTTCATGAAGCTACTCAGGAATCTGAAGGACGATCTAGACACCATGCTGCCTCAAGAAGGGCACTATGAGCTTTAACGGCCTTTGGGGTGTCTGGTTCCTGTCCAGAACTTCTTCAATCTTTAGGCGTGCGGCATCGAGTTTTTATCTTCTCGAACTACTTCTGAGCGAGAAAAAGCTGCTCAGATTGCTCTAATCAGGGTTGAAAGCGCCAGGTTTGACTTTGAAATTGTAACAAAGGCCCAAACTATGCGACAAAGACGACACAGGGGCGCGGCGCCAACCTGAAGGTATTGTCCCCAATGAGCTCCCTCTTTTTGCACGACTGCCCCTTGAGCATCGACTCCCGCCCCACCGGCAGCTTCAGAAACTCGCTCAGCTTCCGGGGGCGGCCCTCGCTGTCGGTGTGAACTGGCAGGGGCACCGCCATGGTCCTGGACGCTGTGAGGTTGGCAATTTTTGGAGCTGCTTGACACCGTACTCGCCGTGCCTGTCTCTGCCTAGTGAGAGAGAGTGGGGCAGTGTCAGTGCAAGCCAGAGGAAGACATGACAGGAGGTTTCGGAATATGAACATTTGGCTCTACTCGTTGACATTGATAGCAGTCCGAGATTGCATCCCTTGACGTGACACTTGAGCGTAATCTAACAATTCTGAACCGTTAAAAGGGACCTATGGAGAACGTTTCATCATACTGTAAGATCTTAAACAATTTAACGGATTGAGGAGGCATGGCAGGAAGGGGCATCACCTGCGGCCAGGCACAGCGGGTGTCCTGTCAGCTGTTGTTTGTCTGGTAAAGAAGCGAGTAGGGAGGGGCTGCGCAGATAGACATGCCAGCTGTGAGCGGTGAGCAGACGTTCACGCGTAGACATGATATGTCTGGAGACCGCATGGGCCACAAGAACCAGAGAACAGGGGCATCCACAAAAGGAAAAACATGCCCCACGACCAGTCGCAGTCTTTCAACATCATCAAGAACTTACGACCAAACCCTCAAAATCTCCTGGCCTGGTCTGTGTGTTCATAAAGCAGATCATTGATACATCAAAAGGGCCTAATTGTTTCAGCGCCCCCCGAGACTCTCACCGCGTGGCCCAGGCTGTGATCCGCTGACAATGCTGGCCATCGCTGTTGGATGTGAGAACCAACCGGGGGGCGACAACGACTTTGTTTTGAGGTCCTGAAAGCTGGTCGAATTTGCGTACCACAGCGCCGCAACGTCCGCAGCCTAGCTAAGAGACTTATCTCACCCCTCCATGAATGCAAAGTACTGAGCCCGGCAGGTCTTCTGTCATGAGAAACATGCTGCCGACTACCAGAGAAGCTGCTTGGGTCCAGAAACTGAAAGCGCTCCGTGCAGGCGGTCTTGACACCGCCCATCTGGCCAACCTTGCGCCCCAACTTTGAGCAATTAGACCAGAAATATGTTGGGCCAGGACAAACGCACGTGCAAGAAAAGACAGTGGCAAGCTAAGAAAAACAAATCAGCGGGAATCAAAGCCAACAAGGGCACTGAAAGGCTCAAACAGTTCGTACAACTGCAAGCGCCCTGATAGCTCCCCCCTGTTCACTGCTGGGGCTTCTTTTCCAAATTCCAGGCATGACTTTTGCAATGCCGAAGTCTGTCAAATTCCAGGAAACCCCGGTGCCAATGGTTTGGTCAAGCCAGGCAAGAACTTCGCGACCAGCCAGTTGAAGCACTGGCGACAGCCGCTTTCTCTTCCTAGCCACGGGTCAACGTTGGTAGGTTACATTGACCATGCCACCACCATGCACCCTGCCATGCCAGTGCACCGTGCATTTCCAGCTCTAGACATTTGGTTGGAACAGCGACGCCATTGTCAACATTGCCACCACCACTCCAGTCTCCACCACTGCCCATTACGTGCTCTCTGAAGACCACCTCATCATCCTTCTTACACGTGAATCTGCCTTGGGAGAACAGGAGCCGGCCCTGTTCCAAACTGGGGTTGAAGATGTGCCACTCTTTGGAAAGTTGCGAATGAAAAAGTTGTTGGTGAAGTTTGTGGCACGAAAGGTTCTGGACCTGCATCTTCCATTCGAAGCGGGAAGTGGTGAACAAGGTTTGGTAGCTCCATGGAGTACGTCAGCCCTGAGGGGCTCCGCCTGGACGGCCGCAGGCCCAAAGAGGTGAACGCTTTCAGCTGGCGCGACTCACCCATCGTCGCACTCATTCATGGATCTTAGGAAGTTTGGGAAGTCGACCCTGTTTTGAAGTGCATTTCGTCCACATGTGCAATGCTATGCAGCATTTCGATTTCTTCCCCCATCAAGATGATCATGATGATCCCTTTGTGCAGGTCCGTCAGCTCAAGTGTGAGCTGGCGGTGTTGCATAGAGCAGACGGGTGAGTACGGTGCAAGCTCTTCTCATGAGCACCATAGCAGCTCGCCGTGTTCCGGCCGCAGCTGTTGATGATCTTCGAACCGACCATGCTTACTCAAAAAGCTTTCAGAGACTTTTTTGGGTCGGTTTTCTTTGTGAACGTGGAGACGCCTGCTTCTCACCATAAACCGAAGTACGCTGGCATTGCCAATTTCACATATGCTCTTCCTATACTTTCTGGCCAGTCAGTATTATTATTGCCCCTGGTGCCGGTGACAGAGATCGAGCCTTTTGTACCACTTGTGACACTTGGGGTGATTGAGCTTTCTTTAGAATGACCTCCGACATCTGACAGCGAGCAGTTGTGGTCATTGAGGAGAACTTCGATGTGGAGGTCTCACATGTCTGCTGGTGCTGCAGATCCGCTTACCTCGAGATGGGCAACACCAAAGTCCTCGCAACCGTGTATGGGCCACACGAAGTGAGGGACACCACACACTAGTCCGAGTCCCCTTCTCTTGCTGGAATCGAGGCCTCAGCAAAGAGATCTGAGCAACTGCTGAAACAGGCACCCTTTCCGTGTCTGGCATCTAGAGGCCTTCCCAGCAGCACGAGGTCAAAAGCGGGGGTTTTCAATCGTCCCCTTAAACATTGGAAACAGTGACAAGGACTCAGTGCGCAGGAACAAATATGAAGCATCGTCAGATGCCTGACAAAACTTATGCTTTTGACAAAATCGTGTTTCAACGTTTCGTGATTTGAGCCTACAGAGGTACAACCCAAATCGTACAATTTATATTCTGAGGCTTGAGTAAAAGATGGTGCCCTTGCTTCTTCAGCACTTCTCGAGGTCGATTTGACACCCGGTGTTGTTGCAGGTGAGCCAGCGGTCGCAGTCCCTCCATGACCGCGCCTTGGTCCACTGCGAGTACAGCATGGCCACGTTCAGCACGGGGGAGCGCCGGCGGCGGCCAAAAGGAGACAGGTACAGAAGTTGGTCTGTTCTATTAGAGAACACTGATGACGCTTTTTAAGACGTGCTTGAGATAGAGAATCTGAAAAGTGCTGACTACAACAGGACGTCCGGTTGCTGAGATGAGCTTCCAGTCCTCCAAAATCCATTGAAAAGGATCCGATTCAAGTCGCTCTGAAGAGCGGCAGAAGGTTGAAATCCGCCTGAGGCAGATTTTCCGAGGATGGAGCATGAGTCCTGCCTGTTCTGCAGGCGGTCGGTGGAGCTGTCCTTGGTGATCCGTCAGAGCATGGAGGCCGCGATCCTCACGCACCTCCTGCCAAGGACGCAGGTGCACACTCGGGCGACGCCCCCCTACTTTCACCCCAGCCACACGTTTCGGGCCACATTTTAGGCGATTACATTGAAGAAGCATTAAGCATTTGCGGCCAGTGCTGCCTGTGTCCAGTACCGCTTTCATCCGTCAGTTAGTTGACTTCACCAAGTGCTGAAAAACAATTTCTTTTCGGTGTTGTGGCAGGGAGATGTTGCATACGTTCGAACCGTATCGCTGCCACGAGTTATGGCAAGGATGCTCAGATTTGCTTGTTTGGATGCTCAGCTTGCCCGTTTATCATTGAATCGCGATGCGATTTAGGACAATTGGGTTAAACCAATCGGGTTTCAGGTCCGTGTTCAATTCGATTATTTGCTGAGATCTTCCCGCGCTTTGTCTGCAGATTGACATCTACGTGCAAGTACTACAGGCGGATGGAGGTAAGCAGTCCCTTTCACCCCGCCGGGTAGTATGTATGCCGAAAGAAGAGCACTCTCGAAAGGATACCATCACGCCCTTCGATCTTTGGCGGAGTCGGAGAGCAACCCGTATCGAAAATTTCTCGCAAGTCCCGCTCCAGTTTGGGCCGGAAGCCGATCTTGGCCCTCGTTTCCTTCAAAGCAGTAGAAAGCTACGACGCTGACTTGCAAACTGTTCCCGGAGAAGAAATTCGAAAGAGGCATCAGTAGGGGGAGACGAAGAAGAGAAGCAACTCTCTCGTTCGGTCAAAAGCAGGAAGCAATCAAGTGAACGGCCTCCGCAATCAAAAGTGGTGAAAGAAAGCCACCTTTCGCGCAGTTCCCTCGCAGAGGGTTCGAATCGCGGAGAAGCGGACGTGTTGACCGCTACAGTGTCGCTGGGCGAGAGATAATGATACGCGTGATTTGTCCGCAGGCACGCGCGCCGCGTGCATCAACGCAGCCACGCTGGCGCTCGCGGATGCAGGGGTGCCCATGCGGGACTTGGTCGCATCCTGCGCGGCGGGCTACCTCAACGGAACGCCCCTCCTCGGTGAGTAACTTAATGGCGAGTCTCTTCATCAAATTTGCGGCCCGACCTGGAATCCGCTTGTGCCCGGTTGATTCGGCCGATGGTTGCACTCGGTTGATCGAACGGCTTCGTCATTGGACGGCTCATGTATCGTCACTGGCGACGATGACACAGTAGACCAGCGGTCGGCAGCGGATCTGATGGGTGTTGGATGCAAGGCTGCGTCACGTTTCCAAGGATTGGAAAAGCAGCGGAATGTGGGTTTTGGAACGGAACGAGACTGCTGCGAACTCGGAAGGTCGTTTCAATGAGGAGCGAGCTTTTCGTCTTGAAACGTTGGTATTGAATCGTATTCCGCCCCTTTCTGGCCGGCACTTTGGTCTAGACGAGGGCCTCTTCAAGATCCAAGTTTCGAACTCTGTTGATGTGGGCAGACCGGTGGACTCTGTCTATGCTCGAGTCGCGTCTCCCCCTTCAGCTTGTAAACCGCCGATTCTTCGTTGATGAGAGAGGTTCCGTCCCGGTACCCGACACAACAAACGCGCATTGTGATGCATCCGCCTTCTCAGCGGCCTTGAAGCGCTCGAAGAATACAAGAAGGGTGGCCATGTGGGTAGCCACCCATCTCCTCTCCGCTCACCTACTTGAATTCTCTGCCAGATCTGAACTACGTCGAAGATAGCGCCGGCGGTCCCGACCTCACGGTGGCCCTCCTTCCGAAAGCAGAGAAAGTGACGCTACTGCAGGTGAGGTGAACTGCATCGACGTAGCTGCCAGCTTTTCCCACAGCTCTGCTTAAAGCAGCTTGCTTTGTAGGTAGCGGAAGGTCCGTTTGCAACGTTCTCACAGTCATGTGACCATTGCTTTTTGAGGAGCGCTCAGCGAAAAAGGGGACCCCCACGGGAGCTCAACGCTTGTTTCGAGGTCGATCGCAGGCACGCACAGAACGGGACCTTTTTGAATTTAAAAGATTCTCGCTGGTAGCGAGCTGCCGCAAAGGGAAGTAGCAACTGGTTTCAAATGTCTTGGACGGGGTGTTGGTTAAGGACTACGTGTTCGAACGTGCGGCGGTCCTTCGAGGAGTTGTTTTCGCCTTCGTCAAAGGGCACCACTGCTTCACAATAGCCCCGCGGCTTGGAGCTTAGGAGATTGCCTTGGGCCCCGTTTGTATGTTCTCCTTCTGATGCAGCAATAGTTAGGGCTCGAAGCCGGGGTAACCGGACACGCTCTGGCCATTCTACCCGTCTGAAAGTAACCTGCGCTGCACTCGTGAAGTGAAGGGCCCCAAGAGAGACTGAGCAAGAGACGCACAAGAAGGAACGCAATGATGAAGTCGCTTGTGTTCCCCTCGTGCAGATGGACTCGAAGCTGCCGTTGGACACGTTCGAGGCGGTGCTGGGCCTGGCCATGGACGGCTGCAAGGCCATCGCAGCGCACATGCGCCAGGTACGCATGGCGGACTGCCTAAATATGGATTTCCGGACTGATTTCGACCATTCTTTTTCGATGTTGTCTGATGTCGAAAGTTCTTCGAAAAGGGCCGACGAGCCCTGCCGCAGAATCCTTCCAAGAGAGAAGTAGAGCTTTGAGTGCTGCTTCTGTCCGGATGCCCAATGTCGGAACGGCCTCGACAGGACTGGGCGCTTCCGGGAACCTCTTACTTGGTCAGACTTCGGATGTGTCGAGAGGGTCGAGACGCAATCTTCCTTTCCATGCGACGCCACTACCGATGCGTGCCCTGCCTCCTGGTAGCCCAAGCCGCGCCGGGTGACCGCCTTCTTGCCGTGCGTAAACCCGAGATTTTTGGCTGTATCTTATGGAACGTCTGAGTTGTGGTCCTTTAGCGGGTCGATAGAGTCGAGCAACCGGGCCTTCTCGTTTCTTGTCCAGGCTTTGCTCGAGCACACCCGGAAACAAGCCGTGGTGCGAGGCCCCGTGCGGCTGTGAGTGATCCAGCCTGCGCAAAGATGCTTCCCCGTCTCGGAGCAAGCGGGCGACTAACGCGCGGCTCCCTCTAACCACTGATCCGATACACGGCTACTAATCCGCCAACCACGGCGCCCGTTTTCAAGCGGTAAAGTGGACAGCAAGACCCGCCGAAAAGAAGCCAGCTCTTAAGAGGTTGATTAGGGTCGGGCTGTGAGATGTTGGGCATTCTCACTTGGTTGTTTTGACAAGACTAAGAACGAAATGAAGATGGCCTCACGAGAAGCTGGGCCCGAAAGGCAAGCGGGTGCTGGAAGAGACGCTGTCCTCGAGTCCAAAGTATTTCAGCAGTACTTCAGCTTGGAACTTAGCAGGGCCCACGCTTGCACGGCATAGTGATCCGACTATGAAGTAGGCCATCGAGCAGGCTTGGGTTGCGAGTCGTAAAAAAGACGTTGAAACAAACACGAGATGTTATGCAGTCATATACTTTGTGGCGGCCGCAGCCGCTGCATGATTCTAACCTATGAAGGATGTACTTGGTTATGCGGATTGCTGCCACATCTGTCGCTTCATCACTTATATATGCCAGTTCGATCCGGTTCAATATAAAGTCTATGCACAAAGTCGACCGATGGAAATTTGAGATCGATCGACACGATCATTCACAGTGGACACCATGCATGCGTCAACTAATCGTATGTAAATATGGGGCGCGACCGGATCATGCATCCGACCGGTCGCGCCTGGCCAGACACTAAGTTGGTAAGCGCGCTAGCTCCGGCCAGCATTGCAAATATGTACGTGTCGATCACTGTCATGCCAGCTCCCGCGCGCGGGCCACACACTGATACGCATTCAACTTATGATTGAGGTACGTTTCGACTTGACCCGCCGTGCGCGATCCAGCTAGTTGAAGTCACTACAACATACATATAGCTGTTCGAATGTTTTGTAACCTCAGAGTCTGTTCAGCATAATTTGCCAACATGCAGGTGCAGATAATTAAGTCACTCAGTGACTAGCTTCCATACTATAACAGTCCGGCCAAGCCATTGGACTCAGAGTCAAGGCACCATGCATGTTGCCACCGCACGGCCGGCGGCCAGGCAGCCGATCATACATCAGGGCTCATCATGCAGCCCAGGCACCCGCGACCGGGTGTAGTTCTCAAGCCTGGTCATGGAGACGTACGTACCAGATTAATTTGGTGCGACCGCGTCCGTAACCAGATGATTGAATAGCACAGGCTAAAAATGGTGTACTATGTATACGGCGAATCCGACACATGCAAGGTTGAAGTATCTGATCGGTCAGAAGGTCCAAAAAGTCAGTGTATGTCGAGCTACAACTTATTTTCCTCATGGCGAACATGTTCAATGTTAGCAAAAGTGTTGGTAAAGAGCTCTAGTGTATTTAGTCCTATATATTGTGTTCCATTTTGCCGGACAAAAACCTTGGTTTTATTTCGCGATCTTTTGTAATTGGATTAGAACTCTCCAAACGTCAAAGCTCATTTCCGAGCCAGAATGAAGGTGGTACCGACCATTATTTGCGACTCTCCATACTCAACGGATGTATCTAAACAGCGTTCTATCAAATCTGTACAAACTGAGGCTCAGGTAACTAACAAACAATCAAGCATTCTGGGCTGGTCGGAAAAGCATGCTCAACAATCCCCTATAGATTTTCGTGTGCCGCAATTGTAACAAATGTAAACAATCAGAAAACCAGCGGAGCATCCTGCACCTCCGTTCCTGGCCCCTTCCACACCCACTCCCCCGGTTCCTTCTCTCTGAAATAGGCAGGCACAAAAGCGCCGCCGCCTTGTTTCCGTTCCCGCCTGATCCGCCGCTGCCTGTCTTCGATTCCCTTCTTCGTCTTCCGCGCAGTCTCCCAGTCGCTGGCGAGAAGAGCCTTGGAGAGGGGCGCCCACACGCGGCACGACTCCAGCTGTGCCACGTCGGTCTTGGAAGCGACTTGCGGAGCGTGGATGCCGCGGAGCGCTGCGGCGCTGTCGTACAGGAGGGTCATCGACTTCTTACTTCCTTTCACGGAGTAGTGGACCAGCCTGAAGAAGTGAAGAGAGCGTGTTCAGCACGGCGGCATCTGAATGCGGCCCTATCTAATAAGCAGAAAGCCTGTACAAATGCTACCCATGCAATTGATGACCAAAATGTTATCAGAGTGCCAGTACCAACACCCCGAAAGAGGCCTCAAGAGCAAGTTCGTTTCTCTTGAAGGTTCGATCTTCTCACGAAGACCTGTTCACTTCGACTGGGCGCGCCTCTCCTAAGCCCTCTTCACATCGTTTTGTACGTAGAAATCCCGTGCAAATCCGTCTCCCATTATCGTCTTGGAGAACCATTTGGTCCACCAGTGATGCAATTAGTGCTAAGATATTATAACTGTTCCAGGCTCTTTAACAAGTTCTCTACTGAACTACGTGTTATCACCTCTCGAGTGCCCAAGCGACTTCAACTCATGTGATACCTTCAGTTGACTTGAAATAATGGTACCAAAAGATCGACATACTGGGCGCCAGGCCATTCAGATTTTGCTTTGGTATCTCGACCATGTTTCGAAAATGTTTTCAAACAGGGCTCGAAAATATCCGACATGAGAACGAGCACGCCTTGCTCACCCGTCCCAGTGGCCCTCGATGGTCAGCATCTCCCCTCCCTTCTTTATTCCGCCGTCGGCCCCCAGCCTGCCCACCTTCCCGCTTACGCCCTGGCCCTTCCCCCACCCAAACGCTCCCTTGGCCCTGAAATGCACGAGCGCCACCAGCCCCGAAGCCTCGCACACCACCCGCGTGTGCCCTGTCCACTGCGCAAGGGGCGTCGGCAGCAACCGGAAGCTCAGGTTCGGAGAGTCCAGCTCGTAGACCTCCCCATGCGCATCCAGGAAGAGGCGCCGCCGCCCCCTGATTGCGACTTCCACTGCACTTCCCGTGAATCGCGGCGCGGCCTGGTGCTGCCAGAGCACGCGAGTCTGCTTGGAGGGGTGGGAAGCATAAATGGCAGAAACGGGGGGGTGGTGCGAGACCTGCTCGGCTAGCAGGCGCAGTCCCCCCGCAGACACGTGGTGGGTCTCACCCTCGATGGGGTTGTACGGGGCTTTCCCAAAGAGAGGAGAGCGCACGGTGGACAGGTGCCACCGGACGACAGCGAGGAGGCGATCGAGCGGGGAAGCCCCCTCGGTACACGCAGCAAGGAATGTCTGCAAGAGAAGGAGTGATAAACCCGTAAGCCCAAAACCGTATCAGGTGTACAATTGTACCTAGATATCTACAACACAAGAATCCTTCCTCACAGGTGATCAGCATGCAGGATCAGGAAATTGCAGCATAGAGAATCTGGCAGCCATGGGGCAGTCAGACGAAGAATATTCCTTGGGAACGCCTTGTGCTACATTGGTGCACCGCTGATATATAAAGGGGAGCGTTCGTCAATACTCCTCAAGATAGATCATGAAATAAGCACATTGGGGGACTTCACCACCTAACTCTTCAACGAAGGAACCCTCTACTTCCATAAACCAAATGTGAGGTGACATCAATGCATGCATAGTTGTCCTTGTTTTCAGCTCAATAATCAGATTAGCGCCTGCTTCAATATCCGCGACCTCTCACCTGGTTGCAAGCATAGATGGCCTCTCCATACAGCTGCAGCTGGCTCTTGGGCATGTTGAATTGGGGGGGCACTTGCAGCTTGGTCAAGTCGCCGGTTGCTGCTAACCCACTCCTCAACAGCCCAAGCATTCGTGGCACCAGCCCCTTTTGACTGCCTTCCGGATGCGCTGCCGCCCCCGCTGGCTCTGTACACATGATGTCATCACTGGGGGCGCTGAGTTCACCCTCCTCTTCCGATAACTCAGCGTCCAAAGAAGGGGATTCGTCCACGACTTGTTTGTGCTCGATCCCTTCCTTCTTATCCCCTACTTGTTTCCGGTCCAACGAGGCCCGTCGCTTGAACGGCAGCAGGGTTAAGCTCCTTCTCGACGGGCGCGGGGCCACCTCATGCTCCTCTGCCACAGTGCCCTTCTTGGCCGACTTTGAGCGGAACGCCTGCAGGCTCAGCACCCTCAGCAGCGGGTTCTTGTGCACGATCTCCTCTTTCGGGTGCTGCCCCTCTTCCCTATGGCCCATGGGCACCAGGTCTCGGAAGCTTTTATCCGGTGCAACATTCTCTGCATGCAGGTGACTTTCTGTAACCCGTGCCATGCGCCCGCTGACCCTACTTTGCAGGGCAGAGAAAAAAGAACGTGTACCAGACAGCTGCTCATTAATCACGCCTGTTTCAAACGTACAACCTATGTAACTTGGCGATGCTTTGTAGTGCCTTTATACGCCCAAACCTTCTGACTCCCGCCAGAAACACTGAAACTTCTTGCACTGAAAGTAGTTCGAGAGAAAGACAGCAGAGGGATGTGGGGCCTGGGCTGTGAGGCTGGGGCACTGATCTGTGTGACGAACATTTTATTTTTGAGAAAAACGCGCTCGTTCGGAGATTGTACTTTTTTTTCTGAATGTATTCTACGAGGCTTTATGACGCTTCAAGTATCCGGTATCAATTCGTACAGCGACGATTTGCGCTCGTGCTTGTGTTCTATTTGTAAATCAATGCGAGAATATGGGAAAAGGCACCCGGATCGCCATATAAAGACCGCCAGAGACTACTATAATCGCAATCGAGAGGATATACTCCTAACAAAAGCATTCAATCGCCATCAATCCGGCATGAAATCCCGGCCAGAAACGTTGGAGAAGCTTATCAATGCTGGATATCCCGTACGTAAAGGACAAACTGATCCTCAAATGCAAATCGGAGATTCGGTCGCCCAGTACTTGGCAATCATATGCAGAAGATAGGAGAAGTGGACGACAATCGTGTTTGAAGCCGAGTACGGCATCAGACTCGCCCCAGACAACTTTGTCTGGATGCAGAGTGGGGGTCAGACAAAGTTCAGCATGCATTTGACGATCAATCAGACGGGGCCCCAGCTGGTGTTTTTGTCAAACCTGTTGGACGGGGCCAAGGACTATGCTGTCCGCTTAAAGAAGCGGCTGATGCTCTGGGAGCCCAAGGTAGCCGACCTTCTGGACCTGGATGTGTACACGAGGGACCGGGAGTGGCGCACCCCGGGGAGTGCAAAAGTTGAGAAGCCGGAGAGCGTCCTTCAATTTCTCGATCCGGCCCACACGTGGAAGGATGCATTGGTGACGTGGTTGCCGTCGCCTGAGGTGAGTGTTTGCTCGAGGATGCTCCTCGTGAAGTTGTACCATGCTGATGTATACTATAAGTGGTCAAACGTCATACACCATCTTGGTACGAACTCGAATCTGATTGTTGTACGAGCGTGGGTAAAGCCCATCAGTGCCAGAAGCGATGGTGCATGAATATGGCCAGGGAACTGACATTATCATGGTACAGATGTGAACCCCGGCGCCAGCCGAAAACTTCAAGCATTCCAAGCTCGTACCAAGATGGTGCACGAATTTTGACCAGTCTGTATCAACATGATCCTGGTACAACAGTCTCTTGGTTTTTAGCGGCCCTCGTATGTTGAACCTTGGTCGAGCTTGACCAATCAAGGTTGTATTTTTGCAGGATTGCCGGATAACAAAGGTCCCATTCACGCTGCCGGCCAAGTTGTACAAGGGTCCATCTGACCCAAAGCAGCTGACAGCTTTCGATGACCGCACTCCTGAGAACAGCGCGTTCGTGAGGGAGCGTATGTTGACCTTGTTGCGGGAGAAGCTTCATCCCACGGCCTATCCGGAAGGCCCTGGTCGGTTCAACTACACCGATCGGTCTGAGCCCTGCTACACGGGACGCGTGCATGACGGCCGCCAAAACCTGACATGCCATCTCGCATCTGACGGCAAGATTTACGCACTGTGCTTCAGCACCAACACGGACCTTCATGACGATGCCCTGGAGCTTGTACTTGCTTGTCCAACATTGCAAAAGTTGGTTGTCAAGGTCTTCCCGGGGAGAGCGGAGTGGGACAAGGTGAACTTACAAGCATTCCAATCATTCTTGACATTGAACCGTTTTTAGCAGAATCCCTACAATTGATGTGATGCAGATTGATTGTTAGACATCGGGGACCTGTACGAGGACAATTTGACTTTCCGGTCTGCTGCAATCGTCGTTGACATGGAGTACTTGGGGCGTGACCGCACAGCCAGCACTCCCGCTCTGCTTGCCGAGGTAGCCGCTGGGCGAGCAGTGTCTACAGATTCGGCCCGCCTTAACAGCGTCATTGACAGGAAGTTTGTCATGCTATCATGTCCAAACTTAACGGTTAAGTTTGATGTTATTGGAGGACGAACGTTTCTTATGGAATTCTGCTTGATTTGCGATCGGAATTGATCCTAAAAGAAGAGTTGACATCATATTGGTACATCAGGGGGCTTGAACAAGCTGTATTATGATAGGCTGAAGAGTGTCGATATACGTGTAAAGTCCAATGTCAGCCGGGAATTTTGAAGCGCCGGGGTTCACAGCTGTACCAGGATGATGTAAGTTCAGGCTGGTCAAAGTTCACGCACCATCCTGGTACAAGCTCAGGCGCGCAGGGGTTCATGGTAGCCGTACCAGGATGATGTAAATTCTTTCTATAGAGATTTCATGCACCATCCTGGTATAAGCTCAGAATGGTTGAGTTGTCCGGCTCGCGCCGGGGTTCACAGATGTACCAGGATGATGTAAGTTGTTTCTATAGAGATTTCATGCACCATGCTGGTACGGACTCGGATTTCACTATTGTACCAGGATGGTGTATAAAATTTGACCAGCTTGAACTTACATCATCCTGGTACAGCTGTGAACCCCGGCGCGAGCCGGACAACTCAACCATTCTTGGCTTGTACCAGGATGGTGTATGAAATTGTCTAAAGAGAAAAGTGACATCATCCTGGTACGACGGTCGCATTTGTGTCATTACGGTCTGGAGTTATTTTATGTGTGACGGTTGGACAGGGTCACACGCTGCC